TTCAGAGACAAATATGCCATTATCAGTCCCGTAGACTAACTTCCGGCCTCCATCTGATAGCAGAAGTTAGCGAGTGAGACTAGAGCCTGATAAGAAACATTTCCACTTACCAATCGGAACAAGACAGTTGATCCTGTTGACCGCCGCAAAGAAGCCTTCGCTCAGGATCGTCTTGTTGTAGAAATTGCTGTTCCGCTCCCACAGTTTGTGTTGTTGTTGCTCTACCGCTTCGATAAACTTCCGTCGTGTGGCGCTGCTTGTGGCATAGAGAGTCTGCTCGTAACCGCCTTTGCCTAGATGCCTGAATGTGATCGGCAGTCCACCATCTTTGGCAGGAGGGGGATTGTTGATGACCGCCTTGTTGGACAGGAGACTGGATGAAGGTCTTTTGGCAATACCAAGACGTGGGATAACCTCTTCCATCTGAGCGATTACTAACAGTTCCAAAGGAATGGGTTTCCTGTAAACTCGAGATTCTTCACGCTTATTCACCGTTTTGACACGAACGAGCAGGACAGCATGGTCGAAGAGATACGCAGTAACATCGGAGCTGTCAGCTGTGGTCTTCTTGAATGACATCTTCATTAGCATTTGTCGATTTTCCTCTGTAAGTTTCAAATCGACATAATCCGCAGAGTTGAACTTCAGCGCAGCGTTCAATTGGACCAAGTTGAAATGGTTCTCCGCTTTTCCACTTTCGGCATTGACACGCGAAAGGAAGTCCTTGATCAGCTTAATGGCCTTTGGAATATCTTCTTTGTCAGGGTTGCCATCTGCACTGTTTTTGTAAACACCTTCAAGCAAAAGTGGGTATCTTGCAAGACGGGTTGTAGGCTTCGTCAGGTAACCATTCAGCTCCAGTTTGCGAGATTCCTTGAGACGTTCCGTGTCTTCGACAAATTTGGCAAAGGCTGGGTTGGATGCTTTCTCCTTCTCAAACTCGTACTTTCCGTAAAGTTGGTTGGCACCATATTTGATGAAAGGGTCGAAATTAGGGACATGTTGACAGAAGATGTCGCCAATGGTTTGGACAACTTGACTCTCCTTTTGTCGAGCATTCAGGGCTTCACAAAGAGCGCTATTGACCTTAAGGACCTCTAAACAGTTGCCAAAGACAGTTCGGATGAACTTCTCCCGCCGGTGTTCCGGAATTGGCGAGTGGGTAGTTGTTCCAGCAGCACGCAATGGTCGCATCCAGAAATCCCGCAGATATTCTAGGTCCTTGACGAAATCACGTTCCGTGTACATGAGTTCGAAGATAACTTCCTGCCGTTTCTTCTCGTGATCGTCAACAGAGTCCGATACCTCCTTCGACACCGTACTAATCCACAGCTTTTGGTTATCATTGTCGTCATCATCATCGGGGGGCAGAGCGGTTTTGGATTCCGATGTTCCCAGTACCGGCTGAGGTTTCAGATTCAACCTGGCTTGTTGCTCGAGTCGTCGTGGACAAGCAATAGAATAGCAGAGAGTGTCCCGGTTGCACGTGGGAGAATAACATTCAGTAAGAAGAGTAAAGACCCCATTAACCTCGATTGTCGACTTGTCTTCCCCCATTGTTTCCTTAAACTGATAGACCTCTCCGGGTGCGTCTCGAAGACGGTGATCATATGTGACATCGTGGAAGAATTTCTGAGCATCTAGCGCACGACCGAGCAAAAGAGCGAGGTTGCGGTCGTTGGTTCTGATAATGGAGCCGATCAAGTCCACCGAATCAGTACCCGAAAACGCATTCTGATACGAAAGGCCATTCTTCTGTCGTTCGCCGAGTGAAATCTTCTCTCTGAAAATCTCAGCAACAAGAGAAAGCATAGCAGGATAGACCACCGGAACTTTTCTCTGCGAATCCCTAGAAACAAGGGTAACTTTCCCAGAAGAGCTTTGCGTGGCTTGGCTTTGAACGCTCATCGTCCGATCGGGCGCAACGGTGGAGGCCATGGACATAGTCCGAGATCTTTGCGATGAATCGCTTGGCTGGCGAGATGTAACAAACTCATCGGGACTGGCCTGCATATGCATCATAGAGTCCTGTCTTATTGGAATTTGCTGATCGTGACCTGACGGAGGTCTGCGGTGTGGAATTGACCTCCCGCTATTCATGATGTGCGGATCCCGATCTGATGACCAGGAAGTCATAGACATAGCTCGTTCGTTCGCATGCTTTTCTGGGACAGGACGACCGAGCTGAGTAACCTGGGCTCCAGAATGATACTGTTCACGGCGAGAGGCAGTGGCAGAGGTGTGATTGAAGTTGCTTGGCGGGGTCTGGTAAGGCGGCCCGCTTAGTTTTGCCATTGATCTTGACCGGGATGAATCGGAATTCAGTGCAGGAGGAGGCATAGGGCGATTGAAATCCCTAGGTTCTGGGTATTGCGGAGCAGGGCTTGGTCTTGACTCGAGGCGTTGAGGTCGAGGATAGGAAGCAAAGCGTTGTTGGATGTGTTGGCTACCAGGGTTGGGTCGAGGAGGTTGATGTGAAGACATTGTTGCTGAGACTGCTGGGTTATAGGCCTGGTACTGCCCTGGCGATGGGGGTGGATGATATCCATTTGGTGGTGCCGATGGCGGTCCGTGTCCATTTGGCATTTGCCGTGTTGGCGGAGGCGGCGGTCTCTGAAATTGGGGTTGTGCGACATGCGACGACATGGTATGAGCGCGACCTTGGGAGAATTGCGGAGTCTGCGAATTCATCGTATGGGAGCGTCCTGCAGGCGGTGCGCTTCCAAAGATGTCAGAATACGCTGCATCCCGCTGCGTGGACGAGGCGGGTCCGTGAGGCCGGTAATTCCGGCTACGCTGGCCCCCCAAATCCGCCATTTTCACGAATTCTCAGCGATCAAGAACGAAGAGCGGTGGGTTTATCAGATACGCAAGGTATATGTATGCTGGGGTGCGAAAGAGGCGAAAGGGGTATCCGGGTTGATCGTGGAGAGCGTTCAGGGCGTCGCAAGAGGTCTGTTCAAGATCGTAGACAACGGGAGAAACGATAGAGGTGGAACGAGGGAAAAAAATTCCGTAGGCAATGACCTCGAAAGAAATAATAGATTGTCTCAAAGCACTGATGGGACTCAATATTCCATAACTCCCCTCAGTTTGGATGGGGAATCTAAAGGTGATATCAAACGGTATTAATGGAAAAGCGCTAGGAGCTGTGAGCGCAACAGGGCTCCTTTCTATCTCATGCCCTCAGCATCCCCCAATATTTAAGGTGAATAGTAAAGGTAGGAGAGTTGTTGAAGGTGGGGGTGGTAGTTGGATGTTGAAAATGCAGTAATAAACTGGGGGGCCAGGAGAACGAGGATGGCGAAGGTGACGGCGAGGCCGGTATAGTAATTTCAATACAAAGACTCCTAATCTGCCAGCGATAAAGCGTTCAGGATAGTTCAGAATTGAATACAAAAGGTACGGTATCGTCACCGCCCAGACCAGATAATGGCGTGGACTACGGCGGGCGAAGTGGCCATGTGGAACACCCCAAAGCCCCGAAACCGATCAACAGCCTGAACTTCTTCCTGTCTTTGATCTTGCATCAAACAGCTCCCATTTCCTTCTTATATTTCTTCTATGTGATTTGCAAGATTAGTCTTGCTCCAACATCAATATGGCAGAAAGTGAACTTGCGCCCAAGTTCGCTCCCTTCTTCTCCTTCGTGAGTTCAAGGTCCCGTGAACATTGTGATTGATTGACTAACAGGCTTCTTGTAATAGGCCGGCATTGCCGCTGCAGTGAGTTCATCATATTCTCATTCCGATTCGACAGTACACTAACAGTTGCTTGCAGATGATCTTCGGGTGTACGTGAAATACCTCGCGTGGATGGAGCTATCTCTATAGGTTCTAGGTATTCGGATAAACAGCTTACAATCTCACAGCGGCAGGAGCAGCCTATGGTACAGCAAAGTCTGGCATTGGAATTGCAGGCGTCGGAACATATAGGGCTGATCTTATCATGAAGGTAAGAACCAATTTATCCAGGTTCGCTGGTTCCATGACAAGCATGACGGTAACTAACTGAGTTCATGGCTACAGTCTCTCATTCCCGTTGTTATGTCCGGTATCATTGCAGTTTACGGTCTCGTTATCGCCGTGCTCATTGCGCAAGCAGTGGGCCCAACAACGAACATGAGCTTGTACACGTACGTTTTGAATTGGGTGGATGTGGAGCTTGATATAAACTGACACTGCGCAGAGGTTTCATGCACCTTGCTGCTGGAATGTCAGTTGGTCTTACAGGTGTGGCTGCTGGTTATACAATTGGAATTGTGGGCGATGCAGTAAGGACCCTATATGCGCCGCAACATGAAAGAATTATTGAGCCCTAACAGCTATTCCTAGGGTGTTCGAGCATACATGCAACAGTCTCGGGTCTATGTGGGAATGATTCTTATCCTGATTTTCGGCGAAGTTCTTGGGCTTTATGGGTAGGTTTCCGCATTGGATTTTTCGGATTGTTCTTACTAACATGGTCAGCTTGATTGTTGGTTTGATCCTAAACTCGAAGTCCTGATTGCCACCTAATTTACTACGACCACTGATTTCACACCTTTTCGTCCGCTACCAGTCATCCTTGAAGAGACATCATTTTAATAGATGTGTACCAAAACGTAACCAGGACAGATAATGGTCATGTGACTGGATCGAGTCACTGGCCTCTGAATCGAATCCCATTCTTATTTTCGGTGTACAATAAAGGGAGCTTATATATAGATTCGGATCAAATCTAAGCTAAGAGCTTACTCAGAATCCGATTTATCACCGTTTCTTCCCGTTCAGCCCCGCCCCCATAGTAGATACGTCAGAGGTAGAACTTCTTTTTGCAACTCTTTGCCCCGCGATTTTTTTCCCATAAAACCCCAAACTATTTAAAACCCTCGAATCTCAATGTTCTTTGAGATCTGAAACTCGGGATCAAACCTGTGTTGCCGATTGGTCGCGCGCTAATGGGATCTCCATACACTTTTTTTTTCTTCTTTAACCGCGATATGATCTTTGACCATTCTAATGGCAACCGGAGCAGTGCAACATTCGCCAAATGAGGCGGCAGGAACCATGGTCTTTTCCAAGATAAATGGTACCCTGCATCACAAGGAGAAGCAGCTCGCCGAGGCTCTCCGCCATTCTCCGCGATCTTCGAACCCTTTCATCATCACCGAGCGCCAGGATGAGAAACAACTATGCATCTCGTCGGGGAGTCTGCATGTGAACGATTTTGTGCTCGTCAAGACTCTTGGAACCGGTCAGCGCGTGGCCTAACTCATATTTCTCTTCCACGAGTCGCGTCTGACTGTTCATGTTTTTTTTTCGTCGTATAGGCACTTTCGCTCGGGTATGGCTCGCAAGGTTAAAGGATCAAAAGGACATGGACAAAGTCTATGCGTTGAAAATTCTTCGAAAGGCGGACGGTAAGCGCCACTTTGTCTAACGTTGCGCGTGGCGAGGGATAACTCGTGCTGATTGCGACTGGAAAGTGATCAAACTCAAGCAAGTGGAACATGTGCGCAATGAGCGCAAGGCACTCGCAGCGGTCATTGACCATCCTTTCATCACCACCCTAATCGCATCATTCTCGGATGACAAGTGTCTTTACATGTTGGTATGGCGCTTTTTTTTCTCTTTCCTTTCTAATAGATTGTGGTTGATCACAGGGAATTAACACATTACTAGCTGGACTATTGTCCTGGAGGCGAGATATTTACGTATCTACGACGGCAGCGACGCTTTAACGAAGAAACCTCGAGGTTTTATGCCGCCGAAATAACAATGACAATCGAGTTCCTGCACGACGTACATGGAGTTGCCTACCGAGATCTCAAACCGGAGAATATCCTGTTGGATGCCGAGGGCCACATCAAACTTGTTGACTTCGGGTTTGCGAAGCAAGTCGATAACCGCGAAACATACACATTATGTGGTACACCGGAATACTTAGCCCCGGAGGTCATTCAAAACAGCGGCCATGGACTTGCAGTGGACTGGTGGGCTCTTGGAATTTTGATCTACGAATTCCTGATCGGACAGCCTCCTTTCTGGGATCAGAACCCTATGCGTATCTACGAGCAGATCATCGAAGGTCGTCTGCGCTTCCCACCGAATATGCCGCCTGCAGCACAGAACATCGTCTCCCTACTCTGTAAAACAAATCCATCGCAGCGACTGGGCCACATCTCTGGTGGCTCGACCCGAGTCAAGTCCCATCCATTTTTCCAAGATGTCATTTGGGATGATTTGTTTTATCGCCGGGTAAAAGGCCCTATAATCCCCCGCTTATCCCATCCGGCGGACACGGGTAACTTTGAAGAATACCCGGACCCTCCAGACCTCAGAAACATGAACATTTACACGGAGGATCTGAAGAAGAAGTACGAGCCGTTATTCAGTGATTTCTGAAAGATTTGTTTGCCATTACAGCTCGTCAGCCTCTCGCCGAACCTTTGTTCTTCAGAAATTCTCAGATGACGGCCATCTCTCTCTCAACCCCACGGAACGAACCCCCACGGAAGCTTCCCCGCGTGAGCAAATGCACGTCCACCCAGAGGCCGCACTCACGATCATTCGCGCCGATCTTAACTTTTGCTTTCAGATGGGGTCCCATGACAGTTCTTGGCATGTATGTCTGTGGCAAATCTGGCCTTGAAGGGTATCACATACCTCGCCATACTGTTCAGCCAGTCTCACCGCCACTATCACCACACCACCACTATGTGAAATTCCCACACATCCACACACACACACACACACACACACACACACACACACACAATAGTATGAAGACCATTCCGGGCAGTATTCTGTTTTTCTGTTTTTCTTTCTTATACCTTTCCCTTTACAGAAACCTTGTGTTGATCATGATCATGGAGATGGATCATCTGGAATCCATACTCTTGCCTAAGAACCCACAGCAACCTCACAAGGTTTCTAGGCGCAATCCTGTGAATGGCGAGTGTTTTAATGCCATTTCCTTTTGAGACTCTTTTCGTCGTAACGTGATTATGCTTACATATTATATTCATGGTGGATCGCGACGTTACATAGGTGGTTGCTTTTTCTATGATGGCTTTTCAATATTGTCCACTCAAGATAATGCTCCCTCTACATGTTGGTATTTTCATCTTGAACATATGGTCTCATTGTTGGCCCAAATTTCTTGTTATATAACAGACTCATTGAATAGATTATGTCCCTTACGATTTGATATATGAGGTTCTTCGCAATCATCTCACCAAGTATAGTAGAAATATATAGATGCTTTTGACGGCAATCTAAAAATTTTCCATCTTGACTAGTGGTAGTTGGCTTTCAAATATTCTTTAATCACACCTTACAACACACCGCAATTTATCTGGCCCATAGTTAAATAATAGGCCTTGAACTTGTTATGTATTATATAGTACCCCATTCGACCAAATTGGGTTCTTCCTAGGTCGCTTTACACAAGCGGCCATCCTCACTCTCGGTCCACTCATCAGACCCAACAGCAGTTCTGGCGTAGAAGATATCCTTCGGATCATACTTGACCTTGATCTTGCGCAAGGCATCATAGTTGGTACCATAAAAGACCTCCTTGAAGTTAGGCTGTTGGAAGTCACCCTGTCAAAACGATAAGCATATGTACATAACAATGAAGGAAGCTAGGGCTAGATAGAAGTCCACATGCCTCATTCATATAAGCACCAGAGTTGGGAGAAAGCGCAGTCAGTTTAGGAATAAAATCCTCGGTCATTTGGCGCTGGCGCTCCAACATAAGAGCAGGATTATCCCACTCCCAAGGGGTCGTCAAAGTGGTATCAATCAGGGCATCGCGCCAAGCAGGGAGCACCGCATTGCTGACGTCTCCGGAAACCTTGCGAGAGACGTTGAGGCCGACGCCGATGAAGGTACCGCCGGACTCGGTGATCTCACGGTAGGCAGTCATCAGGGCATGGTTGTTGTTCTGAACGACCGATCTTGGGACCAGCCAGCCTCCATACTGGGCAGTGCCGACCTCGATGACGCCTTGCATATCCTTGAACTGGCTGTAGTAGCTATCATATTGCTTAGCGACTATATTGTACTTGATACCGAGTTTGTCGAGGCTGTCAGTGAAAGGTTTGAGAAGCGCCACTAGGTCAGCGACAGGGATGTTGGGGGCAGTGATTGGAGAAATAGAAAAGCTGGTATTTGTGAAGTACCAGATGCTCATAGCACCTGCGTCCACGATAGCAGGAAGCTCGGAATGGAAAGTCTCGATAGTATTGAAAAAGGTATCTTGCGAAATACCCTCGTTCGTATAGGTGAGGTTCAGGCCAGAGACAGGAGTTCCGGGGTGTGCCTTCGAGGTCATGGACCAGACGATACCGTAAGTGCCAGCACCACCACCACTAAGAGCCCAGAATATATCGGAGTACTCGTTATCGCGGGTAGCAGTGATGAAATTGCCCTGGCCGTCGATGACCTCCCATTTCAGGACTTGGTCGGCGCCCAGGCCATAGCGGGAGCTAAGTGCGGAGTGACCACCTCCTTGGGTGTATCCGCCGGCAAGACCAACGGTGGGACATTCGCCGCCAACAACCTGGTAGCCGGTCTCGTCGGCGATCTCGTAGGCCTCGTAGCCCTGGATTCCAGCGCCCATGATAATGGCCTTTCCGGAGTAGTACTTATCGCTGTACGAGCCGATTGACAGATCCTTCAAGTGGTGAGTCCAGATTGCAAGGGCTCCGGCACCAGTGGATCGGCCATTGTAGTCGTGGCCGGTATTACGGATGACGAGACGAATATTGTGTTTTGTTGCGAACTTTACAGCATTGGAGATCTGGGCCGGGCTGGTGACATTCACGCTGTAGCGCACATAGTTGCCCAGTGTGCAGGGCTTTGAGATGGGGTGGAATGGATCACAAGCACCATCGGCAAAAAACGGCGCCATAACTGAGGAAGACGATTCATAGCTGTCAGAAATTTAGTCAGTACTGGGCCTTGCGTGTTATTCTGTATGGAAAGCTGCATACTGCTCCTCGGGAAGTAGCCATCCATCCTTTAAGACTGCACAGGCCTCGGAATTGTAGGTCGGCGCATGGCAAGGGGTGCCGAGAGGCACGGTCTTCACTAGTCGGCCATCGATGGTCTTGTTCAATTGAGACCATTCATTCTCGGTGGGCCAACAAGCATCACCGGGAAAGCAACGGCATGTAGCCGAGGCTGAAGCCTGAGGCAGGACTGCCAACAGTGAGGCAATGAAGAATGCGCAGAAAAACATGGTTGGCCTCATGCAAGTTTATCAGGTGCGTCTCTTAAATATTCCGGAGTTATGCACGAAAAGGCTAGAAGTCAGGGGCTATTTAGAACATGGAAAACCCCACACTATTGATGCTGGCAATATGCAGCTAATGCACACTCTAGCCCTACTACGGGAAAACAATGTTGTTAGGACTCATTGGCTAGAACGAGCCACTTATGCCGTTCCCCCCACCTATCCAATCCTGGAAGCTTGGAACATTCCAAGATCCTTAGGTTGTGGTTTATATATTGGAGAACACATGGTCCGTACTAGTTGCATATATTCAGGGGCTCACTTTTTTTTTTTGGCTAGTAACTAATAGATATCCGATTTTCCCCTCTCGATGTTCTGAAATATAAATATACCTACAGTCGACACATTCTAATAATTTATATCCCTGTTGTTTTGTGAGTCTAGCGCTGCAACTTAATTACGCCAAATATAAGCCCCCTGCCCCACCCGACTATAAAATCCCACGGAATGCTGTCTTCATATACTCCGTAATAAATTGATAATGACGAATAAGAGCACTACATTCCCTTGCAGAGTTTGCCCACTAATTGCCCGTAAGGATCAAATCATGGGCTGGGTATATAATCTCCACAGGACCGATCTAAACACAGTTATTCCGCAAATGATCGCGATCTGCTTGGTGTGCTCAATTCTAGCGCTCCTGGCCGTATGTCTGCGATTTTATGGGCGAATAAGCAACAGACGTCTTCCGTGGATTGACGACTATGCCGCACTGACGAGTTTACTGTTGAAGTTAGCATACCCGGGAATCGCTGTAGTTCATGAGTCGATCTCTGAATCATCTATTAAATAGAGAAGCTTAGATGCTGAGTTTGAAAACCTTGGAATGTGATAGAATGTTGATTCAGAGACACGATGTAGCCAAGGACTCGGCGCCGCCTATTTGCCTGAGGAGAATGCTATTCCTTCTTTTGTTTTCAGCAAGGTGTGCATCCGAGACCAAGCTTATTTGAACTCAAGCCTCACACTAACTTTGTTCATTCCATAAATCCAATATGTCAGCGGTCCAATATACTATCTCGATGTCCTCGGCCTCAAAGCCGCCTTGTTGACATCTTACCTGCGCATTGCGGGGGTTATTGAGCAATATCGCAAAATCATAATTATCGCCATCGTTATGTGGGTCATTAACCAGTTGATTTTCGTCTTCATATCAGTCTCCTGCATACCGGTCGGCTATCTCTTCTCCAGTGCGCGTTATTCAGGGGAAATGGGTTATCTGACATAAGACAGGTTGCAAAACAATGGGACGATTCTCTCGAGGGGCATTGCATCCAAACCGTACCATTCTACTTTGCCCTTGGAGGCACAAGCATCGCATTAGACCATATAATCATAGCACTATCCCTGCTAGTCCTACGGAAACTCCAGCTCCATGCCAAACAAAAGGCCCTCCTAGCCTGCCTATCTGGCCTCGGATTTTTCGTCACCGTGGTTCAGATCATCCGCACCTTCAATATCAGAGATCTGAAGACCTACACAGACAGCAAGAATATCGTGATATGGTCTTATGTGGAGATCAGCCTGGGTGTAAGTTGAACTGAACTGAACTGTGGTATTTTTTTTTTCCAATTCCAAGACAAAATAACAAAACAGAAATGAGTATGTTATCATCGCCTGGATTCCCACATACGGATCTTTGTTCATTTCGTTCGCTTCCACCATCAACTCATACCAAAACCGCGGGACTTCGCGTACATATACCCGATACCAATCACGTCCACAGGTATTTCCTCTATGCTCAGATTAGACATGCACTAAGGTGGGTCATAGTTGCCAATCGGATAACCGGAAAACTGAGTATGAATGCGATTGGAGGGATCCGGCGTGCTGTCGCGAAATTTCAATCACTTTGTGTGGGGGGAGTAAGTGGAACCATATGCTCTCATATTCCCTATTTTTGGCGTGATTTTCCGTAATATACAATAAATATTTAGTACGACATTTGAATTTATACCGAACTACCCCCCGGTAGAAGTAAGTATACAATTGCTCAAGATGTCTCGCCAAACTGATCTATTGCCTACCCTTGACCACATTGTCATTCTCGTGTCGCATGATACCCTCCTGGGGTTGTCTGAACGGCTCCGAGATATCTTTATTGTTGCTCCTGGCGGGACTCATGCAGATGGACTTACATCGAACAAGCTAGTGTTTTTCCAGGATGGGGTTTATATTGAATTCATCGCATTTCATGACAATATCGATCATGAGCGGCGCAAGAAGCATCGCTGGGGAACTCTCAAAGAAGGCTCTATCATCGACTGGGCATTTACGTATCCTCCTGGTCGCGATTTCAGTCCCACCAAGCAACGAGTCTTGAACGCCGACACAGGCTTCTTGTATGGGGAGCCAGCATTCGGGGGACGCAAGAGAGAAGACGGAACGATACTGGAGTGGAAAATTAGTGCGCCAACAGATGCACTTGGTAGCCCGATTTCGCCTGGCTGGCTGCCTTTTTGGTGTTTAGACAAAACACCCAGAGAATTACGCGTTCCTTATGAGGTTGAACCGGCCTTGACTCAGCATCCCTCCGGCGTGCATGGTGTTGCTTCATTGTCATTGTTTGTTCCCGAGAAAGATCTCTCAAATCTAGGAAAGACATACGCATCGATATACGATGAAACTCCAACGATTTCGGATGATCAAGGTTGGGAATATGAGGTTCCTTCAGGGTCAGCCACTGGAAGGCACATTATATCTTTGTTGAGATATGAAGAAAGTCCAGAGGTGACTATCAAGTTAGCTTTGGAGGGCCCCAAGTGCGGCAAGGTCGAAATTCTCCCAGGGCTTGAGATTGATATTGAGTAGGGGGTAGCAGCGTTGTGATATGTGTACTATAAAACCCAGAACACATCGCCTGAATGCAAAGCTAGTCTGAATTGTGCGCGTAAATTTCCCTTGCGGCAATAAATTTACTCGACATAGCACCAAAAGCTGAATCTATCAACGGGTTGGTCACCATGATAGGGGTTACTAAAGCTGGCCTTTATGTATGCACCATCGGGCCCCGGTTGATGGATTGAGGAATGAAAATGGACGGAGTTAAGTAAATCAAATACCGTAGACCTTGATATCAATTGGATTGCTAAGCACTTGACATATAAATGCACCGTTAATCCAAAATCCGACGATGGTGACAGGGGTTGTGATGATGCAAAAGCCGACAAAAGCCGATCCATTCATGCACCATCGGACCCCTACAGATGAACTTCAACTAAAACAGAGGGAAAGAGAAGGAGTTAAGAATTTAAAGCCGTAGCACCACTAAAATGGATCTCAGAGGGAACTGACCATCCGACGATATGTTCGTTCGGCTTCAAGTTATTAAGGCGATGCCTCCCTCCCCTCTATGTCGTGGCATTCGAATCAAACCTTGAAGAGCCAGACTAAGTGAATCGAAACTTCAGAGCAGTTCTACAAGTATTACAGCGAACTCCTTATATAAACCAACCTAATCTAAGAAAATGCCTCCTCCACCCCCTCCTCCCAAGAGCGTCCTGGGCCGCCACCGTCTCCTGGCCCCCTCAGCGTCGGTGCGTGTCAGCCCGCTGTCGCTAGGCGGCATGAGTAAGAACTCTTTTTTTTTTCTATCGAAAAGCATACTAACAAAGTATTATCTAGGTCTGGGCGACAACTGGAAGGGTATGATGGGTGAATGTACAAAGGAGCAGGCATTCGAGCTCCTGGACGCCTACTACGACCTAGGAGGTAATTTCATTGACACCGCCAACATGTACCAATTTGGACAGAGCGAAGAGTGGATCGGCGAGTGGCTGCAGAAGACAGGACGACGGTCCGAGATCGTGCTCGCAACCAAGTACACGCTGAGCCCGATCTTCGGCAAGCCCGTGCAGCAGAGCAACTACGGTGGTACGGGCACTAAGAGCATGCGCGTGGCTGTCGACGACAGCTTGAAGCGTCTTCAGGTCGATTATATTGACCTGTACTATGTTCATGCGTGGGACTTTGCAACCTCCATCCCTGAGCTGATGCAATCACTTAATACCCTCGTGCAACAGGGCAAGGTCCTGTATCTGGGGATCAGCGACACGCCTGCTTGGGTCGTTACCAAGGCTAATGCTTATGCGCGCGAGCATGGCCTCCGTCCGTTCTCGGTCTATCAGGGTCGGTATTCGGCTATGATGCGCGATCTTGAGCGTGATATCATCCCTATGGCTCGGGATGAGGGCATGGCTATTCACCCGTGGGGTGTGCTCGGCAGTGGTAAGTCTTTCTCCACTTCGAAGATAATCTTTTTTTATTAATGACTGTAGGATATTTCCGCTCACCCGATGCCGCCCCCAAGGAAGGTGGTCGTCAGACGCCTCATGTCAAGACGGGCCGCGAAGAACAGGTGTCGGCCGCATTGGATGCTGTCGCCAAGCGCCATCAAGTCCCCATTACGTCCGTTGCGCTCGCTTATGCACTACAGAAGGTAAAAGTACATTGTTCTCATGAAATTTTCTTCCACTAACCGGGTTAGGCTCCGTATATCTTCCCCATGGTTGGCGGAAACAAAGTCTCTCATCTCAAGGCTAATGTCGAGGCCTTAAGCCTGGAGCTCACTCCCGAGGATATAGCAGAGGTTGACAAGGGCTACGACTTTGATCTCGGCTTCCCGCACAACTTCCTCAACTTGGCTGGCTTTATGCCCCAGGGTCCACAGCACGTGTCCTTCCTCGCGGGCTTGGGTCATTTCGATTATGTCGAGCCTACGACTGCAATCAAGCCTCGGAAGTAGTCGAAGCAGTCACCCATGTCAATGGTAATAGCTCGAGATATACAGGCCCGTATATATAAACAAATTCAGAATTTAGGGTCACATTTAGAATCACAGCCATATTAGTTTCTCGCCGCAAGTAGGATATCACAGTACGTGAGATTGCGTAGCTCATGATAATACAGTATAAAAACCGGCAACAATATTGCCCCACTTCAGCAATCTATAGAAAAACGAGAACTATCCCATGTAATACATTACGCTTCTATTGGGTACTAGACTCGGTTGAAAACGTTACCTACATCGATGTTTCCGCAAGCTCATCGAGTTGCCTTAGCGGAGCACAGACAATTATATATTACTGTTGCAACTCAGTCGTATATAATCTAGGTTCATCCAACTAATGGATATCCGGGCAAGAAACTGGTAGATCAGATCTCCATTCGTGTGTAATGGGGAATTTTCGAAAAGTCGTGTTGTTGTATCACAACAATTGGACTGAAATCTATAAGCAGGTAGTATAGTAGTAGCAAATCATTTACTGAGCAGAAAAAAAAAGAAAATACAAAAAATAGTGTATATAACAACGAAAAACAAAGTGGGGGAATCATATGAACAGGTATCATGAAACATGGAACGGGTTGAAAGCTTGCGCAGTCATGCCCAAAGGCACCGATGATGACAGTTCGATGCCAGAGATTTGAGAGCTCTATGACAGGAGCAAAGACAATTAGAAGACCTAGAAGGGAGGCGTGGATGATGAAATCGGAGCAAAGGTTGAGATGAACTGATGTAAAGACCTGCAATAGGTCTCTGATACTGTAACAGTGTACAGTGTTGAAATCGAATAAGATAAGATTGGGGCGTTTTCACAGCGATGGGTCTGTTTTCCATGTGCCTAAAGTCAAGATGTTAGTATTATGTCCATATGAGTCTAAAAGAACATTATATCAAGACTTGCCTCCGAAATTGTGCTTCACAAAAGCCATGGGATCATCCGAATCCCCCGCACCCATCTGCCCCACACCGGGGCTAAAGCTAGTAATGGGCAGAATAACCACATCCCCGACCTTGCGGTGTTTGGTTTGGTGGCTGAAGTCCTCGTAGGTAATGTTTTTATCGCCGGGTTTGATATTGAAGTACGCCGGGTTATTGAAGTAGCGGAAGATAGCATCTGTCCAGGCTCCTGGCCCCGTGAACTCCATAATAGTCTTATCCATCTTGCCAACCTTGAGGATGCCTGTCTTTTTCATTCGCAGAGCCTGCTCGGTGATATAAGCCACCATATCACGAAGAATCGGGTGCCCGGGTTTCGACACAAATGTCCACTGGCAGAACTGAAGACGGCGCGAATACCATTCTTGCCAGTCATCGCGGTCAGGATCGGCCTCAATGCCAACAATGAATCCAATAGTCGATCGATCAAGTTCTTCGGGGAGCCACGTGTGCGCAGGCTTGAGTGCCGAAGTGTCGATATCGCTGTATACTCCCCCACGCGCTAAAAGAACTAAGTATCGGAAGAAATCCGCCTTCATGATGCCCAGCGGCAGCGAATCATATGCCTCAAATACATCTGGAACTGATCCATATAGATACTTGATCAGGTGTTGCTGTGTCTCGTCAGGGATGACTTCATGGGTGAAGCCGGGGTGCATCTCCGTCCAGCTGGCCTCGGGACCACGAAGGTCTTCGTCAAACCAGAACGACCCCGGGTTGTACTTCCATGTTTGCCAGATATATGCGGGAAATCTGCTTTCGATTTCATAGGGGAATTGATACCGGAGGCGTTCGCGAAGCGGTGCAGTCGGTGATGCGCCGAGGGGCAATTGGGCTCGACCTTGCGGTGGTGTTTTCCGTGCTGAATTTGCTATCGCTTCCTCCTCTTCTTCTGATATCTTTTTCACTGGTTTGTACCCAGGCGCCCCAGAAACTTCAGGTTCTCGGAACGAGCGGAGGATGAGAACAAAGGTGATCACGCAGAGTAGGGTGAGCAACACCTTGCGTGGAGTGATCATGACAGGCGATGAGGATGGAGCAATCGGAAAATAACTCGCTGATCTTGCGACAGCTGTAAATTGATCGAAAGATAGGAATCAATGCCTCCGTACTTGTGTTCTGTGATTCACAAGCGCGGGGAATTTGAATAGTCCCGGTATGCAATTCGTTCGGCGGATGTGAGGTGTGACAGTCGAACGATTTCAAATCCTGGGCTCAAGAAGTTGAGAGGGTGACATATCGGTACAAGAGTCTTCGATGTGACCTCGATGGTCGGAGATATGCTCAACCCGGAATCAGGATAGGAGGCCCGAAAAAAAAAACTAGTAAGAATGCCCGGTCACTGGAACCACAGAACAGCAATATAGGAGAGATTGGATTAAAAAAAAAGGCCACGCTGTCTGGCAGCGAGTAATTTGTCGTCTTGCTGACCAGTTTGGTTAGACGTGTACAAGTAAAATAAAAGGATTGCGTATGCCGGAAGCAGCTTGTAGCCGGAGTGGAGCCGCTCACGTGGCCTTCCATTGTATTAAACTAGTAAGCTTCTGTGGTTGTTCGTTCTTTATTCATTCTTTGTTCGGTCTTTTAGTTATGTTTTGATATATGTCTACATCATTAACAAGCAATGATCCTGCTACATAAATTACATAATTTGTTATAGCGTCTATCCCCACATGAGGTTGCTCGTATCTAGAATAGGTGATGATCATCCCGAGATATCTAATTCTATAGCATTCGTTTAACACCATCGACAACTCTTGATCCGAACAATAGACTGTATAGAAATGCAATATATATATAGCTCCAAAAGCTTAGTCTTTTGCCTAATATGTGTGGGTAGTTTAATGGTGACCCGCTACAAGCTCTAATAGTGATACGAGCTTGGATTGGATTCTAAGGTTGGAAATTTAATATCAAATCTGCATTGTAGAATCAACAGCGTCCTTTCAATAAAAATTAAACCAGATCTGCCAAACTCTAGGGCTTTTGGGACTGTTTACTCTTATAGGCGACATACCCCATCTAGATAATATACATAGAACATCGAAGTACCAAATAATTATGTACGAGTAATTTCTTGGATCTATCAAAAGCAAAATTCCGCATACTTCCTACCTTTAGCGTGTTTGCGGAAGGATTCAATTTATAAATATTACAATGAGTCTCTAGCTTGTCTGATAAAAGTTGCGAACAATATCTGCCGTATGTTGCACATCGTATACTTCAACTCAACTCTCCACCAATCACCGATGTCGGTGATGACGCCACTGTTTAGCGCCTGAGGTATCCACATATTTCCCCCGATAGTTAGCTTTCAATTTAGGAAGGTTTCTTTCTTGACTCTCACAGATATTGGCCTTTTATAATGCAATCCTTTCAAGGCGCCGCTCGGGCTGCTTCACGCACAATTCGAACACGGCCATGGCGACAAGGCAATTCCCTGAACCCCGCGGGCCCGTATCGGTCTTTATCGGCACAATGGAAGACCACACGCCCATTACATACCGTGTCACCGCGAAAATCAGCAGCAGTCATCGCGGAGGCAACTGAAAGAGACTCCTCCAACCCAGCAATGTCATTCCCCTGTCTTGACGCCCAAGAAGCGAAGTCGGCGCAACTCTCCGCTCGGTCGCTGCAATCCGGCCCCGAACCTTCATACACCACCGGACAACACGAGTCATACCACTGTGAACAACCACTTCTGCTCGACTGGGGTGGTGTGCTCACGGAATTTGATGTTGCATACGAAACATGGGGGCAATTGAACGGCGACAAAAGCAACGCCATCCTCCTGCATACCGGCTTGTCCGCCTCAAGTCACGCCCATAGCACAGCGTCCAACCCAAAGCCTGGGTGGTGGGAGAAGTTCATTGGCCCTGGATTGCCACTGGACACCGATAAATATCACGTTATTTGCACCAATGTTCTCGGAGGATGTTACGGCAGCACAGGCCCGTCTTCCCTCGACCCGTCCGACGGAAAGCGATACGCAACCCGCTTCCCGATCCTCACCTTGAACGATATGGTGCGCGCTCAGTTCCGGCTTCTCGATGGCTTAGGAATCAAGAAACTCGCTGCCTCAGTAGGATCCAGCATGGGCGGCATGCAGAGTCTCGCCGCAGGTGTTCTCTTCCCAGAGCGGGTTAACAAGATCGTCAGCATTAGCGGTTGCGCGCGCAGCCACCCTTACAGTATAGCGATGCGACACACGCAGCGGCAGGTGCTGATGATGGACCCCAACTGGGCCCGTGGATTCTACTACGACGGAATCCCACCCCACTCTGGTATGAAGCTAGCGCGCGAGATTGCAACCGTGACGTACCGCAGCGGGCCAGAATGGGAGATGCGATTTGGCCGCCAGCGTGCAGACCCCAGCAAGCAGCCAGCTCTGTGCCCCGACTTCCTTATCGAGACGTACCTCGATCATGCTGGCGAGAAGTTCTGCCTCGAATACGATCCCAACAGTCTTCTTTATGTCTCCAAGGCCATGGACTTGTTCGATCTCGGCCATGCTCATCAGACTGCGACTCTGAAACGTCGCGCAGAATCTGAGGAGCGCATCGCACGCGGTGGTGACGTGTTAAATGCCTCGGATCCCGCTTGTAGTCTGACTCTTCCAGACAAACCCTATGAGGAGCAACCTGGCTCAGCCTCCAAGACCCCGCTGGATGAGTCCGTCTCTGCTGAGTCAGTAGATGGCCCCCCGCGGGATCTTGTTGCCGGCCTTGCGTCTCTCAAGAATCATCCTGTGCTTGTCATGGGTGTTGCAAGTGATATCCTCTTCCCGGCGTGGCAGCAGCGGGAGATCGCCGAGACACTCCGTGCTGGAGGCAATGCAAATGTTGAGCATGTTGAGCTTGGCGACGACTTGTCGCTGTTCGGTCATGACACTTTCTTGTTAGATCTCAAAAATATCGGTGGCGCATTGGGCAAGTTCCTGCGCTAGTCGCGTGGCGCTTTGCGTCCAACGCGATAGAAAATAATATAAATTTGTACATTCGTCGTTAAGCGTGCGACTTTTGGCATTTAGCAGGCGTTCTACATTTGCGAAATGACATACCTCTTCTCCGATTTATTTGCAGTTCTAAGGGCTCGATGGATACCTCCAGTCAACCTACAACTAGCGATAGTATGAAACAGGAACAGACACTACAATGGCTTATTCCATTTGATTCTGTCGACATACTATATGTACATAGTGAAAGCCACAAAAATAAAAGAAAACTCGCCCTCAGGTTGCTCTCGGATTTCATAACCGGCTTCCAGCTGTATACACGGTCCAGAGGCGCAAAGTGCCATGATGGAGCCGTCGTCGAGCAGATGCCTGCAGAATTGGCTTATATTCGTCTCTTGGACGAACTCATCACAGGGCGAGAAAGAGAAAACAACAGAATAACATAACCCACAAAACCCACGACTAGAATTCTATCACGCGTATAAGAAGCAGAAGAGAAGAAATGTTTCCTCGGATGTAGCTGACAAACTAGGAGAACAATTTGACCGCAGTGATAGGACGATAGGCACTCAAAATACCCTTTAACAACAAGGTAAGGTGTTATTGTCTGAAACTTGCGGGAGGCTATGTGGATAAATCTTCGGGTTAGCAAGCGCGTGCTGGTACCTATTAAACAGGCGTTGCGGTTTGTTGCCCGCACAAGCTCGGAATTAGAGCCATCCTGGGTGCGTCATACAGCTATAGCCTTGTAGCCAACGACTTCAAATATGAACACAGGCTGGGTACATGCCTAGTCGCGAATACAAAATTGACGAGAAGCACCGATGTTGTTTTTAAATATAGGAGATTAATAGGTTCTTCCGTTCCGGTGTTATACCGATCGCTGCCTGAGGCCGAAACAATTTTCCACACCTGTAGCTTTTCTATTGCCCCACTGTCTTACATTGAGCTAGAAAGATATCCCAGGACTCTTTTTTTTTTCAAATTTATGTTTACATAGTATACTAAGTCCTTTGAAGATGCATTTCCTTGACCCAGGAGTGCTTGTGTGCTAATACAACATAGTTCTTTCAAATTACCGATCAATCATGGCGATGCCATGCAAGGAGCAGACTGCAGGGTGCTTTATGCAACAATTTCCTTACCTATGTTGTAGCCCGTGCAGCGAAACAACCATTCACTCATCACTTCGGAAGAGAGTCTAAAGTCCAGGTGCTGCTGGCTGAACTACCCGATTCGGGTATAAACAGCGCCGCTAAAGTATGGATCCCCACTGTTCTCCACACTCGATATCACTAATCCCTCCGTATACAAAAGGCATTGAGGTACGCCTGTTTCCCACAATTCTGGAAGAATTTCTCTTCGTATCGCACTCATACCTACAAGTACTATGGCACAGTCAAAGGAATGGCAAAAGATGCTCCGTGGTGAGCTATACTGGGCATGGGACGAGGATCTGCAGGCGAACCGAACAAGGTGTAAAAAGGCCTGTGATGATTTCAATGCCGCCGGGGCTGTAACAAGACGTCGAAAAGTAGAGCTGTGGAGAAAGTAAGCCTGACAAACTGGATCGGAACGGTCATTTATTATTGCCCATTGTGACCTTTGTGCTGACCATACTTCCCTCCAGTATTGTCTGCGACACACGCCCAATGCCACCATTGAACCCAGACCCGAAAGAAGATGAGGCACTTTTCGAAGACACTGATCCCGTCGTTGATGGGCCGATTTCTGTGGATCATGGTCTAAATTTCAAGGTCGGCAAAGGCACTTTTCTCAACTTCAACCTTCTCGTGCTCGACACATGCCTGATCACCATCGGGGAACGCGTACTGTTTGGTCCGAATGTCTGCCTCTATGGTGCGACCCACCCCATGGATCCGGCTGTTCGACAAGGCTTGAAGGGGCCAGAATGTGGAAAGGAAGTGCATATTGAGGACGACGTGTGGATCGGTGGTAGTGTGATTGTGCTGGCAGGCGTGCGTATCGGAAAGGGAAGTACAGTCGGGGCTGGCTCGGTGGTAACAAAGGTCAGCAGATGGAGATTCGATATCTCTAGTTCCCGTCGAGAGAAGCAAAGCTGACTTCTGCAGGACGTTCCTCCCTTCCACTTTGTCGCGGGCAATCCCGCCCGAATCATTCGTCGAATTGAAACTAGCATGAATCCTGAAGAGCAGCAATAGTTATGCTGTGGGTGTGGTAACTATTGAATGTTGCAGTTGACTGGAGTATTTTTACTACCTTGTTCCAATAGAATTTACTCTTGAGCGCCGAATGGACTTTGGTCTTTGTACTGGGAGTCAAGAAAAGATACAGGAGCAGGGTAGTACCCGGCGAAAGATAATGTGGCTATAGGAGGAGTAGACTTAAAGTATAAGATTGGATACTCCGGACTAACTAAACCGAGTTATAATATTGTAAAACTGCCCGCTATTGATGCGAGCAATTCGAAATTGCGCCGATGCTTCCCCTCCAAGAAAAATCAATCATCACACCAGAGCATTTCACCAGCCAGAATGGAAGAAGTGGAAGGCCATGGTGAGCTCACAAATCACGATATTGTGGTTAAGAGCACTGCTAGCTCTCAGCCTGAAGCAACGAAGAGCTTCTCAGTGTCCGACAATGATATTCTGCGCACCCAGGGCCATGAAGCAGTACTTAAACGATCATTTTCTATTGTTACATCACTCGGCTTTGCATTCAAGTATGATACCCTCTACGTTTTTTTGCGCGTATTCACTGAACTATGTAGTATAACAAATTCTTGGGTCGGTGCGCTGAGCAATTTCGGACAAAATCTCAGATATGGAGGAACTCAAGTGGCTCTGTTTTCTGTTATCATTGCTTTTTTTGCGCAGTGGATCATAACTTTAGGCCTTTCTGAGTTGGCTTCAGCGTTTCCTTCATCTGGAGTAAGTCATATACAGCGTGGTTGTTCACTAGGATATATAAGCTAACTCGCAGGCGTCATATCATAGGGCCAATACCACTTTGTCTACATAATCGCACCCCCTAAGCACAAAAGATTTGCTGCATCTATGACAGGTTGGATGTCGATACTTGGATGGTGGATGGTGACAGGCTCCGGCTTGTCTCTCGTAGCCAATGCAGCCCTGGAACTCAGTAAATTTCTACATCCAGACTTCGAGATCAAATAATGGCATGAATAATGCGTGTATATTACTACTCTTATTGTGACGAGTCCGACACCCTGGTTGTCAAGTTGTTTTATCTTTCATGCTGACTCCGATTATCTTGCATAGTGACGCCCCTTCTCTGCTGCCCCAAGAAAATACCACTCATAGCGTCATTTTCCATGTACCTTGCGTTGTCTGGATTCGCTATTTAGTTTGTAATTGCTCTTGTCATGCGTCAACATACAAACTCCGGGTCATATATTATCAGATCAGACCAGGGCACAAGTGGATGGAACAATGGCACCGCATGGCTTCTCGGAATTACCAACTCGATGTATTGCTTCAGTGCCAGCGACGGAGCAATCCATATAGCGGAAAAAATGCGATCACCGGGTCGTCGCCTCCCACAGATCATGTCAGCTAAGACCTGTCTCATTTGCCGTCTCTGATGCCCGATTCTATGTTAGGCCCACTCACCAATCGCAGGAACATGACCCTAGCCATTGGTATCTGTACAGCTGTACCGCTATTAGCAGTCCTGATGGTTTCCATGAAGGACATGGACCAAGTAATGAAGGCCGGGATGCCAGCCGTGGAACTATTATATCAGGCAACAGGATCAACAAGGGTGACCGTGGCACTTAACATACTCTGGACCATTATATACGGAGCATGTCTTCCTCCACAGTGGGTTACCTGTGGGCGTCTTGCATGGGCCTTCGCCAGAGACCGAGGTACTCCATTTCCGGATTTCTTCGACAAGATAGACAAGCAGCTCGAGTTCCCGCTTCGCACAACTATAGCCTCTACGGTATTTGCTGCTATTTATGGTCTTATATACCTTGCCAGCACCACAGCTTTCAACTCCATCATTACCTCTGCCGTGACGCTATTGAATCTGAGTTATGCTATACCTCAGGCTATTCTTGTTACGCGAGGTCGTGCGCAGTGTCTGCCAAAGCGGCCGCATGATCTTGGCCGATGGGGATATATCTGCAATGTTTTTGCGCCGCTGTGGATTACAGCCGTGGGTGTTATGGTCTGTTTTCCGCCTAATCTTCCAGTCGCTTTGGACTCGATGAACTATAGTGCACCCGTGATGGTGGGTCTGTTTCTTATCATTCTTGTTTCCTGGGGTTTGATAGGGGACGAGTTCAAGGGGCCCAATATTGATTGGGAGGTATTGAACCTCAAGAATGAGGACATAAGCCACACCCCGACAGATATAGTTGAGCCGAACATAAGCCTATGATGTGGACAACCTCCCTGGATTTGTGATGCTTGGGAGAATGGTCATTGGACAATTTTGGGTCAGCTACAATCTTCTATCAACCTTGACAAGGTGTAGTCACTAAACCATCCATGTCTCGATGAAGTTTATACAATAACAAACAAAAGCTAGTTGAGGAAACGAAACAATTGTATTTGATCTATGTATTATGAAAGGCGAAGAGATATTAGAAGTGTAGCCCGATCAAATGAAACAAGCAATTTGCATTGACTCAGGAAAGAAGCCTCCAAGATTCTCAACCACAGAGTGGTATAGAATATGCCCTCAGATTGAAAACTACCATGTTTTGTCACTCGTCACCGGCGTGCTTGTCGTTTCCTTGAAAGGCGTACAGACGAAGCACATATACAGGGCCTCGGAGTATGCAACAGCTGTTTCTCATCACTGGGCTATTACATGAGAACGGGGACCCGTAACATCTCATGATGAATAGTATTCGGAATGGGACACGGCGATTGGCGAATAGAACCGAAGGATAGTTGATATTTTTGAGGTCTAGAATATGTACAGCAATGCTGAGCGACGTTAGTTGAACACATTCAAATATTGACACGATGCTAAGACAGCAAACAGCAAGAAATATCATGGCCCGAGTCTCTTCAGATCTCTGTTCATTGCTCAATCACACACCTGTGGGCCGATGTCTTCTTCCACTCCGACGTATCAGGGGGATGAAGTCCATGGCCAGACGGGTGTATTTAACCGCCATGTCATGAGAAGCTCTTGTGAGGGTTATCATCATCAGGACTTGACACAAGATATTCTATTGAATCTGCATTGTAACCAGAGACCAGAGAACCAATTTGAAAAAAAAAAAAACTTACCTTTTGTGATAGATAGTGAAGAAGTAAGCCCAACGAATGTCCCGCTGTTGCATCCTCTCAAGCGATAGGAGGTAGTTGCTGGTATTGACCGACAAAACACTATCGGATTCAACATCAAGCTGTGCCTAGACGCGACTTTCTCCGGCGGGATTTGCAGTGTGACATTGAGACAGATAGCTGCATCAGTCTGCCAACAACAACGTATTATCAAATGAGATGATGCAAGAGCATAGGGCAGTGTGAAGGGGTAAGTAGCTGCGGAGTTGCAATTGTAATTTGGGGCTGATAGCGTTGCGTGTTGTTAGGATGCTGGGCAATGCCGCGGCGAGCAGACAGTACGTTTACCGCCTATCCTACCGCCTTACTTAGTCCCCGCACAATTACCTAGGACCGCAGCACGTGATAGCAAGCGTGGTTCCACTGATGAACGCATTGGCTTGCATACAAAGTACATTCCGTTATTATTAGAAGTCCATGCCCGCATCGGTCGGGCATTTGTGATGGTCAGTACATCCCACATCCATAATGGGCCCCCCGGCATCCAAGTGGTGGCAAGAGCCCAACGATGCCGACCTCGACTACGGATTCGATTCTGACGAAGTGGACACCAGATATAACGAACCTGATCGAAACGCTTCCCAAAAAAATACAAACAATCCGAGCAACACTCAGAGTACGGAAAATACGGGTGTGATTGGAAGCATGTCTTCTTGGCTCCAGCGTCAGGCTGGTTCATCCCATGGACAGCTTGCGACAGCAGCTGTCATATCAGGCGCAGCTGTCGCAAGTGCTATTTTTGGGTACCAGTCATACAAGCGCAAGGAAGCTGTTCTTGACCTGAAAGCTTCGATCCCAAGTATCGATGATTCGCATCCTGCGGGAATGGTGAGCTGCCCCGGTGAAGCGGCGCATTTAGTGTCTAGCAAGCTATAGGTAAAAAAAAAAAAACTGATTCATCGGACCATAGCTCACCGATTTTGGCATTGCCTCGAATGAAGTACAGCTGAGCAAGGAAGATGAGCGCAGTGCAGCTTTGGCTCGCAGAGCTCAACAGGGAGACTATGATGATGGTATGTGACCTTTTGATGACTTGCTTTCGCGAACCTATCTCATTCGTTCTGTCTCGCTTTGATAGACTTGATCCTTGAACAGCTCGCTCGCAATCGGGTGTTCCTCGGTGACGAAGGCCTTGCCAAGCTTCGATCATCATTCGTCGTCGTTGTCGGATGTGGTGGTGTCGGTTCACATGCCGCTGCTTCACTGGCGCGATCGGGCGTCTCCAAAATCCGGCTCATCGATTTCGATCAAGTCACCCTATCGTCACTGAACCGACATGCCCTTGCGACATTGGCTGATGTTGGTACGCCGAAGGTCCATTGCATTCGGAGGCGATTGGAACAAATCGCACCGTGGGTTGCCTTTGATTGCCGGAATGAACTGTATGGAAAGGCCGCGTCCGAGGATCTCCTCGGCCCATGGTCTATGACACAAGATGGACAGGGCCGTCGACCAGATTTCGTCTTAGATTGTATCGATAACATTACGTCCAAGGTAGAGTTGCTACACTACTGCCACTCAAACTCCTTGCCTGTGATTTCGTCGATGGGTGCAGGATGCAAGTCGGACCCGACTCGCGTTGTGGTTGGCGATATCTCGCTCAGCACGGATGATCCTTTGTCCCGCAGTACACGCCGCAGACTGAAGCTCCTTGGCGTCTCGTCCGGCGTTGCAGCAGTATTCTCGACAGAGAAACCGGGCCCGGGCAAGGCTACACTACTTCCTCTCCCCGAGGATGAATTCGCTAAGGGTCAAGTTGGTGAGCTTGGAGTTCTTCCTGACTTCAGAGCCCGCATCCTCCCAGTACTGGGGACCATGCCTGCAGTCTTTGGTTACACAGTAGCCAACCACGTTATCTGCACTATCACTGGCTACCCGCTTGACTATAACATGGGCGCTAAGGGCCGCGAGAAACTCTACGATACCATCTTGAGTTCTTTGTTAAGCTTGCATGAACGGATGATTCGACAAGTCACCGGTCAAGATACCGTGGGGCTTCGCGCCCCGCTCAGCAAGGATGATATCGCATTCGTTGTGGAGGAAGTATACCGGGGGAAGAGTGTAGTTAGTGGCTTGTCTAACAGACTCGCTCTCATTCCCTGGCAGACTCCTTCTCACGGATGGAACATGGATCTAAGCCTTGAGAAAGAGGGACAAAAGACCGTTCCGATGAACATCAATGAAATGGTTTGTATGACTAAGGAAGAAGCAGTTCGACACGAGAACGAGGTGCTTAAGGGTGGCAAGAAAGTGGAAGAGGTATATGACCAGACTGTTCTCCAGCGTGTAAACCTGCGGAGACGGGAAGCAGAGGAGTATGATCAGTACCGGGGATAGTATAAAATGTACAAATAAACCGCCTAAAAGAACAAGAATCAAATTTGAAACATAAAAAGCGTAAAGAAGTTAAGCATTACGACCTCGGGATCCAACAGAACAAAGCGGGTCTTGAGATATACGTCAGAGCTGCAAGGGTTAGCCTTTTTTTCTGCCCAGATCTTCTTCGCATTCACCTATTCCCGCTCAATTTCGGGTTAAATGCAGCACATATGAAGCATACAGTACACTGTGATTCAAGGATATAAATCCCAACCCGGGCGCAGGAGCATGACGTCTCGTGACTCCCATCCGCGGGACTTCAAATCCAACAGCGCGGATGATGACTTCTATCCGACCACAACTCATCATCCCTCCTACTCAAATCAATTTACACAATCTTCTCGCCCGCTGATTGATTCCGCCAGAAATAGATGGCAATCAGGAGTCCCTGGAGGTTCCCAGCGCGGCTCCCCATCAGATGACATTAAACCCCCGGGATGGTCTGAAATGGCTCTCTCGGTAGGTTCCGCGCCGCGGCTCCGGCGTTACCTGCTGATCTGCGCCGCATTATTTATATTTGCATGGGTTGGTTGGCGAATCCTACTTTCTGCGCGACTGCAAGAGCAAACTTCACTATCGCATTCACTTGATCCAACATCTGAGACAGAGATAGGTGGGTGGTTCGGGGGAAATTCGTCTCCTCAGATCGACGGCTTAATTCAGATCCGTATACTGGACCCAAACCTGGTGCCTGGGCATATAGCGGGAGGGAATACAGGGGAATCCACCCGGAAGCGGCTAATTATTGTGGGCGATGTGCATGGCTGTAAAGAGGAGTGTAAGACCCCCCAACCCCCCAACCCCACTACGTGAATTCTTGAAATTGACGAGGCTACAACAGTGGTGCAACTTCTTGAAAAAGTTTCCTTCAATCAAGAAGGTGGCGATCACCTTATCTTTGTCGGTGACATAATCAACAAGGGACCAGACAGTACAGGAGTTGTGGACTTAGCTCGGCAGCATTCGGCATCTAGTGTTCGTGGGAACCACGAGGACCGCATTCTGCTTCTTCGACAAGAGATGGTGAAGACCGAAACCCTCACAACCCCCGATAATGATGAAGACTCTCACTTCTCATCCGGACAACTTAACGAACGTGCACTCGCGCGGTCTTTGAGCGACGAGCAAGTTCAGTGGCTGGAGAACTGCCCGGTAATCCTGAATGTCGGCCAAGTTTCAGGTATCGGCCAGGTGGTTGTTGTTCATGCGGGACTAGTGCCGGGCATCGATCTTGAGAAGCAAGACCCTCTCAGCGTGATGACTATGCGGACCATTGATTTAGATACCCATGTACCCAGCCCGAAAAAAAAGGGAATGCATTGGGCTAAAGTATGGCTTGACCTTCCATTTTATTCCTTTGATATTGCCGTCATACTGATATGCTTTCACTCTAGCTGTTTGATAAACATCAGTCAAAGCTGTATAAACATCAGTCGAAACTGTACTCCAGCCTCGAGACTTCAACTGAAGATCCGCTTTCGAACACAATGACTGTTGTCTATGGCCATGATGCCTCTTCCTCTCTTGCTATCCGCACATTCACAAAAGGTCTTGACTCGGGTTGTGTGAAGGGAGGAAAGCTCACGGCGTTGGTTATAGAGGATGGCGGAAAGCAAAGTATTGTACAGGTATCCTGTCATGACTATCTAAAGGCATGATAGCTCCTTACAGTCACTTTTGGTCCTGTCTTATAGGCAAGTGTATTATTATTATGGGGTGGTGGCCATGGATTTCATGCCACATGTACAACGACATGTGTGACGGGAACGGTCACCATTGAAATATCTGCTGTGGAAACCCAATAAATTCAGGTTCTGTGGTTTTATTGCTTTTTAGGTCATGTCTTCCATCATTGCAAAATATCAAAATATCAAAATAAAAAAGTCATCGCCCGAAGGCGATCCGGCAACCTGAGATCAAACGGCACTCAGGCTGAGATGGACGGGTTCCAAGTGGGCAGCGCGCCAAATGTCGCCAACGACAACCGCTAGGCCAAGTGCCCGTCCATCTATCCATACATAATGCGGAGCGTTATTGATCATGTGAAGTAAACATAGAACAAACAAACTTACTCTCCTACATTCGCCCTGGGCGGGCACGTCACCTCTGGGGATCCTGACAATACTGTTACCTAACTAGCTTCTGTGTACATATAAATTGTAGAGAACGCTGAAACTTTGAAAGTTATCGCCTAGGTAGCATGGACATACCTGACGCTCTTTGGGGCTGGGAGAACCCTGGTATCAACGGTTGGAATCAATGGTACGAAACGTTCAATCCAGTCCATGTTCAAAGCTTAGAATGTTTATTCTAACCACAGCAACTGGCATAATTTCCCAAGTTTGGATTAATGTGGTGATGCAATCGGATGTGTTGAGAGTATGGATATTTTACCGTTACACACGGATGTGAGCAGGTAAGAACTGAAGAACATACTGTACGAGGGACTAATCCCAAGGGAAGTAAACTACTACCAAGATCCCAGAACTACACGTCGCAAATCTATCAAGGATATCTATTTCAAGAGAGGAATAGGGTATGTACAGATGGCATATACACAGTTCTCTATTCGGATTCAGGATCCTCGTCGGAGACCTCAGGATCAGGGAAAACAAAATTACCATCAACGCCCCAAACGGCAGGTGGAGAAAAGTCTTCATACCAAAGACCACCCAAAGCATTCGTGTGAACGAGTCCAAAACGGAAGTACTCCAACTCGTTGGGATAAGTACGAGACCAAGTGAAATCCGGCAAAGGTTTGCCATCCTTGGGTCGGAATGCCTGGAAACGCTCGACGTCGTTGACTAGGATACTGAGACCGTCGGCATGGGGCTCAAGGTCTGGGAAAGAGAAGACGAGGTTGTTCGAATCCGTCAAGGAAGGGGGATATATCTTTGGTGGAACGGTACCAAGTTTGGCGCCATCAAGGAGAGCGGCTGGAGTTTGGAGAATCGAATCGAAGCCCCAGCGGGCGATGCCGTTTATAAATAGACCAATAAGGATGCCTGAGTATAGGAGACTGGGTCGAGTTTGCAGAGTTGTTCCAGGCAGGAAGAGAAGAGAAAGAATATAGTGGTGGATGCGTAGGTTCATGTGCGGCACGGCGACGAGGACGAGGACACCTGCAACAAGGACGCCATAGATGCTTATCGTAGGGAAGAAGCGGCCCTCGCGACGGAAACAATGTGCTTGACCAAAGGCGATTGTGATCAAAGTACCAACTACAATAATGAGAGCCGTGAGAGCACCCGGTTGCTGCTGGATGTCGTGGGGCGTGAGGCGAGAGATTGGAATGCGATCGAATGTGTCCGTATTCAAAGCGCCAACCCAGCAGCCGCCCAGCCACAGAACAGTCTTGTCCCAGTGTGCATCCAACCCTGTTAGCGTGTGCCGCACGCAGAAGTAATACAGCACGAATCCTACAAAAGCACCAGGCAAGAAACGACCAAGGGCAATTGACACAAGGTCATAGTAGCTCCCCATTGAGGGTGGGTCGGATGCCATGGCGACTTGGAACCAGACAATGAAATATATCATGGAATAGAATGCCGGTGCTGAGGTCACGACCAAGGACAAGATGGTAGTCCATATCAATGTGAAGGCAAAGAGCGACCAGCGCGCATCCGAACACTTGATCGGCTTCATTTCATTCGAGTCTGGGGATGACACTTCATTGGCGAGCCGGAATGACATCGGGAAGCTCGAGAGAAATTCGATACTTTCAACTCCGTGCTGCGTGGAAGATTGAAAGCTTTTCTGCTCGCCGGTGCGGTGCAGGATACCACAACCACCCGTCGCGTCATCAATTAGACCTGCATGCAGTGCTGACGCGCAAATTGACGAATCGCCACGGTAAGTGCCGCTATTATGACCATCTACTTTAAATGGCTTGCCTCCCACGACTAAAGGTCGGTAATTGAGCTCCTGGTCGCCAACAAAATATGGCTCCAGGAGAATCGCCGCCGCACAGCTAGAAGGGCAGCGGAACGCGAAAGATTGGTCCTCGAATGGGCGACAAAGATCACCATCCAGTCCGCAATTCGTGGCATTGCTCCTAGATATATGTGGTCAGGTTCACGAAATCCAATGATCTGGTTGGGGATAAAAATAGAAACACACCATAAACGGTGGTGACACGACAGCTTGACTGGCTGCCCATACCCCGGAACATCTTGACTCGCAACAGAAGCTTTCAAGGACGCAAAGAACACGATAATCCAAAAAATCAAACCACCAAAAAGGAGTGCGATCTTTGAATTCCTGTGCGGGAATTTCTGATCAATTAGACGCGCCGGCGCGGCTTGTAAATGAGGGAACCAAGGGGTAATATGATAGACATGCGCCGGCGTCGGGCCACGAAGCCATGCATAGAATCCCGAGGGTGTACAAGAAAACGGCGGATCGCGCTCGATTTTTTCCGACCGAGCCTCCATGCCATGCACTTCGGAGGGCAGAAGAGGCACATCGCCTAACTCTAAGTCAAAGCTTAGTTCATTGCTATCGCGGGCTTCATCCTTGTACTGTGACCTGATCTCCTGCAAAGGATACTCGGAGGCCGATTGATCTGGTGAGGGCGATCGCGCACTTGCCCCAGGAGAGACCGGTCGCGACTGCATTTTTTATCTATAAAGTATGTATTTACCTGAGCTCTGGAGCTCTCAGGAGGAAGAGTAGCAGAATTCCTCACTTTTAATTAAATCAAGCTAGATCTCCTTAGTCGAGGAATTTCTTGGCTTTTTAGTCATCCGGATACCTCTGGAGATGTGGGCCCTGAAGATATCAACCTCGCGCGGACATGGATCTCACGAGTACTCCAAGATTATTAACAAAATGAATACTAAGTACCCTAGCCTACAACTATCTTTCTTATACAAGTACCTTTTAAACCTGTGACAACACTCCGTCATCTGCCAAGAGATCAGTTCTGAAGATGGAGCGAATGTCCCATCAACCTACAGCAGAAAGTCTCAACACTTTTAAAAGAGTGATCACGAAGCAAAAGCCTTCTTAGACGCGAGAAAAGTCAGCCTTAGGCGGGATGTTTGAATTCTGGTTGTGTGGTAAATATCATTCGAGTGCATTTGCTAGAAAGAGCCGTCTGTAGCAAACTTGCCTTCTTATTCGGTATAGCTCCACATGATCGCAATACACCATGAAGGCTAGAAGACTATACCAAATCGGCCAGCGGTTTTTCCATTCTCTAGCAAGTCGATGACTTTGTGGATGTCCCCAATGTCGTTGAACGTCGTCATGTGCACTTTGATTCCATGCTCATGGCTGAATTCAATGGGTTCCCGCATCTGCTGCGGTGTACCACTGCTTGCACCCATGATGCGATACTTCCCTAGGAGGATATCGAGAGCATTGATTGACAGGTTCTCCTTGGGGATGCCGATGATCATGAGAATACCATTTATCCTGAGAAAATGTCAGTAACATATTAGGGAACGGTCAGATGTTAATTAGAATATGAAAGCTTCTAACCTCAGCACGCTAGGAGCACCCTTGTACGCAGCATTTGAGGCACTCAGAACCACAGCAGCGTGTGCACCTCCGCCGGTCTGGCTTAAGATCTCCTTTTCATAGCCTGGAGTTGAGGCTGAGTTGAAGGTCAAATCAGCACCGAGAGACCTCGCAGATTCCAATTGCGAATCGGAAATATCAATTCCGATGACCTTCAATTTTAATGCCTTGGCATATTGGATTGCTTTGTAATATTTGGTTAGCTTCGGTTCGCAAATGGGCAGGTATATTTGAGTTTACCCAAGTGGCCCAGTCCTCCACATCCAATGATCGCGATCCAATCTCCTTCTTGGAGCCCGCAGTTTTTCACGGAGTGGTATGCTATAAAATGGGGTGAATTGGTCAGTTGTTATAGGAATGGTAGGAATGGGCGAGTTCCATTTGCTAACCTGTTATTCCCGCACAGAACAAAGGAGCGGCAGTAGTGAGATCCATTCCCGCGGGGAGAACCATTGCATTCCTATAGTCGGATAGGGAGTATTCCGCAAAATGTCCGTGTGCTGTAAAGCCGTGCATTCTGCCAGTGCCTTCCACACAGTGAAGATTATGAACACGGCAACCTTCGCACTCATCTATTCAGTAATGTAAGCTTGATCGTGTGCGTGTAATGTAGGGACTTCGGGTCAAAAAAAGACCGAATAAAGACATACAGCAAGCATAGCTGCACCCAAGGCATCCTACCGGATCACCGATCTTGAATCCTGTAACATTTCTTCCGAGGGTAGCGACGGTGCCGGTATTCTCATGTCCGATGGTAACTTTTTCCATCAAAGGCTTCTCCGCTGTATGTCCCCAGAAAAGCATCTAGAACGTACAATCAGCATATTAATCCCATATAAAACTATTAAATCATACCAAATCAGAATGGCATAGCGATGCGCAAACGTTCTTAATCAGAATATCATTCTCGCCGGGCTCGGGAATTGGGATCTCATTGACCTCAACTTTATTGAGTGTCTGTTATATAGCATCTTCATTAGCCTTAGGGTTCCATCCATAGTTATTTTATAAGGGTTCAAAGGAATATCAGAGCCATCTCTGGATGATGATCCAATAACATACAGTATTGTATTGAGCAGCTCTCATTGTACCAGACATTGTGAATCTTGAAACAACTTGGACCAAGGGAAATAACACAAACAGAGTTAATCAATAGGTCACTGGGACAGGTAGGACATGCTACAATCCCTAAATACTTATATATCTCCCATTTGAATACCCCACGGGCTGTGAGGCCGTTTCCTGCATGCCAACGAACAAGTAGAACCAACTCGATCAATCAACCAGTGCGTCGTTAGCAAAAAGATTTGTTTTGCATAATTCGAGTCATGTAGTGACAGTAATTGATACCCCCCAGGTAGAGATGGCTTCGCCTACCTCGCCAAGTAAATATGACTCGAGTAGCATGACAAAGGTGTCAAGAAAACAAATTATCTTACGAAATTGAAAACAATCATCGTACATTGGTCTTAACTTTAGGAGATGGGAGATAACCATTGTTAAAGCTATATATCATTGAAATTCGCTTCCATCTCTCAATCTACTCATCAACATAAACATCGGATGTCCATTCAGAAAAATATTCCCGAAACTGTCGAGGAGCAATCCAATTACTCAAACGCTGGATGTGTTTTTCAAATATAGTGTTTAATGAGGGACCGTCGTCCGTATCAACAGCGATGTCTTCAGGGTCATACGGCCAATTGATGGTGACATGCCCCGAATATAACTCAGAAAAAACGGCAAACGGGTATCGATCGGGCTTTTGAATAAGGATGTCTCGTACTCGAGGCCTGTAAATGCATTAGCGAAATTGACACGGGCGAGGAAAAGCATATTTGAGCCTACCAAGGGATGTTATCAATCCACGCAGCATGCGGAACGGTTATCTGCGTTACAGTTGGCCGGAGCCACACGGGCATGCGGGAATAGCTACCGATGTTTGGTGATACCTGCCACTGTACGCATGGGTTTAGCTAAGTGTGTGAATGGGATAAAGTGCAATGTTTCCTTACCCGCGTGGTTAGATGCATGAGGTACATGAAGGCCAGCTTTTCTGGAAGCTTTACGTGTGGAAAGGTAGTAAGGACATCTGCCATCACCCGGCTTATTGGATGTGAAGTGGAGTCGATTGTCGGGTCCAGGAGTTCTCGTGGAGACAGGTGTTCAGGACCCAGGACAATATCCGGGGATATACCTCGGGCAAGCATGGATCGTCGCGAAGCAATGAAGTCCAATAGAATTTGATCTAAGGGACATGTTGCACAAGTGTGTTTCGGCAGTACCCAAGCTACTGACCCCGGACTAAAGGATGGAGACGCTGGATCATGAATGGTCCGTACGTTATCAAGCGATGTAAGTTGATCGGAATTTGATTGTCGGTGGGGATGTGTCTCTGTCTCATCAGTCAAACAAGGATGATCTTGTAATTTAAGTTTCCACACGATCGGCAAGGGGGTCTGTCACATACCACTTTCTGCAACGAGACCCGCAAATGCACTTGTTAAGGGGGGTAGCGTCGGTCGACCTGACTCGTGGCCGTGCGTGGCATTCGAATTATTCGGGTCCATCGGTTGATGAACTGAAAAATATACGTCATGACCAGACTGGATGGGTTGATGAGTAGGGATAGATTGTGTTCCTATGGTACCTTCGCCCAACTGTAAAGAACGACTCGTACATTGCTCAATTTCCTTCTCAGCAATTTCCCGATCAGGCGTGTCTGGTGGGGGACTCGTTTCCCACAGGCTTGAAAGCTCGCCAAGAGCATACTTTCGGATATTTTCCAGAGAGGATTTGAGTTTCCGGTTCTGATCTCGCAAAAGTTGAATTTCGTCAATCATTGTCTGCTCTCGCTGCGAAAAGGAAGTTCGGAAGCGAGCAATATCATTTTCAAGTTCTTGAATTCGGAGTTTTGTGCGTTGGCGCAGAGCACGTTGTGCCTTTCGATCAAGATCACGTTTATGTTGTATTTGCGACGCGGTGAGACCGGTAACAGTACGTTTGCCCGTCGGGCGTGTGAGCGCTGGTGCCTCAGAGTCAGACATTGTACTCCAACTAGGTTGGAGTATTAGTATGTATTGTATCGACTAATGGTGGACCTGCATAAGGTAGATAGCTCAAGAATCATTAAAAGTCTTTAGTGCGGGGATCCCTTGGCGGGGTTCCAAACAGTTGCGCGCTTGAGTGGCAAATGTAGCTCTAGGTTTGTAATTAGTCGGGCTAATTTATCATCATGTCTCATGGGAGAGAGAATTTGGGAGTGAGGTTGAGCTCTCGGTGGGGAATTTATTACTAGAACCTGCATGACATGTCTTGCATGACTCAGTCCCCGGCCTGAACATACCTAGTTCATGCCATGACATTTGGATCTCGGGAGTCGCTAACACTTGGGAAAATCAAACTGTTAACTACAAGAGTCAAACGCATAGATATATATTTAATATGTAACCCTTAAGATCGATGTGAACGAAAAGAGTATCTTCGAATCCTAAAATACTACGGATATCACAAACATGCTTGAATCTCACCTCACTCAATTGTTCATCAACAACCAAGCAAGTTGCATACCACAAAGAGACGTTCGATGATTTAAAAGATATATTAACTTTTATCACTAGTATGTGGATTGCTTGAATACAGGGAAGAAGTACGTCTATTCCGTGCCTAGCTTATCTGTTACCACTTCTAATCATTTGACAGAATATCTGTCTATAATCCCGCAGATGGAAGCCTTGTGAGCGACCAGATACCTATTTCTGGAGAAGCCGATGTCGATCGAGCCATTGAAGCCGCTCAGCAGGCATTCGCACCTGGCTCCGAATGGCGTCGGATGGATGACTTCACTCGTCAAAAGGTGTTGCTCAAATTTGCGGATCTGATCGAGAGTAATCAAGAATATTTGGCATCGCTCACGCGGGTCACCCTGGGTGCACCATATAAACCGTTCGGGAAATCAGAGATCGACACTGCGATAGGATGTTTCCGATGTATGTCCCTGATTCCATTTGTGCTTTTTGACGAAGAGTATATTAATAAGTCAATCAGATTATGCAGGATGGGTTGGCAAGTTCGCTGGTCAGAGCTTCCCAGCGACTGACGGCTTCTACAAAGTCGTTCGAAACGAGCCCCTTGGGATTATTGCAGGGTATGAAAATTTAAAATCTCTGTCCACCTGCAGAAATTTTCATCATTTCCCCTGTTAAAACTCTCTCAGATAATAAGTTTTAACACTGAACAGTATCATCCCCTGGAATGGTCCCCTAGCGTCTATAGGCCTCAAAGCCGCCCCTGCATTAGCAACTGGGAATGTGTTCATTCTGAAGCCAAGCGAGAAGACTCCACTAGCTGCTGCCGCACTCGGGAAGCTTGCGATAGAGGCTGGCTTTCCTCCTGGAGTTTTCCAGGTCTTGACGGGAGACGGTAGCACAGGTGCGATACTCGCCAGTCATATGAAAATTGCTAAAGTGAGTTTCACTGGAAGTGTGCCGACAGGGAAAAGTGTTCAAGTTCTTGCTGCAAAGAGCAACTTGAAGAGAGTAACTCTGGAACTTGGGGGCAAAAGTCCGGCGGTGGTCTTCGATGATGCAAATCTCGAAAATGCAGTTCAATGGTAAGTAATCCTAGTTCACGGTTATCAAACTAGGTTGTCTAATGAAGAAACTTGGAAGGTGTGTCAACGGACTAATCACAAACTCTGGCCAAATCTGCTTCGCTGCGTCCCGAGTATATGTACAAGAAGGTATATATGATAAATTTCTGGCAGCTTATCGTAAAGCATTTGTTGCGAAGCGTGAGGTAATGGGAGATCCCGAAAATTCGAGTTCTGAGATCGGGCCAGTCGTGGATCAGGCGCAGTATGAAAGAATTTTGAGAATCATCAACACCGCTAGAGAAAGCAATGACGGAACGCTCGTACAGGGAGGAGAGGCTTTGGGCACCAAGGTTTGTTGAAACACACACCTCAAGAATCTTTGATTTTGACATGTTGCACTAAGGGATTCTACATCGACCCCGCTATTTTCCTCGACACTGCGAAGGATTCATCTATCGCTAGGGATGAGATTTTCGGGCCGGTTGTCGTCCTCAACCGGTTCAAAACTGAAGAGGAAGTGATTGCTCTGTCAAATGCGTCTCAGTATGGTCTGATGGCCGGAGTCTTTACGCAGGACATCAACCGCGGTCTTCGACTCAGTGAGCTGTTCGACTCGGGGGTAGTTGGTATCAACTGTATCAGTACAATTCATTTCTCTTGTCCGTTTGGCGGTACAAAGGAGAGTGGAATTGGTCGCGAGCTTGGGGTACACGCTTTGCATGCATATACTGAGCCGAAGACGGTCTTGATCAATCTAACATATTGAGTGGATACAAGGTCCAGTGGTGACATATGTGGCTGATGAAGGATCAAACGGAGCAAGGACCTTAAATATATCTAGCGATCAATAGGAGAGGGAGTGGAGTTAGAAACACATCCCATCAACTCATCTTTTGTTGTGTTTGATGGCTTAGCCAAACTGACAACCTATATGTGTTCATCACCTATACGAGTTCACCTATACGAGTTCACGATTTAATTGGCTGTGGAGCTCTCTAGTCATGCTTGAATAATCAAACCTCCCGAAATCTCTCTCTTTTATTTTTACTCACGTTGCCGCTCCAACACCACGTATAATGAAGAGGGTCACAAAAGCCAAGAATCCGATGACGTTGCTTTGACCCAGATTTTCTCCACATACGAGCAAGGACATACGAGCGAGGTGTAATTAATGCGAGCGATTATTCATGCATGCATGAAGAACTAGCTATTATCAATTTTGGAACCTTGGAAAGTTACAGACAGCCAGCTTGAGTCATAGCTGCCGAGTCGTTTGTGCCTGCCGATTCAAGCTAGAACAGGGTATACCCCCGGATTATCTCATAGGCCTAGGTTCTGACACAAGCACACCTTGCGTGTTCATCTATAGGTTAATATAAGTATGTCAAAGATTTGCTTCATTTGATCCCTCAAAATCTTTTATCAACACACCAAGTCACGTAACACACCATGAATCCTCTACCTGAAGATCACAAATTCACTCATCCAGAGCTGAATTATGAGGCCGAGCCAAACTTCCAACCAGTCATCAAAGTTTCAGTCTTTTTCCGCAAGAAGGATGGAATTTCGCACGAAGATTTCTTTACGCATTGGCAGACTGTTCATGCAGATTTGGCTGTCGCTACTGAGGCCTTCCAGCACAATATTCTCCGATATGTTCAGGTATGAATCTATCTTTATCATAGATACTACAAAGAAATTCTTTCCCAAACAGATGACAGCTAGATGGGGTTCTGGTGCACCTGTTGACATATTCAATAGCACCATCAAACCCCTGAGATGAAGGCACGCATGACAGGCATCGGTGAAAGTGTCCTGGATTACGATGCATGTGCCCAGCTATGGGTACGAAACTGGGATGGCTGGTTGGGATTTTGTCAAAGCCCCGAATATTTGGCCGCGTTAAGTGATGATTGCGAACGTTTCATGGCCTTGCCAATGACCTATATGATTGGCTATGAAAATTTGGTTGTGGGTGATGCTGCTCAAACCCTTGGTGGCAAGAGTGGGTTGTCAACGAAAGTGACTCAGTGATGCTATAATCTTAGAGATTTTGATTTACATAGCCACAATTTCAAGTTCAAATTCCTTTTTATGTTTAACTATTTGATAAGAGGTCCTTGATTCTTGATGAGACTGTAATGTTTGAATGAGTGTTTTCTAGACTTTTGACATGGGAAGTAGGACAGATGAAAATTGATCGGATCATATGCATTGAATACTGTTTATGTTTGCTACTCATGATAAGCCTTGCGACCGATAAGGTCCTGCGCAACCCCATAGTCATGACCAAAGATGAGTGTTGCAGAGAACACTCTCTGCAAGCGCCGAATCAATTTCCCACTATCAATCCAGCTTCGGTAGTCTCGCAAAAGCCAACCATGTGCCCAATTATCCTCAAAATTCTCCCGAATGTGATATTGATCTGTCGTCCAGATAAATGTACCATCGTGGGCGAGATTGATCTGCATAATACATAGCCCCGGGGTGTGACCGGGACAATGATATAGAGTTATTCCCGTGCACAAGTCCAATTGCGAGTCATTGAATGTTTGCCAATTCAAAGTACCATCGAGTTTCAAGTATTCAGCCCTAAGATAGGTCGAGATTTCAGATGTCAGATGCTAGACCGATATGGGACAGAATTTGACTTGTAACGAGCACCCACAGGTAAAGACCACCATCGGAGTTAGTCCCAGCTGCCCAACAAGCATGTTTGAATTCTTCTTCGTGGACGTAAACAGGGACTTTCGTGTTTCGGAAATGTTCCAGTCCACCCGCATGGTCTAGATGAAGATGACCCATAATCACTGCCTGGACATCCTTGATATCGTAACCAGCAGCTTTTATTGCCTCAGGGAGATGATTGTTTTTACTGTAGCTTGTGCGAGGAAATAGATCCGTGGCCTCACTGCTCCATTGCTGAGGGTTTTTGTAAATTAGTTGAAGTCCGAAAAAAACCAAGAAAAGAGGGAGTGATGAAACCAGCAGGGAAGCACCTACTGCATCAATGTGTTCCGTGCTCCCACATTCAAAAAGGATAAGACCCATCTCAGGATGATAAATAAGTCCTGCAATCAACATAAGGTCTCTTCGTTTGTTAACGGGGTTTGGATTGCTCGCTGAGCCTGCGTTGGCGCCATTCAAAAGCCTACATTGAAGACAAAATATGTTAACTCCTGAACTGTCTGCTGCTTTAGCAACAAGTTACACATACCAGCCTTCGTCGACAGTTAAAGTTCCCAAATTCAGTATATGCATCCTGGTGCCCTCGGGACACGCATACGCAGGGACAACTGCTGGAATGAGCTGATGCATTAGGGCAGCCATGATATGGGTTAGGTTCAATCAAGAAAAATGCTCTTTTTTTTCACTTTCCCTGCCCTAGTATTTACGAAGATAAAAGGGAATGGCATTCGACTACACTGCCTCGGTCCATTTACATTTCAATGGACAAATCCCGGACCCACCGGTGATGACGAGCGAAATCAGTACGGAGGACGGAATATATATTTCAAAGATGCATTGCATTCCCGTCTCTGTGCAGCATTGGGTACCGAGGTAAACAGGACAGAAAGCGGATTTCACCTAACTAAATATATTACCGCTGAATACTGTGTGATGCTAACAGTCTATGTAGCCTCCAATGGCACCAATAGGTAAGAAAAGTGCGACGAAGCTCATTAGGATAATCAGCAGGGGGCATAATATTTGGTTTCGAAAATCATCAATAATTTTCAAATAATGTCAACATATATTTATCTGAAGTTGAAATTGAAATATTACATGTGGACAGTGAGGATGTCCTTCAACGTGGCGAGCGAAGTTGCATGTGGGGATATATTATTTGGTTTCCCCCTAGTGTAGTCGGGTCCCATCTGCAAAGTTTTTCTCCTAACAGCAATGGCTGAATCCAAGTCGCAAAGGTCTCCACGCGTTTGGTTTATCACTGGTTGCAGTTCAGGGTTCGGGAAAATTTTCGTTCCCGCTATATTAGCATGGGGTGATCGCGTAGTTGCCACAGCGCGGGATATCAGGACGTTGTCGGATTTCGCCGAATATGACAACGTCAAACTGCTGGAGCTGGATATCACAGACTCTCAACATTCTTTGAATGAAAATGTCTCCAAGGCTATCGCTATGTTCGGTCATATCGATGTCCTTGTTAATAATGCAGGATATGTCCTTTACGGTGTGTTGGAGGAATTAAGGTGCGGGACTCCGTTTTACGTGACTTTGCGGTTTCTGGGACTTCTAGTTAACTTTGCTCTTATGCTCTACCAACAGCCAATCTCAAATACTTGATCAATTCAACACCAATGTTTTTGGTCCTCTTAATCTGACTCGCGCTGTGTTACCACACATGCGATCGCGTCAATCAGGAACCATCATATTCATGAGCAGCATAGCTGCATGGAAAGGTGTTGCTGTTGGTGGACCATATAGTGCCTCCAAATTTGCACTTGAAGGTTTGTGCTTGGTACATCTTTCTTGCATAAGATGAGGTGTTGAGAGAGAGGTTCATGGCTAATCGGTCATCTAGGATTTGTAGAGAGTCTACAGAAAGAGGTAGCGCCCCTCGGAATAAATTCGCATCTGGTGGTACTCGGACAGTTCAGGACCGATATCCTTTCCGCCCATCGAAGACAATCAGGACGAGGTATTGATTCAATCCGCGACTACGATGCCGCTGCCAATGCTTTCCAAAGCAGATTGGAGCAAACCAATGGCAAACAGCCTGGAGACCCGACACAGGCGGTAGAGCGAATAATGGATCTCGTATATCACAGAGGGTATTTCGCCGGTCAGCAAGAGCTCCCTTTACGTATTGTACTAGGATCTGATGCTGTGGCGATTATTCGTGATGAATGCCAGAAAACGCTGAACGATTTGAAGAAGCAAGAGCAATTCGGGGCAAGTACGGACTATCTAGGTACAGGTATAGGTGAAGTTGAAAAATATGAATAATTTCCTGAAATGAAAGCTCAATTCGAATTGCCTGGTATTACATTAATACAAGGAATGAATTAGACCAATTCGTTTAATGTAGGGCTAAAGAGTCTGACTCGACATGCATGACCGATGAGAGACTGCTCCACTTAAGGGTCCACTTAGCTCGGTTGTCTATCGAGGACTATCCAATAGGAGAATATGAGCTATTCCTAATGCGGTGTTAGAGCTGGTTCAACTTCCAGGGTGGATCCTGTCCAGGAAATGCAAAAAGAACTCTTAAGGTCCGTACTTCAATGGCCATTCTATACAAAATGATAATGTGGAGATATTATAGATCTTGATTTATAATATGTGATAGAAGCTTTTGGAATTGGAATTTTCTTCTTTATATAATTTCTTCCCAAGCATAGAACGGACAATAGACACATCACAATTCGCATCTACTCCTCGAATCTCACCTCATGGCTTCTCTCACGTCACCACTTCGAATTGGCAATCTTGAGCTCAAACACCGAATTTTTTTGGCTCCATTGACACGAAACCGTGCTGACGATCAGCATGTGCCCCTCGACCTTATGCGCGAGTATTATGCACAACGAGCATCTGTCCCAGGCACCTTGTTGATCTCCGAAGGAACATTCATTTCCGCACGAGCAGGTGGTTTCAACAATATCCCAGGAATTTGGAACGATGCACAAATCAAGCAATGGAAGACCATCACCGATGCAGTGCATGAGCGCGGTAGTTATATTTACTGTCAACTATGGGCACTTGGTCGCGCTGCAAACCCAGACATCCTCAGCAAAACCAACGATCATGTTATCTCCAGTGGGAACATTCCCATGACAGAATCAAGCACTGTCCCTAAAGCTCTCGATGAGGAAGAGATTATTGGTTGGATCCATGACTATGCCCGCGCCGCAAAGAACGCGATCGCTGCCGGGTTCGATGGAGTCGAGATCCACGGGGCAAATGGTTACCTTGCCGACCAGTTCCTGCAGGATACCGCAAACAACAGGTCCGACCGCTGGGGTGGTAGCGTGGAGGATCGATCTCGGTTTGGCCTGGAAGTAGCTAAGGCTGTTTCCGAAGCGGTTGGCGCTGAAAGGACTGGATACCGTGTCAGCCCCTGGAGTACATTCCAAGATATGTGCATGGAGAATTCCCAAGAGCAATTCACAAATCTCATCCATGGGCTTGGCAAATTGAAGTTGGCGTACCTGCATGTCGTTGAGCCACGGATATCCGGTAGTCAAACGGTAGATGATTCAGTGGAACAAGACGATCAGTTCGTGTTTGACGCATTTGGGAGTTCAAGCGCAATCATTCTGGCAGGTGGTTTTACAGCGGAGTCTGCGACTGAAAAACTTCGACTTCATCCCTCGCGAAACATTGCTTTTGCTTTCGGACGCCATTTCCTGGCAAACCCAGATCTGCCATTCCGGATTGCCAATGAAATCCCGTTCAATAAGTATGACAGAGCGACATTTTACACACCAAAGTCACCTGTCGGCTACGTGGACTACCCTTTTAGCCCACAGTTTGCGACCAAGGCGTAGTCGTTTGGTCCACAGCATTTTGTGCAAAACTGATGAGTTGGCCATTAACTCTTCTGCTTGGTTGCCTCCATTGTATTTATCTCGCTTTTTTTATTTGTAATATTTCAGAATCTTTCAAATCCAATATCAATATAACCTTAGTCTAACAAACACCTTTTCGTCTTTAGCTGTATTGTTAAGAAACTGTTGCTATATAGCCTTCCCAAGAGCCTTGGCAGGCCCTTGTGACCTAGTATTCTTCTTGTCACGGTGAACGGTTGTGCTATAGGAACGAAAATTATGGGCACAGGCTAATAGTAATTCGTCACATGTCAAACTCGAAGGTTGGCATGACTCGAGATACGTGTGTCATCCGCAAACACACACCGTTTACTAGATACGTGGAAGTACATGGTTTTGTGTAGTTGTGGGGCTTACCACAATTTTTATCGGCCCTGATTGCTTGAGACAGTACACGATAATTGCGGCACTCCGTCGACTGTTGTCCATTATTGTCCAATTTCGTGGGGCCCTCGGAATTATCCAATTTGGACAAAATTACTCCTGCACCCCACAGCACAAGGACGTGTATTTAAAGAAGACGGCTAGGTGAAACGAAATGGAGTGTTCCAAGAATATCCAAATCAAATTTATTATTGTCTCTACTAGAAAAAAAAAAAAAACCATGATATTGACAAAGTCCGACACTCTTCGCATTGCATCGGCCTCCGGATCGGTGACAGACCGACGCCATGGACTAGCAGAGCTGGCTCGAGACGAAGATCTTCACTTCATTGTGGGAGATTGGATGTCTGAGTATAATATGACAACTCGAGGCGGAGCAAAAGTGAAAACAAATCAACAGTCATCAGAGTTCGAAACTTCGTTCATGGAATCGATTGAACCCGCATTGGATAGTATCTCTACCCGAAAGATCAAAGTTGCTGTGAATGCGGGAGCCAGTGATACAAAGAAGCTCCATGATATTCTTGTCAAGGCCATACATAACAAAGGTCTCGACCTCAAGGTTGCGTGGATTGAGGGAGATGAAGTTTGCGAACTCCTTCAGGACGCGATTAAAGCGGGTGAACAGTTTACCAACCTTACAACTGGTAAGATCTCCGAATCCAACAACACAATTGCTCAAATTGTGTCACTAATTACTGGTACTCTGCAGGGCAGAAATTGTCTGACTGGGAATTCGATCCAATCTATGCCCAATGTTATCTTGGGGCATGGGGCATCGTTGAGGCTTTCAACCAAGGAGCCGATATTGTACTTTGTGGACGAGTGACAGATGCCTCTCCCACGATTGCCTGTGCGGCTTACCATTACCAGTGGAGCAGACAAGATTTCGATGAGCTTGCCCATGCCTTTGTGGCTGGACATTTCCTCGAATGCTCTACATATGTCACTGGTGGTAACTTTTCTGGCTTCAAGTCCTTACCTGGCTCTGTGGTCGACATTGGCTTCCCGATCATTGAGATAAATGCGAGAGGTGACTTTATTGTAACGATCCAGAAGGGCAAAGATGGCATGGTTACCGAGAATACCTGCAAGGCTCAACTTCTATACGAGATTCAAGGTCCCCTCTACTATAATCCTGATGTCGTGGCTATACTGGATGACATAGTCATCAAGGAAGAGGGTGTCAATCGTGTGTATGTTTTCACCAGAATCCTCTATCCCGAATTTTTGCTTCTATTCCATTTTTGAATCAACTGACCAGAAGTAGCCATGTCTCCAATCTTAAGAGCATCAAACCACCCCCGACAACGAAGATTGGCATTACGGCACTCGGTGGCTTCCAAGCTGAGGTCCACTATTTTCTTTGTGGCTTAGATATCGAAGAGAAGGCTGCTTTGCTTGAGAAGCAGATCCGTCACCTCCTTGACGAATCGCTGTATCACACTCTGATCTTCCGAACAACCGGGTCTTGCGCATCTGATCCTTCCAGCCAAGACGCAGCGACCGTGGAAGTGCGAATCTTTGCTCAATCACGCCCAGAAAGTGCTCTCGCACCAGAAAGGTTCTTCCGACCTTGCACAGACACAATTATGCAGAGCTACCCAGGGGCAACATTTGCCGTTGATACGCGTCAGGGTGCTCCAAAGCCTTACTACGAGTATTTCGTTTCCATATTTCCGCAAGATCGGATGCGTCACATTTGTCATGTTCCCTTTAACAACAAGCAAATTGGAATTCCCCCTCCGTCGGATACTGTTCCATTTTCGCTTGAGCAGTCGTCATACGAGACCAACGCTCCATTCGATCTGGGGGTGTTTGGCCCAACCACTCGAGCACCACTGGGCTACGTGGTTCACGCCCGATCTGGTGATAAAGGGTCCGATGCTAATGTAGGATTTTTTGTTCGCCATGCCGACGAATGGGATTGGCTGCGCACTGTTCTCAAAGTTGACAAAATTCGGACATTGCTCGGCAAAGATGATGTAGGAAACAAGATCTTCCGCTTTGAATTGCCGAATATTTGGGGTGAGTCTTGCATTACTGATAGCACTTGAATCGGCATCAACTGATCTCTTCTCTTTGCAGCTGTTCATTTTCTTTTGAAGGATCACTTGGATCGCGGCGTGGCATCGAGTTCCACTTATGATGTCCTTGGCAAGAATGTAGCGGAATACCTTCGGTGCAAATACGTCGACATTCCCGACAAGTTCTTGGCTCGCGGAAGGATTTGAGATATAGATCACGATTGTTGATTGATTCCCTGTTAGGGTATTTCGATCAAGATTTTGTGATTCGACTTTCATATAAGAGCCATGGGAATTATTCAGAATAAAAATTCGAAACCAGCTTACCATTCGTAAATCGACCATTAAAGACTACAAACTATCCGAACACCTGCATTAGACAAGGTATTCTTGTTATCCACTGCATTTAGTTAGTGTCAGACTTTGGTATGAACACCCAACAATTCAATTGCCATAATATACGTCTCCACTATCTCATGTCAGAGATGATGATTATGAAACTGTTCATCCTAGTCCGGATATACTGGACAGGTAATAGAGAGGGGAAAGAGAGTTGCAATAGTAGACTCCAGGGCTGGTGACAAATAAAATCAGCGGAGAGGTGTACGGTGTTCCAAAGTCGGCCAAATATCTGTATTGTTCAAACTTCTCTGTTGCAATTTTGACAGATATGGAGTGGTAGAAGAAATACACATTGTGGGATGATATAAACAAAGTCATGAAGAAAGGAGTTTGCTAGCTTATTTCATTGACGGGACAATGGAGCGGAGGAATCAACGCATGATGCCCACGAAGAGTGGCCGGAAAGAGAAATTTGGTCACCCATAGAAGCACACTGGTCCAAGTCAATGTCCGCCGCACTCCCATCACGATTGAACAACGAATCGTTCATAAAATTATCCATCCATGATTGCTGTACCCCGGGTTCAACACCAAACAAGCCCGATGGAATCTGCCCCAGCGCAATCATCGAGCTTATAGAACTCGACTGACCAACAACACCAAGACCACTCATAAATTCCCTTTTTTCCTGGCGAAGGAGTTCGGATTTAATAGACGTGATCACTTCCAAGGCTCGAAGTGCATTTTTGTAAGCTTGGCCAATCTCGCCTAGGGCCTGCGAGCAGATTTCGAGCTGCCTTCGTGCTGTGTCACGGATTTGGAAGTCGGGGGATAGGAAGGCGCTTTGAGTATGCACCAGCATTGCCGTAAATATGAGATGAACGGTCTGGATATTGACTCGGCGGAGCGTGAAGTGGCGACGAATAGCCTGAAGAAGCTTGGTGATAGAAAGAGCGGCATCATGGCAGCATTCCCTGCTGTGGGTTATGTTTTCCTCGGTCAAACCTCCTGGACCAGGTTGCTGGAAGGCGAAGGGCTGATCTACAATAATTCGAACAGCATGGAATTGCATACTATTTCACTATTAGTCTATTTTGGTCAATGAAATGGCCCTGAAGTACTTACTGTAGCTGTAGCACGTGGGGAAGGTGAATGCGACCGATATTTATCATATCCACAGAGAGATTTTCTGATAATCCAGACAGCCAGAGATCAAGCTCGTCTCTGGCTTTGGCTGCAAAAGCATATAGCTTCTTCATGTCAGGCTTGGTTCCTCGAGGGATACTGTAACTGCACAGCAAGTCAGCAAAGATGGACTAACAAATTAGCGTGTCTTTTGACTTGCAGAACTTTGCGTATTGAGGCCATTTTGGTGCAAATTGTGACCGTTCCGTGAGCCACTTCATGAAGTAACGATGGAGATTCCCAATTGTTGGCTTGTTGGTTTTCGTCAATGTATGGGCGCCAAATATCGTTCATGTCAGGCTGAGAACCGCATCGGAAAGGAAGTTGCACAGTAATGTCCAAGTGGTCAATGGATTCGGGGCGTCCAACATATAAGCTCCACATCCTGCAATATGCTAAGTATATGATACCCTTGCTCGCTAGATCACAGAAGCTAACCTTTCATGGGCATAAGTGCCCCAGAATGTAGAGCTGCGGAGGCGAGCTTCTTCAAGGTCTATCAAGCCACGTTCAGCAAAAGGGGCGGCATCGATATGGAGGCCAAGGTCTGTTGCAAGCCGCATCGCCATTCCTATAACATATGGTAGTCAGCAAGGGCAAAATATTTGTTGATATAATACACACCACTATACAGCCAGCCACGAGCATCTCTGGTGAGAAGCGCCTCGACCCCACTTAAGATACCTAGAGACTGGACGGTACTTAGAGTCGGTGAGTCCATCTCAACCTCTAGGAGGGCCTTGGACCTTGTCGCAAAGAAATCAACAAGGGATTCTGGTAGATCAGGACAATAGCGAGAAGTTAAAGTAGCCCCAACAGCACATCTATCATTCCTTTGTATTAGTCAAGTTTCATGGTAGGGCAATTGCGAGCCTATTTACTTACATAGCATTGTTTAAAACCTCAGAATATCGATGATTCGGTTGATTGAGGTTTCGATAGCAAGTTTTTCCCTGATAATATGCCCTCTCATCGACTAACGGGATATTTGGATTTTCCCAAGCGAAGTATAGTTTTGTCAGATGATCCTCCAGTTCTTGATCAACATGACTATTGACCCCAGCTGCTGTAAGGATGAGAGCCTCATTCCAGTGAATCAAGCGAATATTTGAGTTGAAAAGTGGAAAGGGACCAACATGTGATATATGAAGATTTGAAGTGGGCCCAAAAAGTCTCAGCTGCCCATCTTCTGCAATCTGTAATGATCCCATGCGGTCGGATAAATGATTGTCATGGTTTGATGGTTCTTCGGAGATAGACAAGTGCTCTTGGGTATCCTCCGGACTGTCGTTTGACACAGTAAAGATGGATTGTTTGATTATGGATGCCGTGTCATCAGCCACGCCATGAAGTGGCTCGCTTGTATCTGGTTCAGCATCGACCGCAGAAGGAGAAGACGTAGGCAAAGGAGGTAAGAAGTTCGCCGGCCGGCCGGGTGGAAATTCAAGATTATGACGTCGCAGCAAAGACTCAAGATCTTGTACATAGGCTACTAATGTCGAAATTTTCCCTTTTGATGCCATTCTCCGCTTGTCAATCTGTTGTGAATAGGTGCAATCCCGTTTGTAAAGCACACAGACAGAACACTGAGGCTTTAATCCATCACATTTGGTTTTGCGCTTCTGGCAACTACTACACGCCCGGGTGACATGTTTTATTGCTCGTGATCGGGTCTCCGAGCTAGCTTCGTCGAGAGGCAATGTCGCGACCATAGTGTGGGACAAACTCGTGAGCGTTTTTTTGTCCAATTTTGGAAATGATGTGCTTGTTTGAACAAATTAGGTCGCTTTGCAAGGAGAAAAGATGGTCAACATCATAGACTATTAGGGATAATGAAGGAAGATGGTGTGTGAGTGCTGGAATCTTTGCCTAGGGGCCACAAATTTGCCCATTTGCTGACCTCACCGCGATGCCCGGGCGCAATCCTGGAGTCCCCGAAGCCCCCGCTTCCCCAATGCCCCACCCATTCTTCCCCGCGTCCGAATATAGTGGTTACTATGTAGTCGCTAAAACGGTTCATGCTGGTGAGATCATTGCTTGAAACAAAACATATTTTGAAACTTCGAATACTCATATAATTTACTCGACTAAATATAAACTAGGGACACAATCCTCCGATAGTTACAGCCTTGATGTTTTGATATTCGCTGAGACCATATTTGCTTCCCTCTCGTCCAATGCCACTCTCCTTGACTCCTCCAAATGGAGATTCAGCTGCACTGATCAATCCAGTATTGACACCAATCATGCCACATTCCAGTCGCTGCGCAACTCGGAGAACACGATTAATATTTTCACTGAAGAAGTATCCTGCCAGGCCAAAATCGGTGTCATTGGCCATTTCAATGACTTCTTCCTCGGATGAGAATGGGAAAATGGCTGCCAGAGGTCCGAATGTCTCATCAGATGCAAGGAGCATGTTTTTATTGGCATTTGTGATAATAGTTGGTTGGTAAAAGTACCCAAAGGGAGGAGTATCAGCTGGCACATCACCACCATATCGGAGTTGACCTCCCTTTTGGATAGCATCTTGTACATGGCTCTTGACTTTCTCAACAGCGGCAGCATTGACAAGAGGGCCATGGGTGATCCCTTCATCGATTCCACGTCCCAACTTGAATGATTGAACTCGACGGATCAGTCCCTGAGTAAAGTCCTCCAAGACATCTTGATGCACATAAAGTCGGTTTGCACAAACACATGTCTGACCAGAAGCGCGGAACTTGCAAATCAAGGCTCCTTCAATGGCTTTCTCAATGTCCGCATCATCAAAAACAATAAAAGGTGCATTCCCACCAAGCTCCATGCTAACTCGCTTTACTGTACCCGCAGCAAGCTTGGTGAGCATTTTGCCAACGTTGGTTGAGCCAGTGAAGCTTATCTTTTTGACCTTGGGGTGTGTGGCCAGCTCCAAAGAAGCCTTGCGGTCTTTAGTAGGTACGACATGGACGATATCAGGCGGGAAACCTGCTTCAAGAGCAAGCCTGACCAGTGCGATCGCAGTAAACGGTGTCTCGCTAGGCGGCTTGATGACAACTGAACAGCCTGCCGCAAATGCCGGTGCGATCTTCCGAGTGATCATAGCAGCAGGGAAGTTCCAGGGTGTGATTATACCACATACACCAACCGGCTCTCTGAAAGTCAAGGCTGTAGTATTCTGGTAAGAAGACGGAATGACGTCGCCATATGATCGAACTGCTTCTTCGGCAAACCATGCAACAAAAGATGCTGCATATGTCACCTCGCCTTTTGCTTCTGCGAGTGTTTTGCCATTCTCTAGAGAGAGTATTTTCGCAACTATGCATCGTCAATAGATAAAGTGACTTGGAACCAGTTTCCACTAACGATCGTCAAGATTCTCCAAGATAAGGTCGTTCCATTTGCGCAGAAGCGAACTTCTTTGCTTGGCAGTGGTATGAAGGAAATATTGTCGAAATCCACGGTCGGCTGCTTCGATAGCTTCCACAAACTGTTCTTGAGAAAAGTCCGCACAATGGGCCAGAATTTGACCAGACGAGGGCTCAGTGACAGGAAACGTCTTATTTAGACCTGCATGTCTCCACTTGCCTGCAACAAATCCCCTGTTGTCAAAAAGCGCAGGGTTCGCTAGGTGAACAGGGAGTTGGCAATCAGGGTTGTTCATCTTGGACTTTGAACTGATATTATGATTGACTTTTCGCTTTCGGAATATGTGAGGCCAATATCAGAAAAATGTAGAAAGTCACCGATGGCGGTTACTTGTATTATTTCATATCCTCCTCCCTCTGGCTTGGCAAATTGACCAACCGGAATTACTATTCCCAGCTTGCCGCGGTTATAGGTCACGGAGCATCGGGAACATCTCCGAAGTAGATCACCAAAGTTCTGCCGTATTTTTGGAAACGTTATAAAGAAAAACACAGCAAATGAGAGCAATTTGCACTACGGAGTAGTTTAATTCGATGTTGTAGCAATACCGGCTACCGGCGGAAACAATACCGGCTACCTGTTAAAACTGCTCTGTTATATCTGACTTATATGTACCAACGATATATCCATCTACCGAGGCCTATCCGTAACCACACCGATAAAGACATACCCTGAAACCGATGTAAGCGAAGATCGTAAGTCAACTGTGGCTATGCCAGCCAACTCGCCAAACTTGCAAGACAAACAATCGTTATCCCGAAAACATATCTGAAGATCGTTGACGAGAGCGAACGCCCTGGCCCGGATGGTAATTCAGGCAAGATTCTGATACGTAACACTAAGATCACGATGTGGTACTGGCAAAACAACAAGCCACATCAAAAGTCTTCAGTCTATATAGATGGTTTCGTACCGGCAATATCGGCACATGCAAAGGTGGCGAGTATGTTATATCATCCATCGAAAGGTTAGCCCATCATCGTTAGAAATCGCATATGAAACAAAAATACTACATGTTGAGGTATGATGAAGGGGAAAAAAGTTGTTGAAATAGGCTCACGTCTGAGGCCCGATACATATATTATTACGGAGGCAACGGCACATGGAAATTGTCTCCAACAGGGTGTATTCATATTTCTTGTACTAATGCTTTAGGTATTTAAACCTCAATGCGCCCATTGTGCAATCCTCCAGTGACAGCGATATCCGTACCTGTTGTATACGAAGCGCCTTCTCCTAACAAATAAGCTACGGCAAGTGCCAAATCCTCGGGCTGTCCAATGCGTCCCATTGGAGGTGTTGTTCTAAACACGTCCTGGATATCCGCGAATTGTGCGGACATTTTCGTTTCGATGAACCCTGGGGAAATGGTGTTTACACGAATGTTGAATGGGGCCATTTCGACCGCAAGTGTCTTCCCCAAAACCTTGATGGCCCCCTTTGAGGCACCGTAGATTGAAACTCGCTGAGCTGGTATAGCACAATGCGCAGCGATGGAAGCAACCATAACAATAGATCCGCCGTTGCCTTGCTTGACCATTTGCTTGGCAGCTAGCTGTGCCGAGAAAAATGACCCCAGGACCTGCATTCATTGTTAGCAAAACATGAGTAACTGATTGTGTTGATTAATCATACATTGATGTCAAGAACACGACGGGACTCTTCCCATGAGTGTTCGAGAAAGGGTTTGTCAAGAGCAATCCCAGCGCATGTTATACTATAGTCACACAGTCCATGAGCTTTACACGTTTCTTTAAATGGGTCTTAAGAAAAATCCGGAAACTTACCAATTATCGACCTTGCCCAAGTCCTCAACTACTTTATCAAAAGCAAGTTCCATAGCAATCTTCGAGGTAACATCCATTCTAGGATTGAAGGATTAACTGCTGTATAAAGGTATGCATTTAGTAGAATTCTTACCGCTGAAAGATAAAACGAGAACCATAGTCCGTTTCCAGCTGGGAAACACTCGTCTCTGGTTCATGAACATCTAAAATAGCGACATCGCTGCCTAGTGCCGCTGCTGTTTTGGCTAAGGCTAAGCCAATACCTCGCGATCCCCCTTCCCAGGAAAAGGTCAACACTGTTCAACTGTTCATATTGGAGATGCTGGTCTGATACATACCAGTTACCACGGTAACCTTACCACCAAGTGACAACTTGGAGTCTATCAGTTCCCTTGCAGTTTTCAAAACATTTGACAGCCGGTAAGAGCTGGTGCTGAATGCATGTCTTGCGAGCGGTGCATACTTTGACAAGATGTAGCCAGGAGCACTGAACTTTCCGCCAGTGGGCAATAACACTTGGCGAGGAAGCGCTTCGACGACTCGCAGTGCAAGATGTCTTCTGATCATTTTCACTGGAGTGCACAATTCCTGGTAAATGTTGCGGAGTTTGGCTAGGAATTTGAAGGGCGATTTTTTGGATACGCCGGTAAATGTGGAATTTTGAATGGGTATTTTAGATTTCCTCTAGGCAGATTGGTAGTTTTAAAGAAATGCTATGTACTGCACGGCTACCACATGAGTGCCTGTAAAATTTGTATCTAATTTTATATCAATATGCTCCTGATTGTAAATTAGAACCCATGACTCAATGTCCGGAGTAGCTTTCCCACGGGTTTACACTTCCTCGGATCGCTCATCATCGTCCGACCCATGGGTCCGCATCTATCGGATCTATGAAAATTTGAAATAAAGGCCAAACGTGGGACTGAATACTTGATAAGTTAGTTGAAATAATCGAGAGGCACAGTAATAGAGGATTAGAGACGGTGCTATTTGATATTAATCTAAGGCGATGTCATAACGCGCTATATATATCGGAGCCTGAAATATCTGAGGGTAATGCTTAGATATAGTGGTCTTTTTGGTCTTGTGTGTAACTCGCCAGTCCAGGGGTAGGATATAACAGGCAAGTCCCACCCATTGGAGGATTGTCTCGACACAAGACCCCACTACCTGGTGATTGATTTACAAGAAAGAGAAACCCGGAGAATTAGAAGTGATGGGGATTGGCTGCTTTATATAATGTTTCAAACAACACTTGAACAATATACTCGACTAGCGAAGAACCAACTTCTAGAACTCCACTATTTGAACTACCTAAGCCAAGCTTATTCAATCAAGAGCATCGAGAATATATACTAGATACCACAGCCGAGTTCTGGGAGGGGTGAACGAAATTAGGGAATGACATGCACGTTTTCCTTATCAACTCGTGGGGCTCGGAGTGTAACAGACTGTAGCCTCAAATAGTAGTTATCAGTGTTAGTATGAATGACTCATGTTCATAGTAATAGAAGAAAGTTTTATGCAATCCTATCGAGTTTCTAAACATAGGGGCAGCATGTGACAATTAAGCCAGCAAGAAGTGTCAGGAAATAAAGGGGCAGGCAAAAGTTGAAGTACAAAACCAGAATTTACAAAATTGAAGATGCAAGTCTCTGATAAATATGCGGCAATTGATGGGCAAAGCTGCCTCCTTCGTGCCAAAACAGTCCTGTAAGAGCAAAAAGAACCACTCCATATGTCTCCTTCTTCGTGCTTCGGATCCACCGCCACATAGTGTTGAACATCCATAACTTGGACCGAGGTACCTCCTTGAACATACCAACTTGGGACTTGAGTGCTTCTTTCCAGTATGTTGAAGCATAGCCCGGCCAGGATGCAGAGTTACGCCCATGTGGATTGATATACCAGTTAGAACACCCAGCTTCAAAAACACTTCCTTTCAGCTCAGCCTGCAGGGCGTTCACCCACTGGTATTCCGCTGTGGGCTTGACTTCTAAGGAATAGATCCGGCGGTCTATAATAGGCGCAAGCAATGTCCGAGCAAGATAGTCGACTTGCACCTCAGAAGCAAAGAGGACGGAGTTATGCGCCGGAAAGGTATTAGGACCAAAACTGTATAGAGTAATGTCAGTTTAGGGACTCATAATATAGACTGTTAATACATACAGCAGACCAAAGTTTGGGAAGTTGTGCACATATACTCCCATATATGCCTGCGCACCACGGGACTCTAGCCATTGCTGCGAGAGGCTTTTACCGTCCGCACCATACACCTCCATAGGCACAACAAACTGCTGGACGTCAAAGCCTGTCGCAAGAATAATCGCATCATATTCAGTCCGCACACCATCAGTGCCGGTGATACCCGTCTCGTCAATGTGGTCAATCCCCACAGGGGCCAACTCGACGTTGCTGCGATGAAGACTTTCCAAATAGTTAGGGTCAAAAATACGTCTCTTGCAGCCTTAATGAGGGTGTTGTTAGAATACGAGCTTTGAATATCAAAAGTGAGTAAGGAAAGGGCCTACCTAGAGGAAAGTCAGGCACAAGGAACTTGTGATACTTCTCGGGCGCGGTCTGATAGATGTATTCGCGTGCGCCGCTCTCAGCCTTTGCACGCATCTTTTCGGCGGCATGTCCGGGAAGGTAAGTAGCCACAAGGCTGTCACTGCTAAGAAAAAGGCGCAAGCGGAGGTAACGCTCCCACAGTGGAATGTTACGCAGACACCACTTCCCGAAAGAAGTGAAGCTCCGGTTCGGCCGCTCATGATACCACTGTGCACTCCGAGCATATTGCTTCACGGATCTAGCCTCTTTTGCGATGGCAGGAACCACTTGTGCTGCACTACATCCGTTGCCGATCACCGCGAGTCGCTTTCCGCGGTAGTCAAACTCGTGATTCCATCGTGCAGTGTGAAAGATTTCACCATTGAAACTTTCCATCCCAGAGAACTTGATGTCTCTTGGCTTCGAGATACCACCAACGGCAGATATAAGCACGGTAGCGGTTCGGGTGTATTTGACTTGTGTCTTGATATCAAGGAGGTGGACTTCCCAGAATCCCTGCTTGTTCCAGGATGCGGAAATACATTCAACGCCAAACTGCATGTGCTTCCGGAGATCAAACTTATCTACAGTTTCTTCCATGTCTAACTCACGCGACATGTGTTAGTACAATTTCTCATGATGCTTTGATTCAGGGCAGTTCAACCCACAGTCGAGAATTTCGGGCCCTTCACATAATTCTTTTGACCAGTTCGGGTTTTGGTTGAACGAAAACGAGTAAAGCAGGGTAGGTACATCACAGCCCCTGTGCAGATTTAAACAATTAGACAAGCCACCAAAAGCCAGTCAGGACCGTACGTACACTCCTGGATATGTGTTTTGTCTCCATGTTCCTCCTGGGCCATCCAATTTGTCATAAAACTATAAGATTGTCAGACATACTTTTTCATCTCCCACAAAGGTTTCGTTTTTCTAGTGCTTTTGCTGACTCACGGTAAAGTCGTTGAACCCCAATCTGTGTTTGAGGGTGTGTGCCAGAGCAATACCAGATGGACCAGCACCGATAACAATAACCTCTGGACTATTCATCATGAGTGAAACCACAGAAGCTCTTTATGAACATCCAAAGCCAGCATTGAAGATATTCCAACGCTTAGGTATCGAGTTTATATAATTGTGCACTGGCCCACTTGGTGTAGATTGACAACGCAAAAGCTCATCACGAGAATCATACGGGCTGGAATGCCGTGGTGAAGCTCAGCAGTAACCTAGGAGATACAGGGGCCGATCATAGAGCCGAGGAAGAGAGCGGAGCCAGATGGCAAGTGTCCATAAATGGACATATATAGATTGCAACCCGCGGGATTATAAACCCGGCCCACCAGCAATGCGGTATGCTACCACAAACGATCTTGATCCGCGCACCAAGGAAGAAACCAAATCAAGTAAACTTTTGAATTTGCCCCATCTTTACCCCGGACTGTGGAGACCCCAGTTCAACCCCATGTTATGAGCTTGCGGGCTTCATATAAAAAACTAGAAGCCATCGATTTGTTCACTGTTTCGATACAAATCTAAAAGATTCCCTAATATTCAAAGCCTCAGAATACAGAAAAAAATACCGACCATGAAAGAGCTCAGAGGGAAAGCGTTGTACCGTCTCATGCGGTTCTGCTGTTGCTTGGTACGTGGGTCTATATCCACACAACTCCACAAAATGTCTCGACTAACAACATCATAGGCTTTTGGTCTGTACGGGTACGCAACACACTCTGGAATCTCAAGCCTGTCTTCTATAATCTCAACAAAAAACAGATACGATGCCGGAGTTCTAGGTGGAGTTCAGGAAACAAGACCCTTTCGCGAGGCTCTCGGAGTAGGTCACAGGTATACCCAATGTGTGATACCAAGCTAACTAGGAGAGAACCCAACCGGCCCTTATATTATTCCTATGGTAGCATCGAGCTATACCCTCGCAGCTACAGTATGTGCACTTGCAGTCTCATGGCTTGGCATGCCCTTGGGCCGACGAGGCTGTATAGTGTTAGGTGACGCGTTAGTGATAATTGGAGGGATTCTCCAAGCCTCATCTTGGTCTGTGCCTCAGATAATTGTAGGGCGGGTGGTCTGTGTAAGTTCCCTATTGGTCAAGTTGGTTACATATCTAATAGATGAGACAACAGGGGTTTGGCGTCGGTGTTTGTATATCCTCCCGATTTGTTAGTGAACCGCATATCTAACAAATTGATGGTGCTAGTTTATTTCATGTGCAGTACCAACATACATGGTATGGTTGAGATCTACATGTGCTGTGCAAAGTGACTGACTCCATATTGCCGCAGGCTGAGATGAGTCTCACAGAGAAGGAACGAGGGCCGGAGGTAGCATTCCAGTGCATATTTCTTGTGAGCGGTTGCGCGTTCGCGTATTGGGTGGACTTTGGCTTCACGCGCCTTGACAATCAGATTTCATGGGTAAGAACACTTTTTTTTTTCGATATTTTGCTATTTATCCGCTCAATAATCATAGCGCGTTCCCATCGGGTTTCAAGCTGGCCTCGCTGCTGTTTCGGGTGTGGGAATGTTTTTGTTGCCGGATACACCTCGATGGTATTACCTTCGCGGTCATCTAGAGGAAGGAGACAAAATCTTATCTCGTCTCTACGACCGGCCTGTGTTGGACTCTGATGTCCAAACAACGCGAGAGTCAATCCTGAAATCGCTTGAACTTGAGTCTGAGGAAACCAAAACCTTGAATCCGATAGATCTCTTTTGGGATCGAACCAACTTGCGGGTAGGACGACGCTTGCGCATCGCTTTCTTGATGTTGTCTATACAACAGATGATGGGTAGGTATAATCTCCTTCATTGAACTTGCTATCGACCTTTCTTCTCATTATATACAGGAATCAATGTAGCTGTTTACTACAGTGTCACTATATTCTCACAGATTGGTCTATCCTCTACGCTGTCCCAGCTTCTCGCTGCTGTTATGAACACCATTTTCGCAATCGGCTCTCTCTTTCTTCCTTCGACTATTGAGATCTTCGGAAGGAGGAACATATTGATGTTCTCCGCTGGAGGTCTAACAATCTGTCTTTCTATTTTTGTCGCAATGATCGGATCCCAGGATCCTACCCTGGCAAAGCAGTGGGTTGCAGTGGCCGCAATAATTGTATCTAATCTTATGTTTGGATATGGATGGATTGGTGTTTGTTGGTTATATGGTCCCGAGGTAAGCTTTCTCAACCCCAATCTCCGAAGGCGAGTTTAGCACGCTTACATCCCACAAGATCGCTTCACTACAATTCCGTCACATTGGAGGGGCCGCCAGTTCATTCGGGGAATGGCTTTTCTGCTTTATCACGGCTTTTGCTGGAGGTATTGGGCTCGAGAAAGTTGGGTGGAAGTTGTGGCTTTGGTGCCTCCTTTCATGCGCGGTGGCTATGCCGTTCGTCTACTTCATGTGCCCGGAGACGACTGGAAAGACACTGGAAGAAATAGATTTATTGTTTCAAAAGGCGAACGAGTCTCATCATAATAACGCTGATTCTCTCGATGCACGTTCGAGTGAGAAGGATGAGGTTCATTATGTTCACCAAGAGACTACTCCTGTGTGAAAAGAAACAGACACTAGGCCATGAACTGAGAAGAAATATCAATCATATATCTTATGCTAGAGTCTTAATATCTCCTCTGTATATTTCTATGGATATAAATCTCTGAATTGATTGCGAGAAGCTTTATTTCAAGTCTTAAAAAAACCTCAAATTGGCATGGAGAATTTCCCAGGCCCCAGGCATAAATAAGACAGTGAATTCTATTTTTCGACATCGGAGCGAACTCGCCAAATGCTTCGCCCTCGCATTCTTTGTTTAGTCATTAGATGGCCGGCAAGCCCAGAACCTCGCAATATTCCGATTAATTAATTACATGAGTCAGGCAAGCAGAGTCATGAAAATTAACTTTATCCATTGTCCAAAAGAAAAACGGACAGCCTCGGCAATTGAAGTATACCCCGGATTTCAATATACGATACTCTAGCATACGGACTTTAGGATCACTAGCCTCCACAATCCCCGCATTTTATGAGTGATATTGCGGGAGTGATATCCCATTCTGGATAAGGAGAGTGATGATATAAAACTCCTCGTGCACAACTCAGTATTAAGGCCAAGGATCATATTACGACTTTCTCCAACAATGCTAAGTCTCCAAGGTCGAGCACTACAAATTGCCATTGCAGTAAGCGCTGGCAGTGCATACCTCCTGTTTGGGTACGATCAAGGCGTACTGGGGGGTTTGGTATCATACCCAGGTTTCCTGTCAGCCATCGGTAATCCTAGCTCTGGATATCTAGGGACCATCGTGGCTCTTTTCAACATCGGTTGTCTGATAGGATGTGTGATTTCGGCATTCTTTGGCAATCGATTGGGCAGAAAAAATGCCATTACTCTCGGATGCGTGATTATGGTTATCGGAGGTGCAGTCCAGGCCAGCACATACAGCGCGGGTCAGTTGATCGCTGGGCGCATAATTTCTGGAATTGGCAATGGTACATATAAACTAAAGTTACGAACCTCGACATCTCATATGCTAATTTGGAAATCTGAATCGAAAGGTATCAATACCTCAACAGTCCCAGTTTACGTGTCTGAAACATCCCGAACCGCTGTACGTGGGAGATCGCTCGCCATCCAGATGTCAATTGTTATTGTATGGAACTTGAAACTCTCATATTTTTGCCCCTTTGTTGACAATTTCCAATAGTTTGGCACAGTCGTTGCCTACTGGCTGGACTACGGAATGATTCGCACTCAAATTGGCGAGGTACTCTTGGGCAACGTCCTTTATTCTTATTAACCGCGCTCACCTGCTTACTAGGTTGTCTGGCGCTTTCCTCTGGCATTTCAAAACTTCTTCGCTTTGATCACCATTATTACTATGCCAGTATTGCCCGAATCACCAAGGTACGTCCGATGTGTCTGAAGCATGGAATGAAACAAAATTTAGTGACAACTGCAGATGGCTGTACTCACATGGACGGCAACGCGAAGCTATATGTGTACTTTCAAGTTTGCTTGCTGTATCAGAGGATCATTCTGACGTGTGCACGGTCGTGGCTGAGATGGAGCAAGCTCTTTCAGTGGAACAAAACAACAAGAAAAAACTGTCTATCTCGAACTTGTTGTTCGAGAAAACGGAAATGAAGTATGCACGCCGCCTGACATTGTGTTTCGTGGTCCAATTATTTCAACAATTCACTGGAATAAACGTGATTGCGTTCTACGGTAAGAGGTAATTAGTTACTCAATGGTATGTGATAAGCTAAAATCTTGCCTAGTTACCATCGTACTCGAAACGAACGTTGGACTCTCGCCCGACCTGAGCAGCCTTGTTGCCGGGTTTATACAGATCGCATTCTGGGTTGGCACATTCCCGCCGATATTCCTCATTGACCGACTTGGTCGCCGAAAAGTGCTGATGTTAGGATCAACTATGCTTTGTCTGACGATGGTGTTGTTCACAGTGGGAATCGCTCTGAAGACACCCGCGACGTCGCGGCTGGCCTTGGGAATGCTTATCATCTACGAAATATCGTTTGGAATGAGCTGGAATGCAGTGCCCTGGCTATATGCGCCTGAGATCACCCCGCTCAACATTCGACATGTTGGGGCAGCTGTTGGCTGCTTTTCTGAGTGGTTATGGACATTTGTTAGAACCCATCTATTTCATCCTTTTTTTTCATGCTTTCGTCCGGCTAATCTTGGATTTGTGATCAGGTAATTGCACAAATGACACCTGCGGCCATTGCCAATACAGGTTGGAAGATTTATCTTCTTTTCTGTTTGATGACTGCTCTTAGTATTCCATTCGTGTATTTCTTCATGCCAGAGGTTTGTGATCCCCTTGCTTGCTCATGTTTATATTGATGATGACTGTTGACCAAAATTATGAGAGCAGACAAGCGGAAAGTCACTGGAAGAAATTGATTACATATTCGTGAAGCACAGAGCCCAGTCAAATGAGCTGCAAGATACTACTCATTTCTCATATAAACTGGGGATGGAAAATTCGGAGGGTCAGTTGGCACAGATCGAGAGAGTCTGAGTATACAAAGGAATAGAAGAAAAAGACACAGATACGTGATCATTCGTATATAAATTTCAAGATGACGATTTGAATTGATATTGCGCACAGCTATATCAATGGGATTCTGTATTCTCTATGTAGCGTTAAACATCGAAAATGCTGTCCTCATGTTCATCAACTGGCATATAATGAAGCTTGAGCCCACCATCTTACTACAAAAGTAACGATCGCAACACGTTCCAATCATCGTCAATATTTTCATGCTCATAAATGTCGATTGAAGGGTGTCTTTGCGGATCTGAGAATATGGTTTCTGTTTGTGGGAGTGCTTGTGTCGACGAGAGTTGTGACTGATATGGATTGTGTACTGGGCCACTGAATGTATATGAATCTTCATCTGACTCGCTGTCTTCTTCGGAGTATAGGTCCAAACTTCCTCCTTCCGTAGATGCAAGATCCTGTAATAGACTTCTTTCTGCAGGTGTCATCATGAAGTGAGAACAGAGCATCTTGCTCATTTGCGGGGGATTAAGGTTGTCAAGCTGGTCTGCAATGGTTGGCGATGAAGCAAAGGTCTCTTGGTGGCTGTTAGATTTGCGCTGGGCCATCATTATTCTTTTGTGGCTGGGTCTATTGCTTTCTAGTGAATCATGGAGTTGCGTATCTTCAATTTCAAGTGAAATCTGTGTATTTCGAATAGCAACATCCAAAGATGCGAGGACTGATGCCGCAGAAGCGTATGTTTCTGTGAGCTGCTGAAGCCCCTGCGCACATGATTGAAAGAATTCCATGGCTGACTGACGTGTCAAAGACTCTGTGGACTCAAGGTTGTCCAAGTGTGTGATGATAGCGGTTTCTAGCGCCGTGACTTGCGAATCTGGGAACAAGTGAGTGAGACACCGAGACCTCAGATATATGTATGTTTGGGTGATGGTGTCTGCCGAGTAGCAAAGTCTTCGTTTTGACAGCTCGGTGAGCTCAGGAAGACTTGAGGCTGTCACGAGAAGCTGCGGCCGATGCAAAGCGCTGCACGCAAGACCATAGATACCGCTCAGCATTGCTCGGAAATGCAAAAAAACCTCTCCGTGCTTGCTTATCTGAAAGAAGGGATCGGATGGGTACCATCGAAGAGCGTCAGGGAGAGTGGCAAGCCATTCCTCGAGCTCAATATCACGGAGCAAGACTTCGACATTCATGGCATGCGGTCGTCTTGGTGAAAGGGTGGCCATGAATATGTTTGTGAATTGATTTGGTTCTCTGAATCGTGTATATTGGCATTCTAGAATGCGTGTGATACACTTGCAGCATTGCACCAGAGTAATACTAATTTGAGACAAAACGCTTCGCATAGACGGATCCCTAATCGCTGGGTGGCTTCCATCATCCCCCAGACAACACCCGGTCGGCAAGGGACCAGCTTCAAAGTCAGAAGGTTGAAGCGTGTCACTGCTAAAGTCGGACTCGTAAAACTGAAATGGACGTCTTGTTTGGAGACAAACTAGTCGATCTCTGATGTAGCACGACCAGGAGAGTCGATTCCAAAGGCCCGGTTGCTGTTGAATAAACTTCTGTTCCGAATCTGTTGGTTTTGCTTTGATTGAGTCAAAGATGCTCCTTGCAACACCAACAAAATGCCAAGCACCCTGGTCTTGATCGGAGGTGTCGTCCCAATATGTCATCAGCAGCACAGACTGCAAAATAGCAATGCGATCTTCTTCGCAACCGTAAGAATAAAGGAGGTTGATGCGATCAAATCGAGCTTTTCTAGCTTCTCTCCTATCCTTGAATCCTTCGAGCACCAGGGAATCGACTGGTTGAAATGCGGTAGCGGCGAATATCACCGCTTGAAACAATAGGAAGCTGACACCCCGACTATCGTTATAACTCGTATCAAGAACCATCAGGAACTCCTCTGAGCTCAAAATCGGTAATGCCGGGTGCACAAACTGGAAATATGCGTTCAGAATCCGTGCTCTGCTCCTGGGGTCTGGGACATCGAATGCCCCTCGTTCGTGAAGAACATTGCAGTCTTCCGAGGTTATAGAGTGCGACAAGGGACTAGCATAGTCTGGCAGCCATTTGCAAGAATTCGACCGCTTATTGCGAAAGGATGTTCTATTTTCGATAGCGCCTAGAGACGTATGTTCAGGTTCGCTCCAATATGGTGGTGTGCGATCTGTTTTCATATTAGAAAGCTCCGTTCTTCTCCTTCGGGGCATCTCCCAGCACATACCCACGGTTTCAATTGCCTGGGGGGCGTCCAGCACATCTTTATCCACCAAAGCCATATTTCCTGAAACCTGGTCCTCTGATGTAGCTTTCATCGCAGCCTTGGCCCGCTTTCCCCTTCTATCAATCGGTATAGAACAAGGGACATTGTAGAAACGACATGAGGTGCAAGGGGCACCTCTGAGGGTTACATCACACCTCACCTTTCGACAATGACAGCCAGAGCACGCTCTCACGGATCGCTTTCGCTCAGTTCGCCTTTTGGACAGATGTGCCCTGAAGTTGGGCATCGTAGAAATCGGGAGTATATCGGACGGCAGCTCGTGGGTTGGGGTCACAGTTTAGGGATCGAGTACGAAACGGACTGATAAATCTTCAGACAAATAATAGACCCGGCAAGATACCAAGCGGAAAATTATGACGAAGCCTAAATCGCCAAACTGTTCTGATACGACGAGGGGATGGAGACCAGTGATATGTTCTCCACGGGTATAACTATGGGAACTCTTGGAGCTAAGTCTACAAGTCCTGGGTGGTAGCTTGAACTACAACGATATCTCACTACGTTTTGAATCCACTCACACCCTTTGCTACCAAACCTCTCCACCTGCCTGGCACCTACAGCGTGGACATAGCCCTGCTGACTAAGTGCCATTCTAGACCGGAATTGTAAACCCGCGGAATTTCGCAAGCGCATTTCACTGTAGTTGCGAACAATCTACGGAGTAACCGGTCAAATGACAGAATACGACAATTATGGAATCTGGAAACTAGCAGAAAATAAGCATCCATTTTACACATAGTGTCTTACATTCCACGTGCCGAAGTCTCTGAATTCTGGGGACTCCAATTCTTCTTCCTCAAATCAGAATTTCTATGGTCTAGATTGCGGTCAACTGAATGATGGGTCATGCTCCTAAAAGGGCCAGGACAATCGAATCGGGGGCTTGCTCGCACTGTGTCGCTCGACGGGAACGGTGCTACATTGGTGTGCGGGGCCTTCCGTGCTCTAACTGTCGCCGCTTAAACACCCGTTGCGACGGCATTGCTAGTCAGGAGTAGGTTGTTTCCTCGATTTTGTCTACAATGGAATGCTATGGAGCGCATATTCACTGACTGGTATATCGTGAGCTAGAGTTAGAACGAAGCAGAGACTCCCGTCTAGGGTCTACTGTGATGGTAAGTGAAGATGAAGTGCGCGGCACCTTCCCATTTTGAACCGTATCTTATCGAGATAATCTGTTCTTAATCCAGATGGATTGTTTGAATCTCAAATACGCAAAACTGAGCAACAGCAATTACCTCGAGCTCGTATCACCGCGGATATTCCAACAACCGATCCGTTAGAGAATTATGTCACAATAATGCATCAACTTCTCGGTCCTAAGCCACCCGACGGAGCATCTTTGAATAGTACCCCTCGATACATATCAGAGCTTCCAACTTGTTTAGAAGTCAGTGATCTTGACTATTTAGAGAGCAAGGGGGCTTTATGTCTTCCCACGGCGCCATTTCGAAAGCAGCTTTTGAAAAGCTACGTATTATGGGTGCATCCTCAGGTACCAGTGTTGGATCTAGATAGGTTTTTGCGTTCAATCGCTACGAATGACGGTACAACTCGCATTAGCCTACTGTTATTCCACGCAGTCATGTTCGCCGCATCTGCCTTCGTGGATATATCACACATCCAAGACGAGGGATACATGTCGCGAACGGCAGCTCGTGAAGTTTTGTTTCGGCGAGTAAAGGTTCGCTTCAATCAACCCAGCACACTACGGGTATTACTCTCTATTGGTATTAATAGCGTTGTTAGGTGCTTTTGGACCTCAATTGCGAAGATGACCCAATTTCAACGGTGCAAGCCCTGCTTCTACTCATTCATTGGAATAACTTACCTCAATCGGAAAAAGGTGCCAGCCACTGGATAGGTATCTGCCTATCGTTAGCAATATCTATTGGTCTACACCGGAATCCAGATTGCTCTGTCTTCACGCCATCTGAGCAAAAGATGCGTAGACGTACCTGGTGGAGCGTGCATAATCACACTCGACTAACCGTTGACAATCTGCTCTCTGTGATACGCATGCAGGAGGATCGCGAGGACAGAAATCTGTTCGATATTTCGATGATTGCACTGAGCGACTTCCAACTCCACCTTTTCCCCCCTCAGCTACGGGCAGTTGTGGACGATTGTGAGGTACTTCGCAACGTTGAATATCAAAAGACACAAGCCATAATTTTTATCGAAAAGACTAAACTTTGTCAATTATCTCGATTCTCAAGCATTTTGAACCGAGTGCAAAGTTTGGTATGTGGAGAAAACATAGGAAATGGCGAAGCCCATTCAAAGCCAAGATCAACACAAGACGAGATAGAGAAGCATCGGCTATGGCAACTTCAGCTCCCTGTCCCGGCTAGTCACCAGTTCCCCATAGACATGGTTCCGACAGAGTGCGAAAGGAGCATTTATTTGCACCAATCCTGGCTTCGACTCATTTATCTGGGTTCATTGTACACCGCATGCTGCAACAACCCAGAAGCGTCGAGCGGGAATTTGTATATCTCTGGTCACAATTCCCGGGCTGTGCTAGTCGACAAGTGTTTCCTTGATATTGCAGATGTCTTTGATGAAATCGACTGTCTAGAACTATCCGAGCAGCTACCATGCCCAACGTCGGCGTTGTTGATACTTCTCTTAGCCTACCACAAGCAGCTTTCCCACGCTAATACCGAAAGAAACACACGCCAAAACTCTCGTTCGCTACACAAATGCTGGAAAATTCTGCAAAAGCTGAAAGAAACATCGGATATGGCTGCTCGTGTCACCGCTGCCGTCGAAGACGCGACCTGTGACGAGATTTGTGACGAGCTTTGGGCATCAATTTTGAGTATCACTTGCAAATGATCTCGCCGGTAGTTCGTGCGAATCCCCTTCTCCTATGAACAAGAAGCCATGGGCAAGTTGCATTGACCCTCTAGATAAAATTATCACAAAACTTTCCTACGGGTCCATTTCACCATGTAAAATACCACACAACCTTGCATCGGGGCAATCGCAATAGGAGCAAGAAGACGGATAATCGCGTCTATGATGTAGTAAGAACAACCATATGACAGCAGTCAGAACTCATAGCTTCTTCAACGAAGAGGATATTCGCTATTACTACGCAACAGCCTCGGCTCTTCTGCTCCTCAATGGTTGGTGCTGGGGTGGCCCCAGTGGCGCCTCCTAGCCCCAACTAGGTGGGGAAGTCTTAATTTCGTAATCCTAGCATTGTAACGCAACAGAATATCGCCGGGTTCCTACGCTAAACAAATGGATCTCAGAGACCATTTTCGTCCTATGGTGGCTTATTGTACTCAAGCTCATGCGAAATCTCTGGGTTGTTTGCTTGAATCAGATAAGGCGAAAGAAACGTAGGGCGAGTTCAAAGATCTTGAACAATAAGGTGCAGATGCCATCAGCTGGACTATCTATCACTACCGCTATGAACGCTCTGTTGCATAGGTAAGCAGCAATCAAGTCAATACTGAAGAAATAATACCTAATAATCCAACAATTGATCACTTCTCGAGGAACAGCTGCTACGCTCGTCATTGATACATAAAAACTGTCAAGCGTTGTTCTTAGTTCTACGTTTCTGGGGGATGAAAAGTAACTAAAGTTTTCTAAATTTTCAAGGGAAACTTCGAACATATTACTAAGATGAAATGAATGGCAAGTGTCATAGCAAAAGTATGCAAGGCAATGAAATGACTGGAATCCAATAAATATGCCGATTTTAGTTGTTATTCAGTTCCTTTTCTAGAAAAGCGAAAATAGTGAAACTCAATATAGGATAATACAGCAAGATTTTACCGAGGATCCAAGCTGGGTCTTCTATAAATGCCCGAAATGTTAGGATCTATATCCGACGGATCATACTCGGGCAAAAAATCAAGCCAAGGTCGTGCAGGCAAAGCAGGGGTGTAAGGACCAGGAACGGGCCGGTTATAAGCCTGGTAAGTGTCAACTGGAGGACGAGGGCGAGGCATCACTGGAATCCGAGAGTTCATACGAGCGAAACTAGCAGGAGAGGAGATCTGAAGAGAATTCACATACGGTGGGGGGGAACCATCGTCGGCATGGTAAATCACTGGAGGGAATGGCACTGCTAAATCCCAAAGCAATGCTTGGTGTTTGAGGCTAGCGACAATATCATCGGGGTTTCCATGGCGCAAAAAGTCACCGCTCAACGTGTTCAGAATGTCAGTGGTAAAAATGCAGGCCCAATCAAACTCGGTCATTGGCTCTTGTCCGGGTCGGTTGATCATAGAAGTGAAAAATCCAATAGGTACAACACGCACAAGCTCATTAGTCGGGCAATCGATGGCCATCATCTGTCCGGCTCGTTTGATCTGTTCCAATGACCGATACAGCCGACGAATCGTAGCATTAAGTTCATTCTCCGATAAGCCATTTAGCAGGAGCTCGTCAATAATCTGATGGCAGTGGTTTTGAAATACGGTGCTTGCAGCCTGAAAGAGCCGGGCTGACTTGTTGTCTAGCATCACGGACATGGCTTCTTACTAATAACGGATATTCAAAGGTGTAGGGGAATATATTTTGATGAGATGTGGTGACGAAGGTCAGGGAAGATGAACCTCTAACTAGGAGGCTAGCAAAAGTTGAGTGTCAAGAGCTGTTCGGGCTCGATGAGATATTCTATGATGGTGACTAGATATTGTACGATGGTTTGACCTAGCCTATATATATTATTTCTGCACTGCAGCTTCCACAATGATGAGGTTATTACTATGGGTAAAGAAATATACGAACAAAAGATAAGAATGAGAACAAAGGCTGGAAAGGAAATAAAGAGCATCAGGAGATCAAGAACATAATGGGCTTGTTGACATTTCTTTGTTGTTCAGGCCGGGTGGTGGAAGCTAGACGAGGCTTTTGATGTAAAAAAGCGTTTGAGAGCCCTTGCAATATCCATACCTAACTGGTGTAATAATCACGGCACAAGCTTGCGTAACCATAGACAATGATGTCCAAGTAAACCATCATAGATTCAAAATAAGTGACTTTACAGCAAAACCAAGAGCTAAATTGCAAAAAAAAACAACCAGAATATTATTCCGCCAAGGGTATCAACGTAAGTCGTAATTCGTTGGCCTCCAAACCTGGAGGAGAACACGATAGGAAAACAGCAAGACAAAAAAGGAAGAAAGCCATCAAAAGATCAATATTACTGGTACGGTGTTGAGCGCAAGATGTAAGACGCGTGCATATACTCGGTCATGCATGATAGAGTGCTGGTGTTGATATCTGCTAAAAACAGTTGACGGTTCTATGTCATTATCTAGACAGCGGAGCGACCCCAGCGGCGGCGACTGTTCAGTGTGTCAGTACCAATAAACAAAGACTGTGTCATTCAAAGGTGTCACTCACACTCCATCGTTGGTGCTGTCACGAACGCGGAAGGTAAACCAGATCCCCTGGAGGCTGATTAGTACGTATCCACATATAGATTAGATAATCTCATCACATACCACGATGGCAGAAACAAGCCAGACGATAGCAGAAAGGAAGCTGAAGGCCTCTGCTGCCTTCCACCGGCCACACATATGATCCCCGCTAAAGCGCCAGGACCAGATGCTGCCGCAGGGCAAGCGGTGGAGAGTGTCGACGAGTACACCGAACGCAGCGAACCAAGCAAGCGAAATGATTATATCCACTAGATTTCAGTAAGCATTGTTATATCTTTACCATGTAGTATATCTAGCACATACTCGGCCAGGAGAAGAATCCCGATGAGAACGGGATCAGCCATATGAGGCCCAGTAATATCGATAGGCCAGCAATTACTTCAGTGTAAATCCATCGCGCCTGGGGCGACCAGTCAACATCTGGGCTGCTATTGTTGACCTGGGCAAGATAATGTCCAATAACACCTGCGACGACCTACCAGAGGGTCAGATGTGCTGTATAAGTTGGTACAGATCTGGGGTTACTCACAGCTGCAAAGGCAATCTCCGCAATGCGTAGAATAATAGACGCAAGGCGTGAAATGACAGGCATTGTAAAGGTATTGTCAAATCAATGAGCTATTTCAATAAATTTCAAGGGTGTGATTGTGTAGGTGGATAATATGTCAAGCTTGTGTGAGAAGATGTAGCATGGGAGGGGGTTTATAAACTGGGGGAAGCAAAAAGCTATATAACATGTTAGGTTGCACAGACAGGCAAACTCCGGAAGCGAGCGACAATATGTCTTTAAAGCAAGGATCGAATGTGAAAACCCAATAATACCGATAAAAAAGCAAAATTGAATTAAAAAGGACCCAAAACACAGCACAGCTTGCATTAGAGCCGACCAATAGAGGAAGGCCAAGCCTACTGATGTCATCAGATCAGTTGTATGTACAGCGAGTTCTTTCCAACAAACCGAGGTCATTATTGGTCAAAGTGTATTGTGAATAAAACGTGCCCAACCCATTTTCCAGGCTTGGATGGGTAAGAGATCGACTTTTCGTGGCGGACTGACCGCTGATGTGGACTGTGGCTGAATACTCCTCAACACCCGATCGGAGCAAGGAGTAGGCCTATGAACTGTCAAGAATAAGTGAGTACAGGTACTGCATAGCCCTAGAATTCGGATACAAGCACTGTTGCCTCCATATGTATTATTATCCCTGTCTTCCCCAGACCCAGCCTCCCTGTAAGAAAAATGTATCGAGACGATGTGTTGGGGTGGAATACGGGTTCTTCTGTGCTGTGTGATATACTTCAGTGGCTTGGTCTTTGAGTTACGAGTTAACTGCCGATCTCATCGACTATTGGTGATAGCTCTGGTTTAATCAATTTGGGTTGGGTCTCCACTTAGGGCGATCATTGTTGTCTGACAAGTGCGTGTTTTCTGGACAGACGTTGTAGGTTGTTTATTTCATCGGCTACCATTTATGGATAGGGGAATCCGGTTTGAAGTGAAGGGACCTTTCAAGTACACCCTTGGTAAACACTGACATCATGTTTAATTTGAGTCATATGACCCTTGCTATTCTCTCAGCCCTATGACGTGGGGCGACCGGGACTTGACAAGCTTGGATTTATTTTTATATCTGTAATGAGGATTTGGTATTGTTCTGTTAATTATAATAGAACTTCAGAAATACTAGTATTTCACACCTGAAAAGTGGAGATATAGCAGAATCTAGCAGAATCAGACATAGGAGGCATGGAAATGTACGGAATACTACACGGAGGAAGAGCCCGGAAATATGCAGGCGATGCGGAGTTTACCCTTTGAACTAATAATGAGAGTCGATACTATGAATAGTAATGGCCGCAATAACGAGTCTATATCCACATTGGTAAAGCCAAGAAAGAAGATCAAATCTAAAATCATGCTGCCTGCCATGTCCCCAAAAAAAAGAAATTACATGCGATGCACAAAGACCTCCTCCCACCCGCAACTCCGAGTAAAAATAAATTCTTACAATAGTCTCAACAGGACGGGAAGACTACGTATTCTTCTGTTCCAAGTGCCATGCCATCACATCGCGGAATATCCCCTTGGAACCAGTTTCGATGGTATCACCATGGCAAGGAATTAAGCGATCGAAGTCCCACTCATCAATCCTTTTCATAGACTCAGTGAATGCTGCCCGATCCTGCGACGAGAGAATATACCACGCAAACCGTCTCTGCCATGTAGCCGGCGGCTTGGTGGACATCAGCGGCATAATAAGCTTTGTCAAGAAATTAGTCGGTGCCTCGGAACTCTGGGAGTACTGCTCCTTGGCGGGAAGGTTGAAGAGCAGATCCGCCTCGATGACCGTGCGCGTGGGCTTATGCAAAAACACCAGCTCGCGTGATCCGTGGGCATACACATACTCGCTGTCAAACTCAGCATCGAACTCCTTCGAAATCGACCGCGGTAATTGATCATCCTCCTTGAATATGTGCTTGAATGGGGTGTCCTGGAACTCCGGGTTCGATTGCCGCTTCTCATAGAGACCCTCTGGTGCCAGAATCTCTGCTTGCGGATATGCCTCCTTCCATGGGGTGAGGTGGAGATGGTGTTCAATATCTGGCGCCGTGATGTATTTGACGTTTCCGCCGAGGGACTCAACTGTCTCGCGGACTTCGGGCGTTAGGCTCACGGGTGAGAATACTGCGAGGGAGCCGGTGGCAAGCTTGACTGTAATATGTAAGAAGAGTTAGCACTAGATCATAAACAAGGGTCTCTATGGGCTTGAAATGACTGCATATTATCTCCTGTCCCCCGAGGTGGCATGCGCCTGGTGGGTTGGCTCTAAGGTTCTGCACTCACCCAGCGTCCCTCGCCCGCCGAATTGCAGGCGTCCGAATCGCGAAAATGGTAGACTCATGGTCACTATCTCTGGAGTCACATGGCGAATTACCATGGTCGCAGAAGGGTTCTTTGGAAAGAGCTGTGGCATTTTGGTGGCTTCCCTATCTTCTTCTGTTTTGTTGTGCTTGTTGAGTTCAGAACTTTGATTCCTGACGTTGGATGTCTCAGTTGATGTTCCTTGGAGCTGCAGATATATCGCGAAGCTCACACATTAATTTGCCGGACAGAAATTCAATCGTAAAATATTTGATGAGTGAGTTGGAGGTTCCTTTAGGAAAGAAAGTGGCCAGAAGATGACGTAGCTAGCTTATGCCCCTCCGCTTTAGATCTCGCCCGCCGGATTTATCATCATTTTGGGTGGCCTCGGCCCGGGGCCCCCAGGCGTACTGACAAATCTAGGGATATCACCTGAGCAGCTAGATTATACTCGACATTGCCGGAGATCTATAAATATATATACGGCATGGCGAATATCAGTGATTCTCAATGTGCCACTTTGCACACACAGTTTATCGCAGAAAACTTTTTTTATTTTATCTCCATTTAAACTATTCATCCAAGGGCTGTCAGGGGGTACCTAAGCTTGCACGTGAACCACATTAAGAATTGGGTTTTCGGGTATGAGATGGTCAAGTTTACGCCACTAGAGCAATTTTTCACTATCTACGGAGTAGGTAGGGGAAATGTCGAACAGTCAATCTTTGAGACCCAAATTCTCTATTTCTCAATATCCACAAGAAGTCTCGAGGGAAATAGGGAGATGGGTCCCAGAACAACCATACATACCACCATGTGCCGGCAGAACTGTGGTTATTTTGAGCGCGACTCAGGGTCTTGGTCAGGCCGCCGCCGTCGCATTTGCTGCAGCCGGAGCCTAGCGCATTGCCATGATAAACAGCTCATGTGCTTCAGACACTGTTGAAAGAGCATCCCAGACTGCTGTAGAAGCTTCAATGCCAGCACCGGAGCTGTTTTCCTTTCTTCTTAAACTTGGCGAGCCTACTAGTATCGACACCGAGCTTCTTGAGGTCCACTCGAGACTGGGACATGTCGACATTCGCATCAAAGCGACACAACGTATCTCTATATTTAATCTACAGGGAGGAACTATAGAAAAAAAATAGTATCGACGTGGGGTGGAAGGCGTTGAAGGTCAGCGTCAAATATTCATTTGTTGTCATTCGCGCTCTGTTGCCGTTCCTACTGAAGGGAACTGAAAGGACCATTGTCAATGTTATTTCAGAATTGCCGTTTTCCCAGTCCATATCCACAACGCATAATTTGTCTTAATCGGCTGACCGGCATCTCTCTGAAGGTTTTATGCTGGATTACAGGAATAAGGGGCTACTAGCTTATTCGCTACAGTCAGGTCACTATGGGGCGAAAGGCATGCAGCAATCGGTGAATCTGAGTAAGTGAAATGAGATCGAGTGCAGAGGAATGATAATTGAGTAGAAGGTTGATCAACTAGAACTAGCAAGCGAGGGACTCGTCTACCTGACCAGCGAATGTGCGAATGGCTGGGTGGCAGACACTTAAAATGCGGGGAGGATATGTGTGACGTTATTTCTGGCAATGACTAGGATGTGCAGAACGACTTGCTGAAGATGGGCACATATATAAAGAAGATTCCTGCAGTATTTGAGAAGAGGAGAGGGCGCGTGCCTTGAAGTAGTTACTGATGATGTTACGGCCATGTATGCGACGGTTAGGATGTTAGTGTATTTCAACAAAACTGAGGCTTAAGTTGTTCCGACAAAACTTGATATCATAACTGAGTTTGCAAAATCATTATCTTGCATACTTCTTACTCAAGCTCATGGGCCATCGCCATTGCATCGGGCAATGTTGAAAATAAAATCAGAGCGGCCCGAGTTACGGGGCGGGAACATCCCAAAAGGGCAAACAATATCTGATTGATCAGACTAGAAATAGTGGGCCTTTTCATAAGCATCATAGTTTCTGATTACTAGTACATACTCCGTAGAGGTCGTATCCATAAATATTCCTAGTTATGGATCTTGGCGGTCATCAGCCGTGCGCTAGTCTGAAAGAAGATGCCAATATCAGACTGGCTAGACATGAGTAAGTGGGTCATTGTGGGGGTAGTCCGGCGTGAAGCTCTCGCCATGGAGATCCAAAAGAAGACGCCAACATGAGATTGGCTAGGACACTTACAAAGGGTGCTGCATTGTGGTGACATCGCTCGAAACTACTATATAAAGCATATACAACATAGGAGGTCGCCCCCTGAGAAAACTTTGGTTCTCTCTTCTTCTTACATCGTGTGATCAGATACCCCCAGTTTTCATCCATCTCCAGTTGTTCCATTGAAGCTCAGATACAGTGTCCATTCCCCTACCCACGTCACCTAGACCAGACCTATACAACAACCCCTTAAGTAGAACACACATCAAATCCAGTTCGCAAGATGGTGATGATACGTTTGACTGCCGAGCAGTACCGAACTCTACCGATTATGGTAGATGAGAATACATGCTTTGGGAAAAGCTATGTCATTACGGGTGGCAACGGCGGCCTGGCCCTCGAGACGGCGCGACACCTGGTTGCCGCATCAGCCAAATGCGTTGTGTTGGCCGTGAGGAACCTTAATTCGGGAGAAGCTGCCGAAAGCAACATTGAGAAGACAACTGGCCGCAAGGGAGTTGTGCAGGTATGTCTATTGCAATATCTTGAGGACCATCCTCCATATATTGACATTCACAAAGGTACGATATGTAGACATGTCAACCCACGCGTCCGTTCAGAGCTTTGTAAAGCAATTAACAGTGGACTTCGACAGGATTGACGGTTTCATCTGCAACGCCGGGATCATGATCGACGAGTGGTCGCTGTCTGAGGGCATAGAGACGAGCATATTTGTCAATGTTATTATAGCTTCTCCACCTTTAAAAGCCTCGTATATTTGTATAAAAAACTCATAATTGCCTAAATTTTACTCTGAGAGGAAGGCTCGCTATTCTCTTTTAAAGGGTGGGGATCGAAAGCGGGATATTTTAATTGGACCAAATTGCTGAGTCAGCCTGGATATACGCCCGGGGCCCCAGGGCCGGGGTAACCCCTGGACCCGTGGACCTTGGAAGCCATCCATGAGACCTTCTCATGTTGGAACAGACCTCGGGAGTTTTGTATTGGAGAATAGTGAATTGACGAGTTTCACCAGGGAGGTAACTTCGGTGTTATTATAGTGGATTAATTGAAGTACCGATGGTATTTCATTGTGAAAAATGTAAGTATTCGTTATATCCGAAAACTACAAGTAGCTCATTGTTTTGGCAGTTTTCTATTCTGATATCTTGAGTATGTGGCAGAATAGGGTATGACTGGCATGTTCACCGCACAAGCATAAATTATTGAATTGGCCTAGTAATGCAGGCCAAAAAAGATCAAGGGGTATCTTGCAAAACACACGTCGACTCGTGGAACCGTGTCTTCGGAACAAGCTTAGGCATACCAACTTGTGCCAGTCTCTTGCTGTTTCTCTTCACGGTGGGGGATGATGGAATCCTTAATGTTAAAAACGTCGATAATTTCGTGCCACGTCTCGTGGTCCAGGCTAAAGACTGCCTGGTGTTTTTGCACGCCCTTTTTTTGGGCTTCACTGGGGGCGAATGGCGCAGACGCATCTGTCAAACTATTAGCACTTTATCAATCAGTCATATTCAAGAATACTCACGCAGGGTCGGCAAGTCGCGACTATCCACTGATACACCCACTGTGCCGTCTCGCACAAGAAAACTCACGTAGAATAAGTTCTCCACGCTTTGCCCAAAAGACCTAGGGTTGATGCAGAAGCGAAACAAGGGGATTCCCCCATCGTCCGCCACGCTGTGCTTATCCATGATTTCTTGCGCTTGCGCTGGGGTGAGATTTGTTTGGAGTTCAAGTTCTTTCTCGGCCTCCTCCTGACGTTCACGCTGGTTATTGGCGAGCAGCTTATTGATCTCCGAACAGATCTGGGTCAGGTTTGTGCTGTCCTGCTGGCCAAGATCGTGCTGCGCCATTTCTCGGGGCGCGACGGCTTGCGTCGGATCAATACGCTCTGCTACTCTTCGCTGCGTCGTTTGGCGCGTACGCTTCTGTACTGATAACGGCCCAAGCAACCATCCAGACACAGCCGGACGAGCATTGCTAGGGAAGCAGGCCGATCGGCCAAGTGTATCCCAGTTCATCGCATCGCCATCATCTTCATCACTGCCATCGGGATCTCTTTGGCTTCGACCAGGGTGCCCTCGGCGTCCCTGTGTCCCGTTTGTTGAAGCTGTCGCATTGTTTGGTCCGCGACGCATGAACGATACACACCTAGATACAAACTCGTCTACATCGATACCGGCAGAGGTGTCACCGAGAGCGAGCTGGGTAGCTTTCTTATGTGTTAAATCGGCGGTGTTGACCAGAATGCGCGAGTCCAGCGTGGCATCGGCGGTCTGCTTCACTTTGGCGTAGAATTGATTCGCTTGTTCGACGATGTTGAGGATACCATCGTTTCCAGGCTGCATGAGCTCCCCTCGTGTGTCTATATGAAACCTATTAGGGCATCATCACTTGAGTCTCAGGATCAGATGAAGCAACTTACCGTTCAGTTCCCTGCCCAGATCTCGCAGACCTCTTCGTACACTTCTCCGTTCTTCCGGATCCTGGTCAGGATCATAGTATCGTGTGTCGCTGCTGGTTCGTTGAGATGATGCTTGCGACTGCGCAGATCGCATAGACTGAGCAGACCGAGCAGAGTGTGCGGAACGAGAAGACTGAGTGGATTTCGCAGACTGGGCATTCGGGGGGCGGTCGGCCAGTCGCCGTCTTTTACTCTGTGAACGCGGTGGCATCGCAGTTGTAGTTCTCTTATTGATTCCCCGCTGACGATTTTCTTTATCGGAAGTAAATGCGTCTGGTGATGGTGTTGATGATATTGGGCGGGGACCTGGGGTGTTTACTTCGTCCAGGTGTGTGTGAATGAGATGGGCCATACTCGATGACTTGTTAGTGCGAGATGAGATGAGAATTGCAACAAAGAAGATTTAACAAAGAAAAAGGGGACAACTAATCAAATAACAACACTCTGTATCTCGACTTAAACAAAGAGTATACCTCAAAATACACTGCTCTTTGAAAAAAAAAGAGAAAAGATGCGTTAATGATCGCGAATGCTTTGTCGCGTCGCGTAGATATTGCACGTGACCTCACGATGTCCCCGCGTCGCTTATCGGCCATGACGCAGCGACATGTTGCTCTCTCCAAACGGGGGAAAGAGATGGAAGCCTTCACCTTTGCCGTAACCACTCAAGTGGACATACCTATACGCGTCAAGATGTATGTTCTTCATTTCTGAGAATTGAGGTTCTTCCAATTTTGACACGTCTACAGTGGCTCATTAGAGGGAAAGCAGAAGCCGATCCCATGCACAGCTCTTGATGGAAACGCCGAGCTACGGCATATTGCCTCCATTCAAGACCCTAACTCTGATCTCTACGTGACCGCTCAGATATGGTCGGAGTCGAAGCCATTGGGCGTGCCAATGAAGACCAAATACAAGGCCTTCAAAACCGCTCGAGTATGGAATGAATGGCTGGAGATGCCAATGTCCATCAAGGATGTAGAGCGTAATGCCCAGCTGGCAATCACCATCGTTGATATGTCTCCACTCGCTCCCGATAGGAATACGCACATCCCATTCGGTGGAACCACAATCTCCTTGTTCGACGAAGACGGAAAATTGAAGATGGGTAGACAAAAGTGCAGAGTTTATTTACACAAGGATGCAGACGGTTCCGCTACAACCCTCACTCCATCCGTTTTACCACCCAAGCGTCGTAAACCGAATACTCGTGATCCTTCACAACAGTCACCTGAAGAGGCGGAACTGGAACGGGTTGAAGTCTTGATCAAGAAGCACGAAATGGGCGAGATCCCACGTGTTGAGTGGATGGATCAGTTGCTCTTTCGCGAATTGGAGAAGCTGAAGTTGAATGCAGATGAAGCGGCTCAAAAGCGTTCCCTTGAACTTGATGCAGCCCTGCAAAAAGATCCGAAACGCGGCAAAGACCAGGATGATAGCTCTGATGAAGAGAGCCTCGAAGATGAGTATTTCAACCTTTACGTTGAATTTCCACGATTTGATCACCCTGTTGTGTGGGCCGATCACGAGTATCCTCCTCCACCAATTTCCTCTTGGCCCCAAAATGCCCCTTCCCATCCCAATGCGACGCTCAAACCAGTCCCGGAGGTACAATTTGGACCTGGAATTTCACACGCTGATCCCCATAATATTATTCAAATTTATGATCCGGAGGTTGGGCAAATTGGAAACCCCTGTGAGGACAAGCACCGCCGTTTGATCCGAAGCCATCGGACTGGCATCATGGATCGCGACCTGAAGCCCAACCCAAAGATCAGGGATGATCTCAATATGATTATCTCCTACGAACCGACGCAAGACCTCACTGCTGAAGAGAAGGATCTTGTGTGGCGTTTCAGGTATCATCTTACACGTGAGAAGAAGGCATTGACAAAATTCGTCAAATCAGTCAATTGGCGGGATGTTGGAGAAGCACGGCAAGCTATTGAAATGTTCCCTAAATGGACCGAGATTGATGTCGATGACGCTCTGGAGATCCTAGGTCCTACCTTTGATAATCCTGCTGTCCGTTCGTATGCCGTGGAAACACTGCGGAAGGCAGACGACGAGGAGTTGCTTCTATATCTCCTTCAATTGGTGCAGGCTCTAAAATATGATGCAACCCCAGATAATCAACCTGATGCAGCTCCGCAGGAGTCCTCGCTTGCACATTTCCTGATTTCACGTGCGGCTAATAATTTCAAACTCGGCAACTATCTACATTGGTATCTCATGGTCGAATTCGATGACGCCGACGCAATTCAGCGTCGGCTCTTTGCACGGGTTGAATACTACTTTATGCTTGAACTGGAGAAGCTTCATCCTGAGCATAGAAAGACACTATTGCATCAAGGTGAAATGGTGGCCGTGCTCTCCAAAATAGCTAAAGATGTACGCTTCGCGCGTGAAAACAGAGTCGGCAAGATTGAGATGCTGAAAAAATATCTCCGGGACCCTGATAACGACCTGATCAACATAGATCCACCGCTGCCCTTACCTTTGAATCCCGATGTTTCGGTCGTTGGATTATACCCCGAGGATTCGAACGTCTTCAAGTCCACTCTTTCCCCTTTGCTTATCACATTCAAGACTTCTGAAGGCAGGCGCTATCCGATGCTGTTCAAAGTCGGCGATGACCTTCGCCAGGACCAACTGGTTATACAGATTATCATCTTGATGGACCGCCTTTTGCAGAAGGAGAATCTTGATCTAAAATTGACTCCTTATCGAATTCTTGCCACCAGCGCTACCGCTGGCGCTGTACAGTTCATTCCCTCAATTTCTCTCTCTGCGGCATCTGCCAAGTACAAATCTATCCTCGCCTATCTACAAGCCAATAACCCAGATGACAATGAGCCTCTCGGCGTCCGCAAAGAAACAATGGATACATATATCAAATCATGTGCTGGGTACTGCGTCATCACGTACCTCCTCGGAGTTGGCGACCGACATCTTGAAAATCTGCTTCTAGCACCAGATGGCCACTTCTTCCACGCTGACTTTGGATTCATCCTCGGTCGTGATCCAAAGCCCTTTGCACCCATGATGAAACTTTGCAAGGAAATGGTTGAAGGCATGGGTGGCACAACCTCGCCACACTATCTGCAATTCAAGCAGTACTGCTATACTGCTTACACAACGCTCCGCAAATCTGCCAATCTGATTCTGAATCTCTTCAGTTTGATGGTGGATGCCAATATCCCTGATATTCGCGTGGAGCCTGATAAAGCCGTCCTCAAAGTGAAGGAACGCTTCCATCTTGAAATGACCGAGGAAGAAGCCATCCGTCACTTTGAACAACTTATCGCAGACAGCGTTAATGCCATCTTCGGTGTTGTCATTGATCGCTTGCACGATTTCGTGCAGGGCTGGCGGGCATAATATGTTATTCTGCAATCGTTGTATTCGAGACTCAAGTAATTTTCATGTTGCTCTTGCTTCCATTTAATTCTTTTTTTTTTGGATTTCATACCGCTCCCATCAAGGCGTTTTGGGGATGACATCATGGGACGGAGTTTTGCTTCTGTTTTCAAGCAATTCGGCGCAATGTGATGGATTTATAAAAGCCAGGATACCCAACCTAGATTATTTTATCTGGATAGCAATGATTTGTCCCAACTTCCGCGCAATTCCCACAGAGGTGGCCCACCTAAGCAAGCTCTTGCTTGTAATGTTGCTGCATAATAATATTAAATCTGAATTTTGCAGCAAAACGACAACAAACAATTTCATATTTAAAATTAGAAATTTCGAAAAAAGGGAAGGAAAAACTGGAAGCGGAAAACTCCCAAGGTGCCATGCTTATTCCTCTGACTCTATTTTGAAAGATCATCCCTATCACTCTGCCCAGAATTTATGTGCATACAAAAACGAACTACCGGTCAGCTTATTATATTCGACTTCTTTCCCCCTTTCTCCGAGCATCGCTTACATCCAACGGATGCACCATATTTCTCCCACCTTGTATCAGATATAGTGATGTCACCCAAAAGAACTCCATATCAACAAATACCCAAGAATGAATCAAGCACCTAGCAAAATCAACGGGTATCTGCGCATAGGTTTCAGTGTATTAGGGCTACTTGATAGGATAGGCAAGTGGAGAATACAGCCACGATCTGGGTGTACCGCCAATATGTTTTGTATAGTAATTCGGTATAATGCAATGGGTTGTATGGGCGATGGGGCCTTGGAGGTGATGCGATGCTGTTGGGACATACGATAGAAGGAATCCCCGGGATTCGGGCAAATAAAGAGTCACAATTCAATTGGAACAAACGAATCAGAGACACGTTGAATGGGTTCGGATAGGTACGTGGGAGGCGGAGAAATAGGCTAGAACTTAATCCAGTCTGCAAGGTATATATATTGTACAGAAATTAATGAATTGTAACTGATTCAGAGGTTTGATTATAATTAAGTATTATGTATTAACCGTCTACTCCGTACTTCAGATAGAGTTCCCCATAGTGATAGTGATAGTGATGATGTACTGCAGGTGGATGTTTTTATCCAGCCTCGATAACAATGTCTAGCTTATACATTGTTTTTTTTTCCCCGGAGGATTGCAGTTTGCGCAGCCACGCAGTCGCCACAGTGGAGCCACAAGTAAGCTATGTAGATCGACTGTGGAGAAGAGGTTTCAAGGTTGGATCCCCTCAGTTGAACACTCCCATCAGCAAGAAGCACGGGCCCTCTCAGGTCCTTTGTTTCTTTATTGTAGTGGGATAGGCTACGAAGAATCACGTAGTGGTGTTCTGGATCTTATCAACGAAAACGCAGTACTCCGTGTCAGCCCTTTGCTCATGTCACGTGATTTATCATGCGGGCTAAGCCACTTACAGCTCCTAAGTCGAGCCGAATCCATGATCTTAGGTATCCAAATCCACCTTTTTTTGACAATCCGTCACATTCCACGGTTCCCTAGAGCTGTCAGTGACCTCTTCCATATCTCACAAGCTGTTTTCATTGTCAACGCTCACTCGCGGGCCTTCATCATATGTACACCCCTTTTTTTTTTTTCAAACGGCAACTGGTCGGATTTTAGGTGTGGCATTCAAGTCCCAGCAACGATCCATGAATTTCAAAAATTTCCTCTTCGGCTTCATCATGTGACTAATTTACGATGTGCATAATGCCTGTGCGTCATACTGCGTACCTACATACCTCTCAGTCACGTTCTAACGCGCACGGACACTGATCTGCACTGCCACCAGACCGAGGTACCCCCACACCTTGGCATATCCCACTAGTACCGCTTTCCTATTCTAGAAATCGGTAGGAGGGAAGGCAGGAGGGAGGGAGGATTACTGGCTGGGCGGTTCGGGTCTTTTCGGAAATTTTCTACGCCTCAATTAATCGATAGTCCGCTCGTAATCTCCTATATCTTGTATTTTTCTCCCAATCTTACGTCTCGAGCTTTCAGCTGACTTCCACTGCGGCTCCTTTCAATTCTACTCCGTATCGTATAGTATAACGTGGACGTTACAACTTGGACCAGATTCCAAATTAAATCTTTTTTTCTTAAAAACAAAAGTAAACCCTAACTCAAGGTTGGAACCATGGAGATTCCAGTGTTTATTCCCGAGCCCCCTACTACACTCAATCAAGGCTACACAGATCGCATAGAGCCCATGAACTTCTTTTAACAGGCAGAAGTAAAGAATAACAAGGCTTCGAAGGCTGGCATTAGCTGCTATAGCTGTACAATCCCTTTGCCTGAGCGTTTCACGGTTGCAAAGGGGAAGAAGAATCAATAGCGGCAAAGAACATTTATTCAAGGCAACCGGTTCGCATTTCGGTAATAGGCTCCGGCTGTAAATACATATATGTACTAAGCCAGTGCTAAGCTGGTAGACTTATAGGGTATACCCGACATGAGCGAAGGAAGCTTCGAAGAAAGGTGGCAAATGATCCATATTCGGAAACACATTAACCGGGGTTAAAGTGCTTCGTAGCTACCAAGCTATTTGAAGGTATCGTCAGCTCTATATGGCTGGAGGAGGGATGCTTCTTAAATAAAAGGACCTGATTATGGCGAATGCATATTTTGTATAGTATCTACAGATGCCATTTTCTGAATCGAGCCACAATTAAAGCAAGCCGAGATATCAGAAGAATGATAATAAAAAATATTCTATGAATACAAAATCCATTGTATCGTTTTTATCATTTGGTAGGTAATTTCCCCTTTTCTTTTTTTTTTTTTTTATACGCTAATCATGCAGTCCATAATTTGGGCATGGGGACCTCCAATCCGAACACAATCTGAACAGATTAATAAGATGAATAAGATTAATAATAGGTTGACGCCCCCGTGCACAGGCCTGTTCCTGATGGAACATAAGAGCAATAATTCCCCTACGAGAGTGTGTTGGCAATTAACTGCTCTCTCTTTGAATTTCACCAAATTCACCCACACTCCGTCATGCCTCTGGTATTATTGGTACTGTCCAAGTCTGGTATTGCCTTGGCAATACATATATACTTGCCTTATGGGTTCAGATATACACGTCGACTGGTACCCATTATGGGGCTGTGGGCTAGATTGAATTTGGCTGAGTACCCCCCCAGAGACATCTATTGTTTAAAAGGATGAGCTTCTGTTTTCCTTTACAAAATACGAAGATACACACGTGAAAACAGTCCACACTTCTTGAATCAAGATTATTCTTCTTACCATTTTTTAGTCCTATTTATTCTTTATCCCGCCGATAGCTAGTCATGCCGTCCTCACCAGATGAACCCGAGCTGGACGATACCATACATCCCCTTCGCATTGGGTTGGATTCGAATGCTTTTGATCCTGTTTATCCCCAACCAGGAAATTCTCTCCTACCTCTCACTGTTGCAGAGACACACATGCCTCCTGCAGATCAACTTGGATACAATCGGTACAGGGAACCATTGGAGCTGGTTGGTGAACAATTCAGGCCAGCATCTCCGTCGAGACATAACTGGACGAATCAAAACGTCACACAGTATGTTCTTGTCGACAATGGCCATCGGGCCATAGCTATACCCTTTGGTGACCCTGCACATTATCTCACTCATGCCGCTCCTCCTATGCCTTTTCCGCTGATGCATGATCAGCTGGATCCGAACATCACACAGTATTATGCTGAGATCAACCACAATCACTGCCCGCCCCTACCTACACGCTTTGGTGGCCCTACGAGCCATCTCAGCCATACCATCCCTCTGATTGCTCTCCCACCAACCAACCACCAGCCAAATCAGGGCACCACACAGAATTTTGCTGTCAACTACCATACCCCTCGGGTAGTAGCTGGAGCTCTCCAGAGCTCTGGGGAGTATATGAGCCGCACCCCCTCCCTCCTAGCTTCTCCGCATGGACAGGCGTCGCCTTGGGCGGGGCCTCCCAGCCCGGCTTTCATCAACCCTACCCCTCGGGTAGTAGCTGGAGCTCTCCAGAGCTCCGGGGAGTACATGAGCCGCACCCCCTCCCTCCTAGCTTCTCCACATGGACATGCGTCGCCTTGGGCGGGGCCTTCCACCCCGAGTTTGAACAACCATGGCTCCCGGGCGGTAGCTGGAGGGCTCCAGGGCTCTGGGGAGTACATGAGCCGCACCCCCTCCCTCCTAGCTTCTCCGCATGGAAAGGCGTCGCCTTGGGCGGGACCTTCCACCCCGAGTTTGAACAATCATGGCTCTCGGGCGTTAGCTGGAGCTCTTCAGAGCCCTGGGGAGCCCATGAGCCGCACCCCCTCCCTCCTGGCCTCTTCGCATGGAGATACATCGCCTTGGCAGGGGCCTTCCACTCCAGCTGTCAACAACCATGGCTCTCGGGCGGTAGCTGGAGCCCTCCAGGTCTCTGGGGAGTACATGAGCCGCACCTCCTCCCTCCTAGGTCCTTCCCGTGGGCAGGCATTAGCTTGCCAGCAGCCTATCCCTATAGGCGCCGCAAGCAATGGCTTCACCGACCACCAGCCAAATCAAAGCACCACACGGAATGTCGCTATGAACAACCATGACTATTGGTCCCTAGCTACAGCCTTGCAGCGCTCATCGCGTGGGCAGGCATCAGCTGGGCAGGATCCTCCCCGCATCATAAGCAATGACATCACCGGCCATGGACGGTCCCAGCCTACCGGCAGCAGCCATAAAGAAAGGTGAGCCATCCCCAACCTCTAACAGGCAATGAGAGCCAATAGTTTACTAATCGACATTCAAATATTTTAGTAACCCATCTACCTATCGATGTGATTGGCCGGGATGCACATCCCCTGGGACGTTTACAACTAAGGGATCACTCAAACGCCATGGGAAGGAACAGCATACTGCCCGACTGTCATTTCCTTGCAAGGTTTCTGGATGTGACAAGATCTATGCCCGAAATTCTACCCTGGCCGACCACCAGCTAAAGGCTCACGGCATACGGGCTCATGGGAGACCGGCTTAAGGCGAATTCTTGATGGAAAGAAACCATGTGCTGAATTGAGCGAGTGATGGATGATGAGAAGAATGATGACCAAGAAGGTGAGGAGTGAATGTTCTATCTATCTGGGGGGGCATTCAGGTCTATGCTAGACATAGCACCCGGGTTTACATGGGCTGTGTTTATGATGACATATTGAAGAGGGAAACACTCAAAGCCGTGTGCTCTCAGACACACAGGTCGATTCAGCGCTCACAATTGAGCACCATACCCTACTAGCATACAGAGAGGACTGGGGGTACTCCCCAGGGGGTCAATTCAGAGGTTTAGGGGGCATGACTTTCTCAATCTGCATCTACTGGCCACCCATGAACTTATACTGTCTTTCTCAATCTGCATCTACTGGCCACCTGTGGACTTATACTGTCTTTCTCAATCTGCATCTACTGGCTACCCATGTACTTCTACTCTCCGTCTCTTAATCATAACCTAATGAAACTCCGAAATAAACCTTGGAAGAGAGGGGAGGCAGGCTCGATAGTAGTAAGGGACGATGTTCCCCACTACAATATGTACATAGGTTTGTACATGGAAACAGCACGGCGAATAGGCTGCGAATTTCCAGAAGCAGGAGCATGGGATGTTTAGGTATTTGCATCTTTGGATACCTTGAATATGTGCGATATATATGACACTCTTTATAGCAGTTTGGGGATAATGGATACAGATATATAAATCAGACCTTCGCAGCCAAAGCACAATAAATTTATCACCAATAGTCAGATAGTATCAATCTGTCAGTACATTCTATCCACTAGTGCAACTGTAAAATGCTTAGACACCTTTAAACACTCCATCGTATCGCCCCCCTCCACCCAAAGCCGAGCCACTCTCCTTACGCCGGCTGCGCCTGTTGAAAGGTAATAGCCGCCATGAGCAACTCACCTAGGCAGGTCTCTATCCTTTGCCTCATCTTTTTTCTTCCTTGGGACTCGCCTAAAAACTCCCCTTTAAGGGCAAGAATCATATATAGAGAGCTTGTTTGAAACAGCTCATCCCTAAATTATCTGAATGTCACCCCCAACGGGTGTACCATATTTCCCACCTTTTTACCCAAAAGCCCAGGCTCTTCTACCGGTATCTAATAATAAATAGGGTACTTAATAAATTCGATAAATATTTATGGATAGTTTTCGATACTCGATATCCGGGGCTGTCTACTCCGTGGGTGAATGGGGAATAATTCGGGCGAAGGAAAAAGGTCATGTGGAAAGCGGGTCAAGATCTAGTCGGAGTAGAACATCCCAGACAGGTCAAATGGCGTTGAATATTAGATAAAAAAAAAAGAGGCGGGGAAGAGAAGGCTAGGGCGACTATCGACGACCAAGGCGCGTGCGGGTTAGATCTGGTGGACCCGGAGAGATCTCAACAATTTCAATGGACGGCAATTGATTATTTAGCAGGTTTTTTCAGGTCAAATCAGTGCCCCATTAACTGGCTAACCTGCATAATTGTTTTGTTCGATGATTTAATTTATGTATTCATTGATTTACTGGTTGTCTATGATAGATTGTTACTTAGTACGGAGTAGATCCGGGTTGATGACGATGTGGGTACTTCTTACCCCATCTGGACATGGAGTAAAATGAAGGGGCGCGAGGAAGAACTGCTGGGAGTAGATGCACAGACCGTTGCGCCTCAGGAAAGTCGTGACAATCTCTTGAGTCTGATCCCGCTCTCGGCCACGGTCTCTGCACACCAACATACCTAGCCCCTGCACCCTATACGGAAAACGGACATATCCGTTAGCGTGCAAAGGGTGATGTAATTTGCCAAGAGATCGCTTGCAAATTAAACAGAATATACAACATGGTGACCGTAAATATAGCGTGGAGATGGAAGATATATGGACACAAGCGTACTAGTAAGCCACCTATGTATCCGCACGATGAAGTTATACAACCTCCCTTCACGATTCGGGTCCTTCCTAGTTTGTACGATGTTTTCTTTTGGCATTTTGGCAGGTGCCTAGTCCCGGTAAGAAACGCCGAAAGTCTGTTTACTTGCACGGCGTTTTCGGGTACAGGGGCCCCCAGGGCTGTGTTTCTCTACACGTCATCACTTCCTTCACATAAACCTTTATTCCGACGATTTGCCGATATCCCCTTGAAGTAAATGGATGCATGTAAGTTGATCGAAGCTTCACCAGAAGATCTAGGATCCACAAGCGACCAACACATTCTAGATCCATATACTCCGTACAACATTAAAATTTACACTTGAAATTGATTAATCCGATTTGGGGATAACCTACTACCCCAGGGCTTCATTCGACAGGTCAGACAGGCTTGGTGGAACCCAAAGAAGCAATTATAAACCCATGAAAAATCCACGAGCCAAGCACCAATAAAAACAGGCATAAGACCTGAACGGAGGTCTCTCGGGGATTGTCCGACGCTAGGTCCAGAAAAGAAAAAGAAAAAGCCACCAGAGAAAATAACAGTTTAATATATATTATGCATATCTAGATATCTAACTTGATAGATATCTAGATATATACCCCTGATTCCACTCAAAATAAACTTCCTTCTGCTTCCAGACTACACTAATCTCTCTACAATCTAAACCCCAACCAATTTGATCTCAACGCCCTCGCATTGGATATCCACACACCTAGGTATCGACAACGCATCGAGAAAACCCGGGGTTTTGGTTGCCGAAGATCATGTGAATGTGCGATGAAGATGGGTCGTGATGATCGGCGTTCGAGGGTGCTCGATGCAAAGAGTATACCAACGAAGATGAGCCGCTGTCGATATTTAAATAGTAATTTCCCTTCTATCTCTCGTTCAGATGCTAAACCCGTTGACCTTAGGTGTTTCAGTCACCTCGGTGACATATCTATACCCGTACCCTGGGCATATTCTCCTACACCAGATTCTGGGTATATTCGACTACACTGCCCAGGTGCTACCCACGTCGCTCTTTCTGTTTACATCGAACAGTTTTTGGGTCAACTGGGTTTATAAAAGATGATACAAATCTCCCTTCATCTTTTTCTTGAGAATACCTAAGCCCGATCCACACTCCTTCAATCAATATCCTTCTTTTTTTCCCGCTTTTACTATCTCTAAACTACCGTTAAGACTTGGCCATGGCGCAGTGGCGAGATGAAGTTCCGGACTGCTTCCAGGAGCTGGATTTGAATGACACTTCGTCTCCCATGCATCCCCAAACGATGTATCACCAACAGTTGATTCCTCATTGGACTCCCGCTGTTGCAGAGGCATCCATGGCTCCTGTATCTCAACCTGGATACAACGCGTACGGGGGATTGTTGTCGCCGCTTGGTGAACAATTCATTCCGGCATTTCCGTCCACCCATTACCCGCCGGATCAGAACACCACACAGTATCATGCTGTCAACAACAACGGCTATGGGGCCTTAGCTGCAGAATTTCACGGGTCTGCGGGTTATCCCAGCTATGCCCCCTCTACCATGGGTTCCGCGTTTGGGCAGACACCGCCATTGGCGGGGTCTCCCTACTCAGGAGTCGCTACTCCAGGAGCCATGACCAATGACTTCTCCAACGTTGAAATGCACTATCGTCCTGGCCACGGAGATGAACAAGCGTGAGTCGTCTACCCCTAGTCTAACGGGAAAAGAGAGACACTGGCTAACTGAGAATATTGAACTATTTTAGTAACCCATCCACTGCTCTTCGATGTGATATCCCGGGGTGCAAATACACCGGCACGTTCACCGTCAAGGGATCACTAAAGCGCCATCAGGATGAGCAGCATGGTTCCCGGCGAGCATTCCCTTGCCTGATTATGGGATGTAACAAGGGATATGTCCGAAAATCTCACCTCGCTGACCACCAGCTGAAGGTTCACGGGATTCGGACTCAAGGCTAATGGACGAGCTGCTGGGGTTTGGAAATGGGGCATTGAGATCTATGTCAAACATGGAATCTGGGTTTGCAACAGCTGACGCTATAATTGGGGTTGTCTACAGAAACGGCGCGGCGATAGGGCTGGGGATTATTATTTCCAGCAACAGCACCATAGAACATTTGCAAATTTGGATACATGAGGTATACGCAAGATATGGGAGAATGCACACAGCTATGTCAATGTTTGGTTCTTATCGCACAGAAATTATAATGAATCTTTTTGCAAAATGTTGGATTGCAAAATTCTGTCTATAGAAGCTGTCGATCAGACGTTGTTGTTATTTTATGTGACCCGCTCACCAGGGGGCTCCTTGTAGATCTTACTCAGTGACACCTATGTAGACTCTGACCTACCTACTCCGCTCACTAGAGGGAAAGGGGTCGTTTATCGTAGATTTTAGCCTCATGCAAGAGGATAACTGTTGTAGCGTCTCTCGCACCGAGATTTTATATTTCAATGCGGTCGATGGGTTGTTGGTCGCATGACGAATCCAGTATACTTGAGCGTGTGGGATACAAGAGTGATGTGTTGTTTTGATTTGAAATATCTATATTAGAATGCAATCGGCATTCGTAACGATGATGGGACGTTTTAAAAACATGGCGGTCGGGGACGAGTTCTTTAGCACTATGGTTGAGAAATTAGGCACGTCATCGTGCATATGCTCAATACAATTGTATTCGGTGGCACATGAAGTAAAATTCATGGTATCCATGTGGCGTGATACTCTCAAGAAGATGCAGTGAAGGCATGCAGTGAGAGTATACAGTGAGAGGAGGTTGAGGAGAGCAGAATGATAAGAGGAAGCAGTGAGAGAACAGCAAGAGAAAGACGGTGAGAGGATAACGGCGAGAGGGGTAGTGAGGGGCTATGCGAGAAGGCGACGAGAGAAAGGCAATGAGATGAGGTAGTGAGAGGAGGAAGTGAGAGGAAGACGGTGAAACAATAACGGTGAGAGGAGGCGGCGAGAGAGGCAGCGAGAGAGAGAGAGAGAGAGAGTAAGAGATGCAGTGAGAGGAGGAAGCGAGAATGGGAGAACGAGAGGACAACGAGATGACAGGGATCTCTGTCTTTTTTTTTGTTGTTTTTTCTCGAGAACGGTAGGGCACAGTGGTTTATCTGCAACAGTCCTTGATGCTAATCTGGGCGAGTTAGTTAAAAGATAGAATAAATTCCAAGTTTTCCAAGACCCACTGAATGTAATGGAAGTATATATCTTATATAAAAGAATTTATTACCAAAGATACATTTATAGTTTCATCACCCTAGATGTGGATAACACCTCCTTCGAGGATTAATGAGCGGTGTACCTGGAAATGCTGGACTGAGTCCAGAAAGGGGAAAAGAACAATAAGCTAACCGAAAGAAAATGAAACAAGATTGGGGGCCACACAGCTAAGGGGAGAAGAGGTCCGAGTCCACAGATGGATTGGACAGTCAAATAGCCTACCTTTGATTCGCTTGAAAATGTCATCCGGCATTGTTGATCTTTGAGGATCCCCAACCCTCAAATTCCGTTTTTCAATGGATCCGATAGGATGAAATCTCCCGAATCTCGAATGCAGTATAGTTAGTAGTTTAAAGGCAGTTCGATGCAAACTTTACAATTTCCGGCTAAGGCATTCAGGACTTGACTTGGGCAGTAGATCATAGTTTAGTGAGGAAGAAGGAACAATAAAGATTGAGAATACGTGGTATTTTACTTGGTACAGACACAAATCTTGAAAGTACCCTAGCAATGTGGAAATTATCCAGTGGGCTTTTCACCTAGTCTTTTCACCTCTCACGCATAGAGTCGAAATAGGGAATACCTGATGTTGGCCCGAGCCAATCTATTAACGGACCCGCTCCATAATAATATGCTGCACATATGTTCTTTTTACGTGAAGATACCTAATCCTCCCTGGTGTTTGGCATTGTTAGTAAACTCCGAAACTGTTTCACACCGCTGGGGTCTCTTGTCGATCGGCGGCTGAATTCCACTGGGCGATCCCTCCACGTCGCACGCTAAAGCGCCCAGATTCTAATCGAAGATTAAACTAGTATTAGTCTTTGTTAACCACGTGGCCCAGGAATAATGGCTTTTATTTAGTTCCCATAGTCTTTACCTGTTGAAGGTAGTATCTTTTCTCCCTTGACTGATTAGCTTCAATATGCAAGCAAAAAAAAAACTTGTAGCAAAAAGTAGAATCGAAACTTATACATAAAGAAATATGTATATATATTTTTTCATAAAAATCAAACCCGAAACCAAAACAACTGATGTTCGTTCCTGCATAAGGCTTTTTTCTCCTGTCCCCACTCATGCAATGCAAAGTGAAAAAGTGAAACTGTGCAGGATGATTGATCACTTTATACCGAGTGCGAGGTCAGTCCAGAGCGGAAACCTTCAGAGTACCTCGCTTCTCTTTGCTTGATTCTCCGTGTCTTAAGATTTCCATATCCCTGACTCAGTGTTGCCTATGCCATATGAAGGCATTGCACTGGTCCACTCGGGTGTTGGACCAGCCACGCCGGCGAGACCTCTTCCGATATATACGAGTGCCCCAGGCCGTTATGTTTATTTCGTTTTTTTTTTTCTTTTTCTGCTGTTCATATCTGGGTGAAATTTTTAATTGACCACGTTGACTTCCATAAATATCCAGATATCCCTCTTCCCTGGCAAAATGGTACAGAAATCCAACCCGGACTCATTCCATTCCTCTGTGTTTACTTGGGTCTATCCTTCTGTTGATAGCCCAACATGGCGTGGCCGTCACAAAATATCGACCAGGATAGTTTGGAATTTCCTGCTGAGCAGGAAGGGATTTCCGATTCCATTTTTCCGCAACTAGCGCTTGTTCGTCCGGGTGATGCCTCCACGTGGACTTCTCCGTGGTTGTATTCCCAGCCGAATCATTTGGCTAGGAACGATACACCATATTATGTTGTCAACAACAACAACCCTCAGGCTATACCGACCGCATTTCTCGGCCCCACGAACCATATCACGAGCGCCACCCCTCTCGAGGCTCATGTTATACAGAGGGCACACTGTCAGGAACTTCCTCAGTCAGGAGTCATAGGCAATGCCAACAACACTAACGGAAGACCCCCTGTTCATCGTCAGGGATGTGGACAAGAGTGAGATACCAACCCCCAAGTCTCCTATGAAAACAGATGGTCGCCAGTTTACTGAGAATATTCAACTATTTTAGCAATCCAAACACCATTCTTCGATGTGATTGGCCGGGATGCAAATACAATCGCACGTTCTCGGCCAAGAGATCACTGAACCGCCATATAAAGGAGCAGCATGTTAACCGGCATTCATTCCCGTGCGAAATATGTGGCGTGTCCTTTGCACGAGAGGCAAACAAGAAGAAACATTTGCTCAAGATCCATAAAGTGGCGGCTTGAGATCTCCAGGCCATTATGCTGGGATTTTTGATATAGAACTACGGTTCCCATTTGCTGGCGCCTAGTTATGACTTGGAATGTGCATGGAAACAGCGCTTCGGTTTATGGGATGTATGGGATGTATGGGATAATGTTTAATATGGAACGAATGTCGGATATCTTGAGTGAAATGACAATAATAATTACATGTGTGATAAAAGACCGAACATAAGTAGGCCCGAGAAGACCGTTGAGTTAAGGTTTTTTTTTTAAGTTTGTACCCAAAGCTTGAAGGAAATCCTATAACTACTAGCTAAAGTAAATTGAACAGAAAAGGGTTACTAGAATGGATGTAGACTAGGACCTAGAGAAGTGCCAGAGGAAAGAAGAGATGGACACGATATAGCGGTATAGGTGTACGAGTATAGCCTTAGGAAGTCATGTTGTAGATACTAAGCAGACTGTTTGTAAAGGTACAGCCTATTCGTCAGAAGGGGTTTATAAATCCCTCGAGAGTAATGTACGTTATTGTAATCATATCGCCATGATTTACATCGAGCAAAAGTGTTCACCGCCAATTTCATTTGTTAGGACTATCCTGTGTGCTTAGGGAGAGGAATAAGCAAACCCCTTATTACGGCAGTCTCCAACAATATTATAAAGAATACTGCGGACATAATGAGTTATGGCGCACTGGCGATTGGAGACTGCTATACCCCTTATTCGTATGGACCCCAAAAAATGATTCAGTAATATGTTCAAAATTTTATTCAATTTAGATAACCCGCAAAAAGGCCAGCCCCTGTATTCACAAGAAGGCACAGGGAAAACAGAAAAAACAATTATCTGACAAAAACCTGAGCCGAGGCCGCCACCATATTCAATAGCACATTAGTCAGATAATCCATCTGCGCCGAGAGACCAGGCGTAGGAGATGGGTGATTCGACTCGAGTCCGTTGAAGACCCAAAAGGTGTTAGCTCGGTGGAGCATTTAGAGGAATTTCTGGGCGAAGGTTAGTTTTTGTTGAGACCAAGGGGTACCTCGTGCTTGCAAGAAGGGGTTTCTTACAGGAATGATTCCACCAAAGCCGCAGGCCAAGCTGACGACGTTTCCAAGACCGGCGAGAACGCCACCCCGGCTGTATTGGTTTGCGGTCTGGTCGAGGCACTTGAAAGTGGAGCAAGAAACCGAACTGCCCGAGTTTTCGAGGTTGAACTGATCAAGCATGTGATCGATGCAAGAGTGGAAGGCCTGAGCCTCAGCAGGGGAGTACTTGTTCTGCTGCGGGATGTATTGCTGGGGCTGATACTGCTGAGGCTGTTGGTAGCCTTGACCACCCTGGTACTGCTGAGGCTGCTGGTAGCCCTGCTGGTAACCTTGCTGGTATCCCTGCTGGGCAGTGACAGCAGTGGCCAGGGCGGCGATGGTAGCGATGGAGAACTTCATTTTGATGGTTCTACTCAGAGTTAGTAACAAGGCAAATGAACTTTTCATTGAGGCATACTGGTTGGACTTCTGTGAAAAACTTTGAAAGGCTTGGAAGAGCTGCTTTGAGATGAGAAGAGATGATGAGATGATGAGTGTGAGAATGTATCTACGCTGGGTTAAGGACAACGTATTTATAAGATTCTCTGGCTGTCTGGATGGATCAATTCCTCGGGGTTCAGTCTTTCCTAGAGAACCACAGGTTCCAATTGAGGTTATTTTCTTGCCAATCTTCGATAATACGGCTACAGCTGCACATCTGAGCCAGCCACGGCCAGATAGTTTCCACACGGATGAGACCCTTCACCCTGATGTAACACAGAATACATTTGCGTATGCTTGCCCTCACTGCAAAGAAGAGATTCAATGATCAGCAACATGGGGTCCACTGTGAGTTACACGTCCTTCAGCTCTCCTCCTTACGGAGTACCATGTAGATGGTATCTCAGACGCATGTCTAGGTCGCCGAGGGCAGCTTCTTCCAATTGGAATTCAAGACATGCCCTGTGATAGTTGCGTTGATTCGCCGCCCTTGACTCTGGCTTTCGTGTAGTCTTCAAAATGATATGTCACTGAAGATCCAGTAGATAGAGTTCTATACTCAGCTCCATGCCAGCATGACTACTATCACGCCCTAAAGCAATGTATTTATAGGCCAAGTCAATATTAGCTACTCAAAGTATGAATAAAATTATCCTAATCAAAGAATCTGGTTCGTGACTTCGATATTATCGGCATCACCGACGGTACGGAAATTCACCCTATTCATGGGCAGGTGAAGCAGAATAATTGAATGTGTTTATTCTTCATGGTCAAATCCATGTTAATACAAGTAGTGATTAGCGCCACGTAAATTCACGCCTATATACTGACTAATCTTCACTCCTTAAACAAGATAAAAAATAATGCAGGGAGGATTGGTCCCAATTCAGTATATGCGGCATAATATTGTGTAATATACTATGTTTAGTCCAATCAACAGCCAGCTTCTGCACGGGAAGTACTCCGCAAACAAGACGCACAGGTGGAGCTATGTGCGGCACATGTATGGAGCGCTCACGTACTCCGTACATAAGTCTCGATCTGGTTAGGTGGAATTTCTGACACATAGAGGAGACCTCCTGCAGAAGATATCCGTGTGGATGATAGGTAGCGCTAACCTTTAGCTCTTCGCATCGGCCCGCATTTACCTAAATCGTACCACATGGACTTTTCTCAGAATTCGCGACATTGTACAAACTACCCTACGACTATGAGGATTTTTATCTGATATTTCTGTGACTTATATCTTCATTTTTAAAGTCCTCGTACATTGTATGTTTATTAGGCGCACGAATGCGGTAAGTCCAGCTCCACCATTTTTCTTATGCATAAAAAGCAACGTTAAACAGATCTTGACCGAGATCGACCGAGGACCCACCTCCGGCATTACCTACAGGTTGTGGCCGACTATGCTGGTCAGGATGTAAATACATATATCACTTCCATTATCGGGGAAGACCGTACGGCGTTTCAACTTCGGCAAGGGATATTCATCTTGTGTCACTTTGAAATATCAAGATCTAGAGGCTGGCTGAAAACTTGCCTTAACTTTTTTCTTGTCACTTTACGAACTTCATGCTGCACTTGATGGAGTTACATGTCATTTCTATGGCTTCGTGCTGTTGATTCTTTGCCCCCTACTCCTGCGTTCAAATGATGATCCGCGAGAGAAATCACGCAGTTGACATCGGGAGACACAGCCAAGGAAAAATACCACCTGGGCAGCTATTACATAGTCTATATGAGATAGTGGGAGAATTGTACAAACTGAAAGTGTGGCTATAAGTACACACCGTGCTACCCAGCTCTGGAATTGAACATAATCATCTCAACCGAAGTTCTTTGTCAATTGTCTAATCCATCATGGCGAAGATACCAAGGGCTCTTGGTTTGCTCCTGGCTATTTCATTCGCGCAGGCTCAAAACATTCATCTCGGTCACAGAACCCTTCAAAAATACACCATTGACGATATAGTGCCTACCCGTGACCAGGCCTCTGGACACATCAAGTGCTGCCCTGCCGGCACCGAATTTGACGGTCAGGGCTGTGTTCTTGGCGTTCCCATCTGCCCCGATGGTAGCACCCGCGATGGGGACAAGTGTGTCTACCATACGAAGCCCACCTGCGATACCGGATACGAGTACAAGAATGGCTTTTGCATCACCATCAACCCTCCTACCTGTCCTCCCGGTACCATTCTGAAGGGCACTCACTGTGCCCTCGAGGGGACTGCAAACTGCGAGGCTGGATATATTCTCCAAGGCAACGTCTGTGTTTCACAAAAGCCCCCTCTCTGTCCCAATGGCGAGCATTTCAATGGGAAATCGTGCGCGTCTCTGGAAGGGCCAAAGTGCCCGGATGGAGCTAAGCTCGAAAATGGCCTATGCATTGACAACAAGGCTCCCATCTGCCCCAAAGGAGTCGCTTTCGACAATGCTAGCTCCAGGTGCATTTCGGAACAAGTGCCCACCTGTCCTCCGAATACAATTCTTCAGAACAAGCAATGCATTTTGGAGAGTGGCCCCATGTGTAATGGCGGCGGTGCTTTTAATCCGAAGACTCAGTCCTGCGATATCGTTGAAACCCCACAATGTCCTCCTGGAACCGAACTGGACGACAAGAAATGTGTCTATGTTGGCGAGCCACAGTGCCAGCCGGGTACAAACTTTTCGATTGACAAGGCGCAAGGTACCTCCCGTTGTTGTCCCTCGGCCATGGCATGGGATGGGAACGTCTGCGTCACAAAAGCAATCGATGGCAAGTGCCCTGACGGCAGTGCACCAATCAACAACCGCTGTGAGAAGTATTCCAACCCTCAACCACTTTGTCCCGAAAACTACAAGCTCGAGAACACTCGCTGTGTTTGGCAACAACCGCCTGTATGTCTGGGTGATTCCTACCTTGAGGGTGGCAAGTGCACCATGGTCAGGAAGCCAGAGTGTCCTAAGGATATGCTCTTGGTTGGTGCCGACTGTGTCCTCCAGGGGCCTCCTTCCTGTCCTTCCAACACCAAGATGGAGGGCAGCAAGTGCGTCACGTATGTGCAGCCCACCTGTGATGAAGGTGCCAATTGGGATGGTAAGCGTTGTATTGTCACCGGTCGCGGACATTGTGAGGAGGGCATTCATCAGGGAGATGACTGCGTTACTGGAACTCAGCCTCAATGCAAGAATGGCGCAGCATTCGACGGTTCGAGATGTGTGTCGTCACTTGTTCCCCAGTGCCCTCAAGGATCTATTCTCAGTGATGGGTTGTGTCTTACCGGCGGTGTGCCTCAATGTCCCCCTAACACCAAGCTCCAGGACGGACTCTGTGTGTACGGTGCTCCTGGCTGTGCTACTGGTCAGGTCTTTGCCAACGGGCGTTGTGAAAGCGTCGAAACTCCCCAGTGCCCCATCAATTTCTTCTGGAAGGGAGGCAAGTGCGTGCGCGTTGCCGAAGAGCATTGCGAGTCTGGTTACGTCCTCAAAGATGGACAATGTATCTCGGGCGCAAAACCCGACTGTGGAAACCTGTCTTTCAACGGCAAGGCTTGCGTCAGTGAGAAGCCTCGTTGCCCCGAAGGAACCTACCTCGAAGGAGAGAGCTGCGTGTCTGTTGCCGATCCTCAGTGTCCGCAAGGTTTCAAGTTTGACGGCAAAAAGTGTAGCGCTGAGAAATCACCCCAATGTCCTCCTGGAACAGTCCACAACAAGTCTAGCCAGGACTGTGTCTCAAGCTCTAAGCCCAGATGCCCTGATGGTCAGGTGTTCAATGGCAAGTTCTGTGCTATTTCCACCGGTGCTTGCATGGACTTCCAGTTCTGTCCCACTGAATCATACGGAAAGGGATGTCAATTCACTTCCCATGGAGTTGTTTGCAATGGAAGTCAGGACGAACAACGAAGCAACTTCCCTGTGGATCAGGTTCCTGTCAATATTGAGCCATTGAAAGGTAGCGCTTTAAACCAGAAAAACAGCCAACAGTACACTGGAAATCAGGGCCAGGGCCAGGGCAGCGGCGGCTGGCGCGAGCAAATCCCTAATAGTCAGCAGTACACTGGAAACCAGGGTCAAGGCAGTGGGGGCTGGCGCGAGCAAATTCCTAATGGTCAGCAGTACACTGGAAACCAGGGTCAAGGCAGTGGGGGCTGGCGCGAGCAAATTCCTAATGGTCAGCAGTACGCTGGAAATCAGGGCCAGGGTAGTGGTGGCTGGCGTGAGCAAATTCCCAATGGCCAACGGTGATATAGGTGTTGAAGGCCAGAAGAGCAGGCTAGCGTGAGTACTCGGCGTTTGGAGGACTTCCATGGCCAAAAGGCCAGTGTATCCTTCCTTGCTATAACCTTCCAGACTGCGCTGCTAGTGCCTTTGTATTAGGTCTCCAATGGGCCTGTAAAGACTAGCCTGCTTTCTTTTGTTTTGTAAACGGCAGACCTATGGATTAGTGTATCGGGTTAGTTTTGCCTTTTTGGTTTACAATTCAATTACTTTTCTGCTTCCTCGAAACTTCGTATTTAAGCTGAGTATAACCCTTCTTGTATTTTATATAGTACTATGATATAACTAGTATAAGATATAAGCCTTGCCTGATACCACTTCCCCCAACTATTAAAGGCTATAGTCTCTTTGGGGCTATAATTTATTATCTAAAAGTGCTCACAGTAACGAGGAGACTTCTTAAAATTCCCTTTACCTTAGTAGAAGAAAGTGTCTTATTTCAAGCTTGGAACCATAATAGAGGGATATAATAACAAGTATATTATTTAAATCTTTATACTATAATTCATACCCAAACTAGGTCTAAACTAGGGCTTCTAGTGCCCTAGTCACTGGGTCTGGGCTGGGTTTTGGGTCGTGCGGGAGCCTATTTCTGAGTGCCCCCTTTATCTACAGTTAAAGGTGGATAAGGGTTTGTCTCGTGCAAGGTTAGGCCTTGACACCTTGAGGCACCCTGAAAGCCCAAGCGGCACAAAGATTTGTCTGAGGTGATAGAGGTGAGATTCCTGCCTCAGTATGCCTGCTGTAGCCTGCTGTACCGACAATGCAGTGTCGTGGTTATGGACTGGATGCCCAAGAACACCACAGCGAGGAGTAAATGGAAAGACAAGTCTTAGGAAAGGAGGCAGTAGTAAATTCAAGTGCAAAAGGTGGGCCCCTTCCTCTAGTGTTGACCAGGGAGTATATAGCCCAGTCATGGCCCCTCATCCTCCCATTTACCTTAACGTCATTCACCCCACCACCACCAACAACAACATCAACAACAACAATGAGAGAAGGCCTTGATCTCCCCGAATTCGGATACCTCCCATTCGACCATTTCGTCATAGTAAAGCCCCCGTTTCCCAGAACATAAGACAGCATGTCAATGCCAAGCTCTCGATTTACCTAGGCAAACTGGGACACAGCGTCCCCGCTCTCCCAAAACGAGCAGAAAAGAATCCTCGTCGAGAAATGGATTGCGCTAGGAAAATATGGCCGAAACGTATATATCAACCTACCTAACCTTTCATTCAGCCATCTCTACCCACTAACTAACAAGCCTAAGCACTTCGCCCTTGCCACATTTGCAGACCCAATCATCGATGATATCCCCGTGGGGGTCCCGCAAGATCTCCTGTCGGAGGACGACCGTGCTCTCAACAGCATGCTTTCCACCACACTATGGATCCGTACCTGGTTCGGCGATCCTAAAGATAAGAGCCAAGAGGCCGCAGACACAGCGTACGCTCGACTCCGAAAGACAGTCCTACAGCAGGGTCGCGAGAACTACCACATTTCCTACATCCCTAAGGAATTCGTCTTTGAGGACCGGCAGGAACTAAGCGCGGATGCCCAGCGGGGCGGGGATGTGATTAGGGGCGTTGCGGCCGGCTGTGCCGGGTCTGTACCGGGGTATCTAGTTGCGGCGCTAATGCACTGCCCCGAGCTGTTTGAGGGGATGTCGGATGACGACTGGCGGCATTTTACGGGAGAGGAGCGGGCCGAAGAGCTGGCGGAGAGTGATCGGGTGCAGAGTGCGCTGGTTCTTGTTGCGGACCGGAAGGCCTGTGAGGAGGGCTGGGTGTTAGTTCTAGCGGTGAATCATCGGGGGGAGATTCTTCCGTTTAGGGTGCGTGAGCGGGCTAAGGACACAGCGCAGATTGCGGTGAATTGGCTGCAGGGGCAGCCTTTGTCTGAGGTTGCGGATGACGAGGATGAAGATGTGGAGTTTTACTTGGGGGGAGGGGATGGGTGGGAGTAGCTACTTAGGTATGAGTAGTAGATTGGATGCTCCGATGGAAGCTCCTATAAAAATGTTCTATTATACATAAAGAACATAGATATGGCTACCTAGAAATGATGCCCGCGGTGCTTTCGGTGCTTCATAATACTCGGAGGTGGCAGAGTTGGCTGTGCATCGTCAAATGGAATATGTATTTCATGCACGGGCTCATTCCCCGCAATCTCGACGCCTGCGGGGAGAGCGTGTTAGCAGCATGCACAGAAACGGGGTTTCTTCAGGGATGATTCACGTTTGATATTGAGCATCTCCTCTTGAGTGGGCTTCTCGCCTCGCTTGATCTTGGCCATTGTCGAATATGACCGTGCACCTGGAGCTGCTGTCAGACAGGCCAAGGGATCCAAGCAAACGAATAATACTTACTGAACTGTGTTCACATAAAGACCCCCACGGATTGCCAAAACGGGTGATCATGCGTGCCAGCAGCCCGACACAAGGCATTTTTGGCGATAGAGTACTTCCTGTTTCCCAGCGTATTCACGGCGCCAATGACATCAGCCATCTTGAGTTGATTCTCGTTCTCGTTGGCGTTTTCATCGCATATATAGATGTCATACTCATAGTTATCGCAAGTGCTGTACTAAGGTCTATCACAACACTTGCGGCAATCATAGATTTGGACTCGCTTTTGCCTTCGCCGCGAGTAGCTGTTGTTGTTGTTGTTGTTTTGTTGTTGTTGAAGATGAACCTGTCGTAGAGGGGCCGATCGCGGGCGCATATTGGTGAAATAATTCAGTCATTATCAGTGTGTTTATTTCTTCCGCTTCAAGTTAGTTACCCATTTGAACTCGATGGCCTCTTCAATCTGTGTCGGAATCACACTATCATCGTAGAAGAACCGGCGCCCGACTGATAACAAGCGATGTCTCACACGCTTATGTGTGTATTCTTCTTTTTTTTTTTTCTTTGCTATACTATGTAATGTTGTGGAAGATGTTGTTAAAAAAGCAAATACAGCCGATTCTCAAATAGGGAAAACAAGTTCGAACCAGAGTATGTAACTTAAGAGTTCATAGAAGAGATGAACCTTGTGGCGGCATAGCACCATGATATATGTCACCAAGCAGACTTTTGCCGTATGAAAAATATAAGAGTATTTCTCCGGAGAGGTTTACAGAATCGTAAGCCGAGGTGAATAGTTCGCGTAATTCCAAATATATATATCAAGATGATTCACGTCGTCCAAAGTGTTCACCGCCAGCCCTTCCGCCTTGGACATTTTGACGGCTTTTTTTTGTTACCTTCCGCGGACCAGCTATTTTATTTCTTCAATCATCTACTTCCTCAAGACCGATCGTTCATCGCTCTGATTAAGATGAATCGCATTTCACCTGATTGAACCATATCCCCCCTTCAACAAGCTGCAATGGCACAGTTTGTTCCGCGCAGTACATTCCCCCATTATGGGGCTATTCCAAGGTCCTACTTCTTAGGACACCACAGGGCTGGTCTGACCAAGATGAAGAGCATGCTCTCAACTATCGACTATGTTGTCGAGTGTCGTGACTACCGAGCCCCTGTTACCTCTATCAACCCCATGTTCGAAGAAGCTTTGGGCAAGATGCGACGACTGGTCGTCTACACCAAGAGGGATCTGGGAAGCGTTCCCAAATCATCCGCCCAGAGAATAGTAAGTATTTGTCTCTACCACGGAGTCAGATAACAGACAGTTAGATATCAGCTAACATATCCGCAGACAGAACGCAAATTGCAGAGTTTCGATCCAAAAAGCGCCGTGTTCTTCACCAGCTCATCCGTCCGCCAAGATGTCAGCCAGATCATCAAACACCTCCGAACCGATGCCGAAGCCCCTGATAAGTTAGTTGGCTGTCGAGTGCTAGTTGTCGGAATGCCCAATGTCGGCAAGTCAACACTGATCAATAACCTGCGCAATTCAGGCACGGGCAAAGCCAAGGCTATGAAAACCGGGCAGCAGCCCGGTGTCACACGCAAGATAGCTACACAAGTGAAAATTATTGACCGAGAGAACGGGTCCCATGTCTACGTTCTGGACACACCGGGAGTGTTCATGCCGTATGTTCCGGACGCGGAGAATATGCTCAAGCTGGCTCTCTGTGGCTGTGTCAAGGATAATGTCATTTCAGCGATCACTCTAGCGGACTATTTGTTGTATCATATAAATATGCATGATCCAACGATCTACAAACGCTGGTCGGAACCGACGAATGACGTGGTTCCGTTGATTGAAAGTTTTGCGCGCCAAACTGGCCTGCTCGCAAAGGGTGGGGTGCCAATGATGGATGGGGCCGCGCTTCTATTCATACAGAAGTGGAGACAAGGAGAGCTAGGTCGATTTTTGGTGGATGACCTAGACGCAGAGGAGAAACGGCGGGAAGATCCTACGCAAACACCGCGCATGAGCATGACCCAGGCCTTGAGAGTGGAAAGGACAACTCGAAGGCACAAACCGGATGCAACTAGCGATCTGTAACATACTGTATATATAATGAATCTGCCTCAAGAGATGTTGGTAGATATTTTGAAGATAATAATCAAGGGATGTCATTACGAACAAACGAAAGATAATGCTTGAAATGTGAAGATCTTGCAGAAGCACCTGTAACGCCCGACCCAAGCAAAGGACAGAAATGGAAGCAACGAATCTTGGCCGCAGTATCCAAATCAAGAGATTTTGTCCAGAAGGCGGCGGCGCCGCCTATCAACAAGCTCTTCCTGGACCTCATCCAGCGTCGGGAGTCGCCATTCCACTCCATCGCCTGCATCACCAGGTAGAGATTGCCAGCCATCTTCAGCATCATCCTCTCCTTGATGGCGCAGGTGTTCAACAGACTCCTTTTCCTTCTGCTTTTCATACGCCAATAACGTGCCATCTTCTTCATCAAGGCCATAGCCAAAGTAGTTGGCATCAACCTTCCTCGTCGCAATATCTCCACCACGGCCAGACACAGCCTCTTCCTCTTCCGGTCCTTTCGCACGAGTAATTGCAGCCTCGATCATTTCTTTGACACCAGGTAGCTCCCGAGCACGGCCGTAGTATTTGTAGCCTCTGCCTCCGCCGGGGATCTCGCGCCCTTCATCATCGTAAAGGCGGTTCGATCCACGCATGTAGTTCGGTCCACCCAGGTTGCGGATTTGCATTTCCCACGCCCATTTTTCGCGCATGAGCTTGTTGATCTCGTCGTTGAGATCGCGGATCTGATAGTCGCTCAAGCTTTGCACATGGATGCGTGATACTTTGCGCGAAATTTCTTTGACAACTTGTCCGCGCCAGCGCTCGCATACTGGCACCGTGTCGATAGATGTGATCGCCTTGGGGCGTCGTGTTCGTGAGAGATCAATGATTCCGAGGTCGGCTGCTTGCTGCGCTCGGAAGCGGAACAGCATCGACTGCGCTTTTTCACTGTTGCGTGCCTGTTACATAGCGGGGGGTTGGGTTAGCAAAATGTGATTCTACTTGGATATGGGGATTTCCTGGTGGATCTAAGCTGAGAGAAATGAGTCTCACCATTATGAAAAATTGACCAAGTCAGCGACCTGAAGAAGTCAGGTATCGTGGGCGTTGGCAGGGAAGAAATCCGGAGAGGAAATCATGAGCTTGACAGCTTGAGGTGAAGTTGCGCGCGCTAATTGCCGCTTGCCGCGCGTGTATCACGTGCCTTCTTTCCATATACCATCAACTTCAGTCCATTCAACAGCAGTGTGTTCTTGGTTTGTTAGTGCTCTGGAATACATACTTTGTGTTGTTATATTCCATCAAAAAAAGAGCAAAAAATTGGATAACCTTCCATCAGTACGATGATTTTTCACAACCAACAGGCTGCGTCATAAGAAACAACTAAGTTCCAAATGGTATGCAGGCTTTCCAGCTTGATTCCCCTGGTCCATGTTAATAGAGACTATTAAACCATTATAGGTTGAGAAGATATACAATCCCTTACTATCAATATTTGATGGATTTGACAGAATTTAAGGAACAAATTTTCGCTAATGCCCATCTAGATATCAGATCGGTGTTCCTGAGCACGTATTTGATGATATCATCCGTCGGCTGTAAATTTCTAGAGTCAACAAGATCAAATCGTCAGTATTTTGAGCCCAAGAGGGCAGAAGTTGAAGTACTATTGCGGGCTCGAACACAGGGTTGTCTTTCCGCGAAATAAGCAGTACCTATAGTCGTAATAGTCACGCAATACTAAGATTTTTGCGAAGGAAGAAGATTGAAGACAAATGGAGGGTCTGGTGCGTTGTTACATTCTCATCATTGTAGATAGCCTAGTCCAACTGTGGAGCATATTTACTCATGAACAGAAAACTGAAACAAAAATGAACGCCGGAAAATAGAGACCAGGGGATAAAAGCTTGGCCTTTCAAACAATATGAACAAGCTCAAGGCCAGCAGAAAAGACTGAAACATCCCTTTCCCAAATGCAAAGAAAAGTCATTAACACAGAACATTCATCCATAATTATTGTTGCAACTCCAAGCAGGATCAGCCTGCTAAACATCACTTAAGCCATATTCACAAAAAGCCCTTGGTGTTGCTGGGTTGCCGTTGGGGAATGTCACTAGAGCCATAGGCAGCACTCCCACGACGGCTTCCAGCATCACTGAAGGCGACAGCACCACGCCCAATAGTACTGCCCCGCTCAACACGCAAAGCCTTCCAGCCCTCTAGCTCGCGTTCCAGTCGAAGTGCTTTCTCACGCTCCTCGCGGAGATCTCGCTCGGCGCGGCGGGCCAGCAGCTGGGCGTCCGAGTCGGTATGCTGGAGCTCCTCTATGTTGCGAAGCAATCGTTCAATCTTGTCCCGAGCTCTGTTGAGATCGTCATTCAGCTGGGTATTCATCTTGTCCCGCCTGTCAATCTGGGATTGGAGGTCCTTAACGGTGCGGTCAACGTTGCGAAGAGAGCGTTGCTCAGAGCTGTGCTTGCTCTCCTGGTCTTCCAGGTGGGTTTCAAGCTAAACGTTGAGTTAGTATGAAAGTCACAAAAACAGAGTATAGAGCCATTTAAACTTACCTCTTTGATTCGCTTATGCAAGAAGCGAACATCCTGGCTACCAGAAGAATAGCTCTTAGTTTCGAGATCGACACACCGGAGTTGGGCCTCCTTCAGCTGCTTCTCGAGTGATGCCTTGTCCTTGAAAAGTTGGGCATTGGCCTCCCGCTCAGCAGTGACCTCTTTCTGCATTTCAGTTGCAAGGGCGTCTGCGCGGCGCATCTTACCGACCGCAGCGGCGGAAACATCTTCCTGCTGCGCAATCCTAGACTTGAGCTCAAGAAGCTCACGGTCCATACTGGCAGCGTTT